CAGCATAGACATGCATTTAAATATTTAATCCTCTTTTGATAACAATTTACGATTAAATTCTTTGTATTTTTAAATGGGCCAATTCAGTCGTATTAATCCAGAAAATATTTATTTTTCCTTTTTAGCATGTTTAGTGAAACTGTTATAAAGTTTGAATTAAATTCAAATGTATGTTTTATTTTTCAAAATTTACAATGAGTCTTAGTGGTTTAAAAACAAAACAGTAGTAAGAGGGGGAGTTTTTGTGCTTTTGACATTATTTTCTACTGAGTAATTGGTTTAGGTAGCATATTAGCATTATTCTGTCTCTGTAGATTACCTGGGCTTGAATTGAAGTCCAATGAGTGTGTCATGCTCTTTGCACACTTTGAAGAACTCTTTAAGGGGATCTTGGCTTAAGTTGCCCTTTCCCTGAAATTAATTTTAGAAATTGTAAATACATTGCATCTGGGGGGAAATAAAAAAAACTAAATACAATTATAGTCTTACACTTAAAGTTATGGTTGATAAATCACAAAAATTATGTTCAGTAACCTGTAAAAAAACAGGAAATCTGAATACAATACTTAAAAAATTCATGATTATCCTATTTATAAATGGTGGGGGAAGCATTTCTTTAATTATTATTTAGTGCTACAGTAGATAAAATGATATTTTATTCATAATCTTTATTTTAAGTAATTGATTTCAGCATGCAAATTTATAATTTATAACCTAGGCTTGTCAGTTTTATTTCAAAGCTCCACATGCCAGTCAATATTTCCTACTTGATTCAATATTTATTTAAACTTTATTACTGTCATGAAATCTTTATTAAAGTTTTAATAGATGGTCAGTTTTGTCTTTTTCATAATTATTACCAGTCTTACAGAGAAAACATGACTGGAACTATGTCCAACAAATTGAAACCTTTATTCTTCCATGGTATAAAACTGCAATAAAGTATTGTACCATTATATTTTGGACAGTAGAAGTGAGGATAAAAGATTTAATATTATTACAAGACCATAAGCTTACATTAAATTTCCATAACATTACACTTGTTCAAGGAGTTAGCTATGGATATTATTACGGTAATTTGTTGTTGGGGGGGAAATTTAAATGAAAATTTTATATGGTTTTATTGGCCATAAACATTTAACTTGCATACACTTGTTTGTTGTTTAAGAGGGTATGTTGACCTGAAATGTCCTTTGTTTTTTTGCTGTTAGGTTGCTTTCTTAATGACATATTTTTCATATGTTCTTTATTCCTGTACCATAGATACTATCTTATAAGTTGGTAATTTTGAATTAAATAATAGATTCAGGAAGGGGTACTGACTTGTAAGCAAGATTTAGCACCATGGTAAAATATTTTAAGTTAAAAGGTCATCGAAATGGTGACCTGCAAAGACTTACAGCAGGTTAACAATAGCAAGTACTAGCTAACAGTACATCTTGTTTTTAGCAGTAACTTTAAATGTGTATTACACTAGAAATAGAATGTTTTTTGGAGTGTTCAGGGGGCTTCTAAATTGCCATTGAAATTTAGGTATAGGGTAGGAGTATATCATTTCCTTAATAAAGTTCTTTTATTTTCCTGTAGAGAATATAAAGTAAACAAAAGCTATAGAATAAGTATGATTTATACTGTGAAATTATTGAAAATGTAGTGCAATTTTTTTTTAGATAATTCAGTAATTTTTAAAACTTCATATCATTAGTATAGTTCAGTAGATGTGGATATTTTAATGATTTTGAGAAATTTCTGTTGCTAGAGGCAAAAGCCATTTTAGAATTCAAAGAATGCATATTTTCTAAATGCATTTTTGATTCCAAATTATTAAAATTCTAAATGTGGTATTTGTGAAAAAGCTAAAACAAATATCTTTCGTCATTATTTATTTTTATGAAAACAAATTGATTTATAGTACTGTACTGTACCTGGGGAAACTTTTAATTTTTATGAGTAAATGTACCACAATCTTTACCTAATAGTTTGAACAAAAATATAGAACAACTTCTTTAAACCTAATAATTTTAGATAAAATGACTAAGGAAGGATCTAAGTGCTTTAAAAAGTAAACATCACCTTCATGTTAGAACAGGTATAACATTGATTAAGGCTTATGCTTAGTTTAAGTTACTCAACAATGCACATTGTATAGTAGATTAAGTTGTATAAGTTTGAATGAAAAAATACTTATAGTGAAACCTAAAAATTCAATTGCAATTTACCTGCTATCTTATTAAAATCAGATTGGTTCGCTGACCCTTTAGGTTGTTACAATTCAAGGTCATGAAGGTGTAATTAGAATATTACAAAATATATTTAATTCTTCCAGGTCTTTGAAAAGAGTTGAGTACTGTAATTTCAGAAATTTTTGATTGTATTCATTATTGCCATTGTTGAACATAGACAAAATTGTGTCATTAAGGAAATGCTGTAAACAATTTTTTTTTCTGCAAAAATTGTCCTGTTGCAATTTTCACACAAATAAACACATTGCAAAATTTTCTGAATTTACAGTAGTTTTAAAATAATTATATACTATTTACTATCCCTGCAGTGTCATGAGTGTTGCTTATTACTGAGATTTTAAATGCAGTAAACTGTAAAATTTTTATTATTGAAAATCTACTATAATGGAGAGGGTTAATAAATATGACCACTAAATTGGTGGGGTTGATGGATTTAAGAACGTTCTGTAGCCAGTTCTTCATTTACATTGACCACTGGATGTTAAGCAACCAACAATCAATCAATCAATCATTTACATTGAATCAGTCAGAATCAACTATCACATAATGTCCATCCTGTTTAAAGCTGTTTTACACATGCATGAATATCTCATATACCTATTAATATCCAAACATGAGTTGGAAGGTACCTAGAAGTCAAGTTTTTACATTGTACTCAAATGAAGGAATAATTTGCTGTTCTGATTCTAACAAATTCTCTGTACTATTTTCCAAAGTGTAGGCCAGTGTATTGTTATTTGTTATCAATGTCCTAGACTGGCTGCAATATAGCCTTTTTGGGCTGATGTGGTGTTAAGCAATTGTCAATCAATGTCCTTGACAAAGGGAATTAACTAATTTAGTCACAGTTTCATTTGGTGTCTGAGCAAAGAAATTACATCTTGTACCTAAGAATGTGAATTCTATGATACAAGTATTAAAGAGTATGAGCCATTTCAATTTTTGATAATTCAATTTGCAAATATAGTTTAGGCTGAATGAATCTCTTAATTCAAAGGATCATTATATTTGAGAACAAATTTCAACCTGTTAAACTGCACCTAAGTCATTTCTTTATACATTTAAATCATTATTTATAAATTTTAACCCTTTAAAGAATTTTGATAAATTAGAATGGCTACTGAATGGTATAATGATAAGAAATTATTATCTACACATATTTAATGTATACTAATATGGTATTGATGTTAAGAAATATTTGACCAATAAAATATTTTTATATTCAATGAAATTTATTAATGTAAACTTGCATAGTGAGGTAAAAATTTTGAAAATGGCTTCCAGTTCAGATATTGTCCTGTTTTTTAAAGTTTTTTCCTCATACTATATATTTCTGATGCTGAATGTAATTAAATAATTTTGTGAAACTAATAAAAAATAACTGTAGTTATATGGTTAATATTGAGTGTATTTTCATGTTGATGAAAGGGTATCTTGTAATGATATATGACATTTTTTGGCATGTAATCTTTTTTGAGAAGTGTAAAACAATACTTTTTCTTCATATTTGAGAATGTCTTTTTATGAAGAGCACTTTAATATATGAAAGACCATATCACTTCATGAATACACCATCTAGGTGTTTGTTATTGAGCAATGAAATTGTACCATATTTCAATACCAAGTCTTGGATATACTTTCATGTTGAAGAATAAAGTACAGAAATAGATATGAAGATAGCAATTTCATTATAGAGAACAGTAGTTTCTCTCAACAAAAACATTTGTTAAAAGCTTTTTTAAATTATAATAAAGCTTGATTTTTAGCTGACTATACTATTTTTATGGATTATCTTTTTCTTAGAATTGATTCAGCTGAAGATAATGAGACTAATTATACTATGAGGTACCTGCTCTGATGCCTCATTAGGTAGCTTCCTGTTCTATGATGACAAAGACATTTGTTATCAATCAAGTTCTACATTAGATGGAGTTCTACCTTTGTATTGATTGTATCTTAGGGGTTGACAGAATAGAGAATAATGGGCTAATACTACAAAAAATGGGCCAAAAAATGAAGAATAGAGAAAAACAGGCAAAAAAATAAAGAAAAGAGAAAAATTGCTAAAAAAATAAAGAATACATTATACAGAATTGAAGGCCCCCATCCAGACCCTCTTGTATTGATTGTATCTGAGGGGGTTGACTTGTATGATGAATGTAATTCTAAGATGATCTGTCTGAAAACTAATCTGTATTCTGCCAATGGGACTTTTTTCAAAAATATCTGATATTTGATAATATTTCATTGCTATTCACTCTAACAGAATTTATACATAATCGATAATCAGAAATTAGCTTTGGGAAAATCTGAGATGTCTTGCATTATATAAAGCAGATACATGTATAGATGTCTGGAGAAGAATATCTTGAACCTATATATAAAAAAGAAGATGTGATATGATCACCAATGAGACAACTCTCCATAAGAGACCACATGACACAGAAATTAACACATAGGTCACCATACTGCCTTCAACAATGAGCAAAGCCCATACCACATAGTCAGCTACTTCTTGATGTCTAGAGGTTTTTAAATGAGTTGCTATCTTTGCTCAAATTAGGCATCATTTTATCATTTGTTTGCCACAAAAGATTCCGATATAATAATTTTATTTGAGTTTGTCTTTTATAACTGCATTGTTAGTCAGTTTACTTTCTCTCTACATTTCTCAACTATGTGCATAGCGTACATGGAAATTAAGGGAAGATAAAGTATTATGTAGATACAATCTAAACCCTACAGGTTTATTTTCAGGAATATGTGAACAAAGCAAGAGATTTAGAACGAGAGTTGAGAGCTCTAACTATAGAGAAAACAAGAGCTGAAGCAATGATAGAGGTAAGCTATGGTAGATGTTGAAGACAATTTAACTTCATATATCATTATTGTAGCTAAAGGAAATCTTTTAATGTAAGTGTTTTCACAAGAGACTGAATAGAAGAAAACCAAAATATAAAGACGATTTGACAAAATTCAATTAAGAAACAAAAACTTGGAGAAACCCTAGAAATCAATAGCCGGTATTTCAGAACTTTCATTTGCAAGTTTGGAATGTGGATATAAGAAAGAAATCATTGGTCATTAGCTCAAAAGATATGTGAAAAGACACAAAAATGGCATTCAATTATCTAAAAATTCTAGTACACTGAATAACTTTTTTTATGCCCCTATCTGCAGCGGAGGGAGCATTAAGTGTTACCCTTGTCCGTCTGTACGTCTCAAAATAAGTTTCTGTTCTCTAACTTTAGTTTGCCTCAACCAAATGTTATGAAACTTATTCACAGATCAAGTTCAAATTTGGGATGTGTCACTTTGACAGTTCTCTAGTTATGTCCGTTTATAACGTTATATGCAATGGACACTTTCTCCAAATATTGAAGTTGTTTTGAGATCTGTCATAGTCTCAGTCTTATTTAGAAAATACATTCAGCATCAGTGTTCTTCAATGTTGATTGAGTTGTATTTATTGAGTGTCAGATTAATTTTGTTACCACAGGAACGAAGGACTCTTAGGATAGAAACTCAGTGGTCCCCATATAAGGTGAAATGAAATATTTTCTTCAGTGCATGATCGAGTTGACAGATTAGCTGAAAATTTGGCATGCAACCATATAGTCTTTTAAGGCACTTGACTATTCCCCACTAATTTTTGAAAAGTTTTGAACATTATTACACCATGGCTTTATTTTTAATATGATATCAAATAAAAAACTTTCTTTGTCTACTAAAATTATGCATCCTTCAGTGAATTGTGATTAACTAAATTTGTGCATGTATTGCTTACTAAAGTGTAAAGAAAACTAACATGGCCACAAATCAAATGCCTAAATATTAGCACGCTAGACAACACTTTTTTTAGTTTTGATCGCAATTGTACTGTATAATAGAATTAAACAAGATTAAGTCTTCTGACTTATTATCTTTGATCACAATTTTCAATATAATAGAATTAAACAAGATTAAACTTGAGTACAATTAATATTCAGATATGGACTTATTATCGTAAAAATACGATGTAAAATTGATTTTGTTTGATATTGAGACAAACACAAACACATTAAGTGCCGATGTTTATATAAGTCAAAAGTTAGCTATCTGTTAATAGAATGATAACACGACTTGAAAGGATCGCGGTGCATTCAGTATAGAAATCTCTCTTATGTCACGGGAAAGCTATTCCATTCATTTAAATTGCAAATTATATTAGTGAAAATAGTTTTTAACAATAAAAAGGCTGATAAAATCATTTTCTATTGTATAAAAAAGTTTTAAGCTTTACAATGCATTGTGAGAAATGTTAAAAATATATCGTGTAAACTAAATATATGCAGAATACTTGAATAAAGAAAATTTGAATATGTCTGGACAGATTGTAGAAAATAAAAAAAAAAGATTCATTAAAAAGGTATTAAACAAAATAATGCCCTTCTGGAAATATATTTGAATTGAAATATATTTAAAAAAGATATGAAATGAATAAAATATTTGTTATTGCATTGATCCCTGTACATATGTATAATGACTTCTGTTTCACTAGGAGAAATGTTCAATTTTAAAAAATACTAGTAAAAATGTGGACTGTATATATTATCAATGTTTGAGAAAACACTATTGTCAATTTATGGTACACTTGAGTTGTTTGGTTGCTGCCTCATACCCAACAATTGATTTTATTCTCACATATACTCGTTCATGCAGTGTATATTTATAATATATTTGCTCTTAAAAATAAAAGAGTTTACTCTTAAAAATGTACAGGAGTTGAGGTTATGAGTAAATTAGGAGTAAATCTGCCTTTTTCGGAATGAACAACTGTAATAAAATCGTCTTCTAGCTCACCTTCCTACACTATTAGTTCACAGAATACTTTTTTTGTAGTAAAATTGGGACTTAAAGAAGAAAATACTTACTACTTCAAAATTTTATAGCTATGTGCTAGCTGACAGGTGTTTTTATACGCCCGTCAAAATTTTGACAGGACGTTTTATGGTATACAAATGTCGTCTGTCCGTCTGTCTGTCTGGCGTAAACATTTCGCACCGTAACCTGAGAACGACTTATCCAAATTTCATGAAACTTAACATAGTTGTTTCTTATGATGGTCAAACGATCTGTATACTTTTTGGTGAAAATAAGATTAAGACTTTTTGAGTTACGGGACTTAGTAACTAAAACAGGTGTGTGTTTTTTTCACATGTCGCACCATATCTCAAAAACAATTTATGATTATTGCTTAAAACTTTACACACTTCTTAGTTATATTAATCTTAAGATCTGTATACTTTTTGGTGATGATTCAAAATTTTTTTTTTTAGAGTTATTGAGTATTTTGTAAAAAAAGGGGGAGGGGTTTTTCACCATGTCGCGCCGTATCTCAAAAACTATTTATGATTATTGCTTAAAATTTAACACACTTCTTAGTTATATTAATCTAAAGATCTGTATACTTTTTGGTTTTGATTCAAAATTTTATTTTAGAGATATTGATTTTTTTTTTTTTTAAAAGGGGGGTTTTCACATGTCGCGCCGTATCTCAAAAATGATTTATGATTATTGCTTAAAATTTTACACACTTCTTATTTATATTAATATTAAGATCTGTATACATTTTGGTTTTGATTCAAAATTTTATTTTAGAGATATTGAGTTTTTTGTAAAAAAAAAAGGGGGGGTTTTCGCATGTCACGCCTTATATCAGAAACTATTTATGATTATTGCATAAAAATTCACACACAAGACGACGGGCATATCATGCGCTCATGGCGCAGCTGTTTATTTCAACCTATTAAGATATTGCCTGTTCTTGACAGTCTCATACATCATGTACTTTTAATTTGTACCATCCTTGGTATAAATTATTTTAAAAATGAAATTTTTAATTATTATAAATGATTTTTATTAATATAGTAATGGTTGTTGAATATTATTAATATAATAATAACAGTTGAATAATAACACTTGATATTTAACAGGAAATGCAGGATCGATTAGGAAGACAGGATGAAAACTTAAGTCGTTTAAGAGACGAGAATTCTAACCTAAACCATGACATTAACCAGTTAATATCTGTCATCAGTACTGCTAGAACAACAGGACGGTGGGAGGTAAGCTTTTTCATTATGATATCTACAGTGTTGAGAAAATCATGCCAAGATGTGAATATCTTTTTGAAAATGTTCAAAGTTTCTTCAGGAACTTGCTTTTTTTTTTTTTATATAATATGTTTCTGTAGAGTTTGTATATATTGTTCTACTGGTCTTTTTTCTGATAGCCTACAATGGATATGTGTAAACAGGGTGTTTTATTGGACATATGAAATGTTGAAAACCATATTGTATTGCTAATAATAAGTCTTTGATAATTGTGACTTCTAAAGAAGGTTTTTTTTTAAATTTAGATTTAGATTTTTATTGAGTCCTCATTGGTGGCAGAAAGGTGTCAAGCAAAAATTAAAAAAACTTTCCAAGACGTCAGAATTATTTAACTAGTTACAAGTAAAAATCGTCATGACCTCAAATTTTCTGTACATGACAGCACAACATAAAATACATTCATATAGCACACTCTATAAGACAGCATTTAGGAAGATCATGAAAATCAAATCTCACATCCATAGAGAAGATTTTGTTTTAACTTAATGTATTAAGTGTACACTACATTGCTTCTATTTATTTCAGACAATAAATTGCAATTTTCGTGAGCTGTCTATGGATCAAGTTTTTGGTTCCCTTCATGAACAGTTAACTGGAATGTGAGTATTATTATGATATGAAATGTTTATAATAATAAAGAACCATCTAAGCATACAAGTTGTGATGATGTGTATGTCTGTGAAAATTTGATCGTCAGTACTTCCTCGGAAAACTTGCCTGAAGAAAAAAAGGACGAACACATTTTGATTTTTTGTTCATTTGAATGAAATATAAAATGCATTTTCAAGTGGCCCCTAACCTTACTTACATGTTTTTCTAGACATGTCTTTATAAGATATGCAAAAAACTGATAACATGCACACAATCTATTCAATTGATATTTTGAAAATTCTTTTCTTTAGAAAGAAAAGTTGTCTTTCAAACTATTTCTATGCATAATTTACTCAAATTTCACATTATTTGTATTGTAGAAGGAATTCTGAAGGTGCCTTTGAAGAAAGAATTCGAGAACTGAATGAAAAAATACGGCGGAAAGATGAGCAGATAGATTCATTACAAAGATCTCAGCCACAAAATACTTCAGTCAGGGCTTCCCAAGATGAGGTATGATAAGTTATAAATATCATATTGAATATTATATATTATATAATACATACATTGTTTGGCAAGTTTGTGGGTTCATGCAATGTAGGAGCCTATAGTCCTTCAACATTTTTTGTGAGCACTATTTCTTCTACTGTTTGCTTTGGAATGCAATGAAACTTTACACAATTGTTTACCATTATATGAAGATATATATATCTTTTTTCTTCAATTTTTGGATTATTTGTGACCAAATTAACTGGTCTCATCATCAAATACTTATAAAATCACCAGCAACTATTTATACCCACCTGTTCCCCTACAATATGCTTTGAATTCAACAAAATTTTTTACACATATTTTATTAATGTTTTTTTTTGGTCAACATTTATTTTTTCGTGATTATGCCTGTTTCTCAGCTACTATAAGTAATTGGTCAACTTTATTCAATGTATACAATTTTTGTAAGGTGTGCATGTCTGTCGGACAGGGTTCATTTGACCTTGACCTCATTTTCATTAATCGTCAATTAATTAGTGAATTTCTGTTAGGTACTTTCTAATTTAGTTTAAATATTTTCCTCTGAGCTCTCATTTCGATGCTTGAAGAAACGATGATGTCTTTTTAAATTACTTATTGCATGTGACATTTGAACTGCTACTTCAGAAGAAAAAGATGAAGTAGTGGTAAATAGTGAATGTTTCTTAGCTATGTAAGGATCCGAATCAGCAAATTGACTAAGATTGTAAATTGATATCTATGTAAACTTTTTATATATCTCAACTTGTACGATTCGCTCGTGTATGTAACAATGTTTTAGATTTTAACGAGAGAAATTTATGTATTACTGAAAAATTATTACACCAGGGTTTAGTCAAAACATTTACTAAATTTTATCATCGGTATAAGGACATCATTCGTAAATATAGCTCAACATGCAGACTTCTTGTACGTTCAGGTATTTCAAATCCAATTTTTTATGGAAATATTCTTTATAAAGCAAAAAAATGTCAGTATTCACCTCTGAAGCTAACAAAACTTTTAAATAGACTTATTAAGAAGGGATATAGTTACGATACTGTTGTCAGGTCATTAAAGATTGCATATTTTGGCGTTAATATTGATTCACTTATAGGGTCTTTGCATCGGCACTAAACACATTTATTTAAAAACCAGTTGTTGGCATGACACGGGTTATGTTCTTCTCATATATGTTATGATGGTATGATACTAAACCCCTAACGGGAAGGATTGTGCCTGATATTCATATGATGAAGACATAATCTTTCAATCAGTTTAATTGAAGTCTGGAGCTGGCATGTCAGTTAACTGCTAGTAGTCTGTTGTTATTTATGTATTATTGTCATTTTGTTTATTTTCTTTGGTTACATCTTCTGACATCAGACTCGGACTTCTCTTGAACTGAATTTTAATGTGCGTATTGTTATGCGTTTACTTTTCTACATTGGCTAGAGGTATAGGGGGAGGGTTGAGATCTCATAAACATGTTTAACCCAGCCGCATTTTTGCGCCTGTCCCAAGTCAGGAGCCTCTAGCCTTTGTTAGTCTTGTATTATTTTTAATTTTAGTTTCTTGTGTACAATTTGGAGTTTAGTATGGCGTTCATTATCACTGAACTAGTATATATATTTGTTTAGGGGCCAGCTGAAGGACGCCTCCAGGTGCGGGAATTTCTCGCTGCATTGAAGACCTGTTGGTGACCTTCTGCTGTTGTCTGTTCTATGGTCGGGTTGTTGTCTCTTTGACACATTCCCCATTTCCATTCTCAATTTTATTGTTTACAGAAGACAGGAGAAAAAGATCCATTTCGACAAATAGCTGAACGTGACTTTACCATCATGCAGATGAAGAATGATTTACGTAGAGCAGAACAAAAATCAGAAGATCTGACTGCTGATGTAAGATTTTATCATTATTGACTGTGACATTGATTTTTTTAATCAGCATTTGAAAAGGAAAAGATATTTTTGGCTATTGTAGAAAAAGGCTTAATAGTTGTATCTAGAATTCAGTCTATAAGCAATTTTTGGTGTGGAAGTGGATAGATGGACAGTACATTTACCAATATGTGCATGGTGGAAAGGTGTCTCATTTGCAATGAAATACATCTCATTATTTTTATATAATTTAATTTTGGATGTAACACGTCTTCTGATTGGCTGAAAGTTTTTTGTCTGTCAGCTCATAGACATAATTTTGTCATGTGACCATGACATCATCAATGTTTTTTCATGATTTACTCCTTAATAATGAAATTTAGAATTAGATTATAAGGACTGACTGTAATATTTTTTCTGTCTATTAGAAATAACCTCAAAAATGTGGTGCACACTTTTGAATAACCGGCTACACGGATTAATCAGTGTGCACCACATTTTTTATGTTATTTCTTCATAGACAGAAAAAATATTACAGTCATTCCTTAAATTTCATCCTAAATTTTCAAATAGTATCTTTTCTTTTTGATACCATGCTGAATGCACATTGTATTGTATTATAGCTGTTGTCCAAATAATATACTTCAACTGTTTCGTAAGTCTACAGTCAATGTTTTAATATGAATTCAGTACAAGTGTTCATTCTATTAGTGTGTTATAAGCAGTTTTTCATGTTCATTCTCATGTTTGTTACATGTTTAATTTCAAAAGATTGCTTTATTATATAAAAATAAAGAATGATAATCTTAATTTGTTACTACATATAGATTAAATGGTGTTAGTTAATACTTATAATCAGGAAAAATGGTGACCTCACAACTGCTTTAAGTGTTTGCTTTTAAAAGCCAGTTTACTGCATACTGACTCATAGTTGCTTTAATAATGTTGCTCACATATCCATAATCTTTCGGACTTTGAAAATTGAGGCCACATTTACAAATGCACTAATTCAGAAATAGTATAACATAATGGTCAAACCATTGTTTCTATCATTACTAATCTTGATGATAGGAATATTTTTCATTTCTGATACAATGTACATGTAATTTATAGAGATAGAAATTGAATTTATGAAAATTAAAATATTTCATTGTTTAAGTAAGAAAGCTGATGAAAATTCACCTTTAAACAGTGAAATTTCAATGTAAAAGACATTTTAGATTAATTCTCCATTTCGTCATTAAATTGCAAAAAATTCACCTATTTTTCAACCGTAAATGGCATTTCCCAAAATTCGCTGATAAATTCCTGTCATGTGAGACTCACAAGATTTATAAAGTGTTAATTTCAATAAGTATTTTGGAGAATGATAAAGATATGTGTCTGTATGCAGTAAAGAATGACTAGTCATGTGGTGTTTGTTCATTCTTATACTCCAGTGTTCTCCCCAGGATTTTTTTAAGGCGCAAAATTCAAGGGCGCATAACTCTTTTTTAGAGTGAACGTTTGTGATCTGAAGCAATAAGTCATAAATCATGACATGCAATATGAATTATAATGCTTTGTGTTATGTGTTTAATAATGCAGAGTATTAATGAATTACAAGAATATATATATGAAACAAATTGATTTTAAACACAAAAGTTATTTATATTCAGTCAATTAAAGAAGTCAAAATATAAATATTCATCTCTACTCTCTGCTCCTTCTAGGGATATTGTTTCAAGATAGTGTTATTTTGTTGGACAGTCTGTTCCCCAACTTTGTCTTTATCCTCTTCAGGGTTAAAAATTAAACCCCCACTCACAATAACTTTTGCTTATACCCCCTTTAACATTTCTAAGCCATGAAAACTCAGTCAGCCACTTGTCATTGAAACCAGAAACATGGTGCTTGCTTTTATCAATTGTTAAAACTTGAGCTTGGTTGGGATTAGGAGAAGCAATGCAATCTGCTTATACTGACAGTGTAGACGGAGGTGTATTCCACTTTTCATTAGAAGTCATTGGTGTGAAAAAAAACTTCTACTTCCATCATCTACCTTTTGCTTATAATTCACCCCTTTGTTATTTGCAGAGAACATGTTCATTCAGAATTAATAAAATCGAATATGGTTAAGATATTTGGTATACAACTTTTTAAAACAATTTTTTTTTATAAATGAACAGCTGACCAGTTTCCCGGCGTAGTTTCACATTACGCTTCCGTGCGTATTATTGTTTAATCCTATCTTTGGCAGATAGATATAAACGAAACTTTACAAATTCGTTAAAGTTAAAACCATTGAAATTATTTACCAGTGACATTATACAGAAGCTGCGGCGATTCTGTACCCGTGTTGATCGTCACATATTTCCCGACGCACGGATTCACGATCGATGTTCAATGATCATTTTATTTCTAAAAATATGACAGTTTCAGACGAATTTACCTTGCAAGCAACATTTTTTCACTTTCTATTAAAGTAAATCACTCCTCGTTATCTTTAATCAAACTTTATTTTAATTTTTTCAACTACTAATACTTTCATTCATAGTTTTCATCGTAAATATCTTTAGCAATGTGTATTCAAATTTATCATGTGTATTCAACACGTTCATTGGTCGTGTTTAAATAGATTCTTCTTCTCGACCAATGAAAAAATTCGTTATATAAATGGTCAAGTGATCACACACACGATGCGTAAATACAATGTATTTGCGATCTATTTCTTCAATTTCTGCACTGAAGTTTTTTAAAAATTTTAATTTTCTTCAAAAAATATCTATCTTGATGATCATTTACGCTATTACCTGATAACATAGTCCGATAAGGCTGAGATAAGCGTTGCTCAGGTAAAACTAATTATCAGTTATTGCGTAACACTGACCGACCCATCAGCGGTGATCAGTAACTTGACAATTTTAACCAACATTTATAATGCAAATGTGAAAATTAACACGCTGCGGGATCAAGTATCAAGGGACAGCGGCCAATTAAGACGCTGCGGGATCTACAAAAATATTATGAAGGCGCTGCGGCACCGCAGCGTCATATCGGCCTGGGGAGAACACTGTACTCTCATGCTTCATCTTCTCTGGCTGTCAGGTCTCAAATCGGGAACGCAAGATTTCATCCCTCCAAGCACAACTTAGTGACCTCCATAATCAGGTCTCTAGAAGGGAGGCAGAAATAGGAGCTGGACAACAGACCATTAAAACGCTACAGGATAAACATCGTTACTCAGCAGGGGAGGTAATAAACAATTGACAAATATATCTGTTAGATTGGCAGCTAGAATTCGTCTGTCTATTTGCTTGTGATACAGTGGCGTACATGCAATATATTTGATTTGGAAGCTGAAAAAAGAATATATATTTGTATCAATTAACAAAAGCATTGCTGTTAGAGAAACCGAAAGACAGCAATTATGATTATTTGATTATTTTTTCTTCTTGTTATAAATGTAGTATGTTTTTTTACGGTGTTATGATTGGTTTCGTATAATTTGTGTAGTAAGAATCTAATTTGCTTTTAGTTTGCATGTAAATGTTTAATTTTGTCAATCAGGACAAAAGTTAAGTATAAAGTAGGAATTAATGCTTCTAGATATGTGTGGATTTTGTATTTAAAGTTTGGATCTTATTTCCTTAAAACTGTAATGTTTTAATGTAGAATATAGAAGGTATTGGTGCAAGAATACAATAGTATACTTGAATATTGGTGTAGGGCTTTATTTTGTAAAAAAAAAATAATGGATAGTTAAAAAAAAGATAGTCACAGTAAAAATTGACATTTTCTAAGTTTAGAAAAAGGGAAAAGAAAGGAAAAAATAGTAATTACTACGGTATCTTCTTGTATGATTTCAGCTTGCAAAATCTGAAGAAACAATGAGACAACTAAAGCTGGATGTACAACAATACAAAGATAGATATAATCAAACTAGCCAAGAGGTAATGTAATATAGAGATTATTGTACATGGCAGGTGCTTGATGGACTGTCAGAAAGTGTTGTCATGGCAAACTTTTGATGAACCTGAATTTTTTCTCCTGTCAATTTCTACCACAATCTAAATTAAACACATATTGGGGTATAAGAGGCACACTTTAAGACCCCTACCACCCATAATTGTTTTTTTAGATTTTCTATTTGCTTATAATTTTAAGAATTGTATAGAAAATGAACCATCCATATCTAATTGATTTGAGAGCCTCCCATCCGCCCTATACAATAAATTATTGGAACAACCCCTACTAGCATGCTTATAGCTGAGATTTTCTTTTGAATATTTAAAACATTTAATTTAGAAAAAAAATTACCATTTATCTTTAATATTTCTAATACCATTATTCTCTGTCCCCAATCGTGTCAATAGATAACTAGCTGTCATTATGGATAAAGAATTGTTCATAGACAGTTAAATGCCACATCTAACAAATATGTAATCCCACAATAATACTCTATTAGCAGTAGTCTGTGAAAATGAAGAATTGGATAGTTAAATATATAAAGTCGGGCAAATATTAATTTAATATTTAATATTGAATTTGTTGAACCATATCATAGTATTATTCAATAACAGAACATTACATTGTTTCTTTTAGGTTATTGGGTTTTTAAAGCTGTAAAAATATCAATGTTGATAAGTTTATTTTATTGATCAAACAGTCCATAATTTGATCAGAATTTTAAATCATTAATGCCATTGGGTTAAATTTCATATCATGTTATCTCCCTCGACAGTTAGGTTGCCATATAATTTCATTAAATTTTCTCTTTGTGAGGACTTTGCCTCTAAATGGTTTTGTGATTTACGATCTGCGATGATTGAAATTGTTAGATTTAAATGCTGAAGATGACAGATAAACGATCTATGTTTAACAGTATAAAAGAACTACATTTATGACCAGCACTTCTTTTGAGAAATCCCTGTTTGCACCTCTTTAAAATCCAATCCAATTCTGTCACCTAATTTAAAATTCTTACATGCAGCATTTTTTTTTAAATACTCCAATATAGCTTTGTATATAATATCAATAGTAATATACTAGTTATACAGTTATATCATTCATGGTTCTGTTAATTAAAGTTGAGAATGGGTTAAGTGACTGAAATTCAACCAATATTTACTTAGAATGCATATTTGATCATTTTAATGGGGAAAATAAACAGGATGTGATTAAAATGTGCAACATTATGAATAGACAAACTTAAAATGGTAGTGTAGATTTGATTAAGGTGGTTTGAAGGACATGTCTGGGACTTGAATATGGCAGTGTTTATATGAAATGAGTGAGAGGGAATATCTTCGACAAGATCAATCTCTTTTCTGGGTAAGGCTGAGAAATTGTTTTAATTACACTTAAAATTCAACCAGCATGAATCAAGCAGGTTGGTTTTATGTTATAATTTCTTGCTTTCAGGGTCAAGCATTTTTTTTAATTAATACATATTTGATGCCAAGATATACTATATACTTTTCCCTATGGTTTTTAACTTCGTAGATTGACTTTGCCCCCAAAAAGCATCATTAACTGCAGAAAATACTGAAAGTTGGTATGTTTATGTGTATGTGTTAAGGTATTTGTTGCTGTAGTTTCAATTGTAATTCTGTTGCAGAATATCTTTAAATAGTTATAACTTTAGTCAGAACAACAGCATTTAAAATTTGCTAATCGTTCGTTTTAGATACCCCATTATGAAAGAAGGCTACGATCACTGGAAGCTGATCTTCAAGAATCCAAAGAACATAGGAGAAAAGCGATGGAAGAGGTAAGATTAGTAACAGCATCTAGTTTGATAACAATATCCTCTTACTGTGTGGCCAATATCAGCCAGTCAATACCTTAAGCAAACGAATATCAATACATCTGTTATTCTATTTCAGGTTGAAAAATATCTCTATGCAAAGTCTGTAAATGTTTGAAAAATTGATTTGTTATAGGACCCTACTAGAAACAGACCAACAATCATCTTTTATTTTGTTTTTGAATGTTCCAAAATCAATCAAAGTCTTATACATTTACATGTCAAGGTGCACTTGCATAAGGTCGATTTTTATCCTACCCAACTCGTGTGATAAATTCATATTTTAAAAAATTTTCCAAGGGTGGACTAAACAAATGAACTGATGCAGAATGTTGAAGAAACATTAAGTCCAGAAACTAAACCATTGGAAGTTTATTGTATTTTCATTTATCCTTACAGATTGGAGTTCTGCAAGATAGAGTAAGGGATTCTCAAGTCTCCAAGAAAGATCACAATGACATTTTGAAATCTGAGTTGGCTAGAAGAGATGATACTATCCAGAAGTTAAGAAGGGATGTCCTTGCATTGCAAGAGAAAAGAGACGCTGCAGTTTCAGAGGTACAATTCAGAAATCTTTCAGATTCAAATTATATAATACATGATATACCCTTATTTTTGCAGTTGGCTTTGAAATGTAATTTTAGTGTAGAAAACTTCAGTGATGTTTATGTTGAATAAATTCATGTTTCTGTGACTTCCTATCAACATGAGTAAAACATTTCATTAAAAAAATCAAAAAATCGTAGAATGATGAAGAACAAAATTTCTTTTATTTTTTTTAATGATAAGAAAACTTCAGTATTTCTTGTTTAAACTAAAATCTTAATCTTAAATACCAACCCAAAGCAGAGACCTTGTGTCTCTTACCTGATGCTTCCACTTTTCAAAGAAAATAATGAATTTGATGCAATGCCAAATACAGACAACATTATTGATAGATCTGAATAGCTATTCCTCGAAATTGTAGTTGTAAATATTTCTTGACAAATTTTAAAAGAAAATCATTTTATAGAATTGCTTTTTTGACACATGAAGTAAATTTTAGTCAATACATGATACACAAGTTTTTTTGTTGTATTTTTTTTACAGTGGTAGGCTTTATTTTTCAAAATGCATTTCTAAAATCATCTGTGAAATTTTTATTTTAAAAATATAAACTTCCTGAAAAACTTAATAATGAATTTAGGAATTTGTAAAATAGCTATACATATAAAACATTACTTACTGTGGATTCATAATTACTTTTGAGATACCAATTTTCATGGATTTCATGGATATAGACGAACCGCCAATTTAAATGTTCATTGAAGTACAAAATATCTATAGGTTTGAATTCAGACTTAGGCAAAACCATGAAAACAAATATCCACAAAATTACAATGTTTCCTCAATCCACGAAAATTGGTACCGTCGAAAATAAACGAATCAACAGTGAGTGAAATTGTAAATAACCACTACATATGTATATTTTTATACCTGCAAATTAATCATGCTTTGTCTTGATACATGACATGTTTGTTTATAATAAAAGAAGTACTATACACACATAAAATTGCTTATGTATTGTTTTGAAAGTTTTGTGATAAGCTTTGCTAGACATTTGTTGCCTAATTATTATAGCTGGATTCAAAAATACACTCCCTCAACCAGACTGAGGACCAGAAAAAGCTTAAGGAGGAAGAGGTAAATGAAAATTTATAACCAGAAAAAACACTGCTTTTCCTGCACCTAACAGTTGGCTGGGAGACTAGCTTACTTACCTCCCTTGATTTATGATGCATGTAGTTTTCAATCTCTGAAACTGTCATCAATTGAAATTTTTTTAAATTTTTTTTATCGCTGAATATTGGTCATTTCTATTGTAAATAAATCTCTGAACATTGGTCATTTCTGTTGAAGTTTAATGTCTGAATATTTTTCATTTCTATTGTAGTTAAATCTCTGAATATTGGTCATGTCTATTGTAAATAAATCTCTGAACATTGGTCATTTCTGTTGAAGTTTAATGTCTGAATATTTGTCATTTGTATTGTAGTTAAACCTAGATAAACTGAGTTGACTGTATGTCACAGAAAAGTGCCTGAATTTAAAAAAAAATAATAATTTTTGTTGCCGCTTATTTTTTTAAATTTTGAAGATAAAGTCTTGATTTTTTTTTAATTGGATATTTGGTCCAGCTTCAAATTCACCCTGTAAAGTTATTCTTTTAACAGTGAAGTTCTAGATGTCAAGTTACATAATCAGACTGCTTTAAAATGAGTATAATAAAGGAAATTCTCAAATAGTTTTTGTGCTATGATATTTGTGTTATTAAATAAATTTGATTTGTTTTACATTGAACAGTTATTATCAGAGGTAATGAAAATATTAAATTATAATGATGTATTTTTACCACTATATATAAAATGCAAAGCATGCATCAGCACCACTAAAATGTTCTACCATAGACAATATACTGTAAATAAAACAAAATTCACTTGTTTCAAAGTAATTATCACGATTATCACGATTGTTATTTAAAAATTAATAGGTCAAGCACCATATGAAATAAATTGTATTTGTGGGGCCTTGTGTATTGCTCCTTTTGTATTGCTTCTTGTGTCTCTCTGATTACTTGGAAATATTGGATTATAGTGGAGATCCTCAGAAGAATTTATTGGACCATATCGTCATTGGAAAAATTGACTGAAGCAGTTTTCGCCACCTACCCAAATTCTAGTGCCTCACCTAATCTATTTTGTAGAAATTTTGTAAGTCTGGTTGTCTCCATTGTAATGAAATTATTTTAGCTACCTACTTAAACCAATATATTGAATTGACTTTTATTGGCATAATGGTAAATTTTCAATGCTCTATACCTTGACGTTAATTATACAATGGCTTCCTTTGAGAACAGTCTCTCAGTATAAGCAACAAGAGGTGAAGAGATTTTATGATCTGTATCAGAGATTGTTTGTTTTTTTTTCAGAGCAGATTTTGTTAAACAGTACTTGCATCAATTAATTTTGTTTTGTTTTTATTTAAATACACTAACCACATAGTTAATTACACACCACTCACTGGTTTATTTGCACAGCAGCTTTCCAATTAATATAGTCTTCATTGCACTGCACTTGACTTCTAAAATTTTGTTCACTGTCTGGTTTTAGTTAATTATTGTTAGACAATTTTCCTGGATTAATGCAGAAAATACAGATATCAAATTTGGTGAAGAAACTAAATGTGTTTTCGATCAAGATTAATCATCTGAATGATAAATGTCCATATACTTTGGTCCCCTTTACAGAAGAAAGAATAATAAATTGAATAATTTGATTTTTTTTTATATATGAGCCTCTAGTTGGGAAATGTTGCTCTTAAAAGGTGTTAATGAAGTTTACTTTTTGTGATTGGTCAATAACATCAATAGACTCTTTTCTTTAAAAGATAAATTGAAACCTGAATTTTTGTGCAACTAGTGTAAGACAAAATGGTTATTATTTGTGAAAATAAGTTAAAATGTTAGAAAAACATATTTTTCACATGTTTCTGCATTATGAGATTTAAAAAAAAAAGTTTTACCTAAGATAAAAAGTGTTTGATATTTTATATGCAAATTGTGAAAATTGTTTAACTTTAAAAAAACAGTCCTCTTTATGAGTGGGTTGAATAATTTTAATTTAATTTTCAAAATTTATCATTTTATATATAAATACATGTTTTATAAAGTTTTATATCAAGCTGTTAAAAATGAAATCATGAATTTTTCAGAGAGTGTTTAATCTCGAGAATTTTTCTACTGGAATAAAAAATGCTGTCAACAGATAAACATGTGTTAATCAGTACATTTATGTAATTAAATGGAAATGACTTATATGTATTGACTTGTCAGATTCATTTTAATACCTTTGTTTATTTATGGAGTCTTAATTAAATTACCTGTTGTGATACTTTAACTTTTGACCCAATTATAGATAGCATTAATTGACTGGGCCATTTAATTAATCTATTGTAAGGTGGGGGTAAGAGATAAAATATCTTAACAACGTTGTCAACCAGCAGCATAAAAAACAAGATGGAGGACAAACGGGATAAGGTCCCTTTCTCAATTCACCAGAAGGTAGATTCTGTTTCTGTTTCATATTTGTCTGTTTCACTTTTAAAATTAATTACACGTAAATTTTGTAGGTTAGCTAGATTTATGTTTGTCTTTGTATAGTGTTATTTAGATCTTTATCAACAATGCATTTATATAAATTGATCTAAACAAGTTCATACAAATATCTTGCTTGGGTATGCAGATATGAATTGTTTACAATTTGCCCTTGAATTCTTTAAAAAAATATGCACTACTGTTTATTGTAACACATGGGAAATTAGGTATTTTGATTGAGAAATTCTTTACCTAGCATTTCTTGCCATTTAATTTCACATAAGAGATATATTTATTTCATATTGTTTACTGTTTATATCACCATAATATTTTTAAGAGGAATATAATTACAGGAAAATTCCCAGTTTTAAAATGCTACAGGGTAGTTGACAACATGTGGTTTTGTCTTTGCTTGTGGAACTCATAATATACAAATTGAAAGAACTCTGGAACTTTATGTTTGATCAGATTTAGTTTAAACATTATCATAAGTTTTGTATACATATCATTTATTATTTATTTCTCAAATTTGTGTTGATTAGGTAATTGGGGAAAAAGATATACACATAGAATTTGAAATAGACAGAACAATTTTGTGCATATTTCTTATAAAATGCTTTTTACCCATTGATATTTGGGTCATTTCAGTCATCTCCTTTTAACATTCAATAGCTAAAACTGACATGGCACAATGGTAATATTTGATAGATTTTGACTTTTCATATGGGTAAATCTTTCATAGAACATTACAAAGTCTTTGTTTTTTTGTATTTTTGTTACTTTAATACAATGAAATTACTCAAAGCATTTGTAAGCATGCTGTGATAGAAATAATTTGCACAAATTGTTTATTAGTAATGTATATGTGATGGTACGAAACTGAGATAGAATTTTAAAACGAAGAATAAAATATTTTTATTTTGTTACAGCTTTGCGATACCCATCGTACAGGTTGATTTGAATTTTGTTGATTTCTTGTAATGGTAATGATTTTTAAACAAAAGTATTTCTTTCCAATTATTGTGACTGTTTGTATTATGTTATGAGTGTAAAATTTTGTCTTATTCCAAATCTTATGCCAAAGTATTTATTTGTTGAATAATTAGAAAGTTTGATTTTGTTCTATTTATAGATGCACAGATTAGAAGCAAGATGCAAGGTGGCAGAAGAAGAAATTGAGTCACTGAGGAGAATGAATGAAAACTATAAATCTGATGTAAGCAATCACACATTATCACTATTATAGATCAACTTAAAATCACTTTTGACCATCAGATGACCATAATAACATGTTAAAGCTGTTACTCAAGTCAGAATACAATATCACAACATTTTTGGTTGTAAACAGAACTGTGTATTGCGATTGCAATGAAAATAAAAATTTAAATTTCGGAAATTTCACATTATACCGCAACTCATTCAACAGTGGAAATGTGGTTTAAGCTTCGCTATGGCCAGGGATGGATCTATTAAGAAGTTACAGCTATATTAAACAAATATTACTTGTGTTGTTTAAGGCGACGCTGCTCTTAAAAGGGGGAATATCTTTCCTTCAGCTATTTAGATGTTAGAAACAACATTCATATGAAATTAATGAAACAATGTTTACTTTCTTTTATTGAAAAAAATTCTGAGTAATAACTTGTATTTGAATATAGCCTGGAATTCTTTTAAGGTATGCTGTATTCTGACTTTTCAATAATAAATCCACAGTTTTGAATAGAAAGTTCTTTTTACATAATAAATATATGCTTATATATGTTTTCATTAGAGATGTATTACTTTAGTAGTAGGGATTTTCACTTTGCTAGTTATTCTATTTTAGAAGACTTTTGATTGCCAAAAAATATGACCAACAATGTCTCGTTTAAAATAAGAAATTAAAAATACCTTTTGAATTTTTCTTGATAAAATACTGTATTATTTATTTATATTATATGCATTTACTGAGAATTCATAGTTTTTTAAGTGAACTAGAGAGTTTCGAAGGCACAATTTATCCAGTAAAGACAAATTTGCTTAAACCCTAATTATTTATAAAATTGTGTTTTGTTATATGAATTCCCAGTATTAAGGACCTGCATGGTTTTGTTTGTTATAACAACTTTTGGTTCCTGTTCATTCCCTTGAGAGATCTAATGAGTCTGTGTTGATACTTTTAACAACTTATTTGATAATTCCAGTGGCTCAGTATTAAAATGAGCTTATACAAAGAGTTTCTAAACACTGCATGAATGTGTTTGTGTGTTGTAAATTTTCTATAAATTGTTTAGATGCATACTTACAATACATATAGTAAAGTACAGCTTATAAAACATTCTTTTCCCCAGAAACAACTTAGGGAGGAGTTTACAAAAGTAAAATTTACCTTTCAAAACTTTAATCATCACTTTGGGAAACCAGACCGATAGGCATAGGGGTTTGTTAGGATGTTTTGGGAATGGTTCTTTTTAATGCCATTTCGGGAAGTTTTTATACAAAACTTATGTTATTTGGAAATCATTTTGGTAGGGCAAGCTAATGATATTCAAAATTTTGCTTACTTTTAATCTTATTTTTCTCGGGAATGATTTTTTTGTCAGACTTTGGGGATTGCTAGAAAAAGCCATGGGTATATAAAAGAGCTTAGGCAACTTTGCTAAAAATGTGATAAAATTTACATTTAATGAACCACTTTGTTGCCCAAGAAAATTAAACACATAAATTGTTCTGTTGTAAATTTTGCGGGAGGTGAAAGCAGTAAATTGAAATCTTAGAAATAGTTTAGATTACCTTCTAGACAGTCAAAATGTAGACTAATAATATTCTTTTCCCACTATTGCTTATAATAATTTCCCTTATATCTGCCTTAATTATTGATATTTGTACTATATTTTGTGTAATCTTGTAGTTAAAACATCACCAACCTAGGAAGAATATTTTGTGTAAAATTTGTTTTTGGTTAAAAACCGAAATGATATTATAATTAGTGAGAATTTGTTACTTAGGCCAGTGCAAACGTAACCAAGGTAACTCGAGCAGAGGCGGAGCAACAAACGTTGAAAGCCCAACATGCCGAATCTTTGGCACAGGTAGAACAATATATAGAGTGTTTCACACAGCTTCAGTGTAGTTGGCTTATAGCTTTTTTATGTTGTGGGTGCATGATTCAACTATTGATGTGGTTTTTGTCGAGCCTGCGACTTTTGTCGCAGAAAGCTCGACATAGGGATAGCGATCCGGCGGCGGCGGCGGCGGCTACGGCGGCGGCGGCGGCGGCGGCGGCGTTAGCTAACTTCTTAAAAGCTTTATATTTTAGAAGATGGAAGACCTGAATGCTTCATACTTTGTATATGGATGCCTCATGTTACGAAGTTTCCGTCAGTCACATGTCCAATGTCCTTGACCTCATTTTCATGGTTCAGTGACTACTTGAAAAAAAAGTTCAGATTTTTTGTAATGTTAAATTCTCTCTTATTATAAGTAATAGGATAACTATATTTGGTATGTGCGTACCTTGTAAGGTCCTCATGCCCGTCAGACAGTTTTCACTTGACCTTGACCTCATTTCATGGATCAGTGAACAAGGTTAAGTTTTGGTGGTCAAGTCCATATCTCAGATACTATAAGCAATAGGTCTAGTATATTCGGTGTATGGAAGGACTGTAAGGTGTACATGTCCAACTGGCAGGTGTCATCTGACCTTGACCTCATTTTCATGGTTCAGTGGTTATAGTTAAGTTTTTGTGTTTTGGTCTGTTTTTCTTATACTGTATGCAATAGGTCTACTATATTTGGTGTATGGAATGATTGTAAGGTGTACATGTCTAGCTGGCAGGTGTCATCTGACCTTGACCTCATTTTCATGGTTCAGTGGTCAAAGTTAAGTTTTTGAGTTTTGGTCTTTCTTTCTAATACTGCATGCAATAGGTCAGCTATATTTGGTGTATGGAATGATTGTAAGGTGTACATGTCTAGCTGGCAGGTGTCATCTTACCTTGACCTCATTTTCATGGTTCAGTGGTCAAAGTTAAGTTTTTGAGTTTTGGTCTTTTTTTCTAATACTATATGCAATAGTTCAACTATATTTGGTGTATGGAAATATTTTATGATCTATATGTCAGTTACGCAGGTTTTATTTGACCTTGACCTCATTTTCAAGGTTCATTGCTCAGTGTTAAGTTTTTGTGTTTTCGTCTGTTTTTCTTAAACTATAAGCAATAGGTCAACTATATTTGTTGTATGGAAGAATTGTTAGCTGTACATGCCTGCCTATTATGGTTCATCTGACCTTGACCTCATTTTCATGGTTCATTGGTCAATGTTTAGTTTACTTGGTTAATGTTAAGTTTATGTGACAGTTGTAATAAAGCTTTATATTTAGGACTATCAACATAATATCAATGATTAGTAAAGAAGGCGAGACATTTCAGTGTGTGCACTCTTGTTAATTATACATCTTCTTAATTTTGATATTTGATTTGGCACCAGTAGTCTTTTCACTTTAACAAAAGAATATTTTTTTTTAGATTAAGTGGAAAATAATTTTTTACTAGTTTAAGCAAAAAGTAGATGTAAAACTTGAATATTAAAGAAAAGAAAATATTTAGCTATGGATTTCAAAGAGAAAATTAACATTTGATATCTTAAAAATAATAAGAAATCCAAAATATATTTTTGAATGCAATGAATTCCTGTATATTATTATGATAAAATTAGCTTTCATGCTTGTCACCTTAGGGCTTTTCCATTAAAATGTATGTGGGAGGGTAGAAGGGGAAGTTTAATTATTGAATGTGGGTCATTGGTCTTTTTTCTGTATGTGTCTATTACCATTATGCAAAATTATCTAAAAAATGGTTCTTGGTTGTAGGGATATTTTGAAATTCCCTTCCTACCCTCCCACATACATTTTAATGGAATAGCCCTTATGCCAGATGAGCATAGATTGAGCACATGTGCATGTTGATTTTATTTGATATACTAATGCATGTTTTATAGTCTTAACCATCACCCTGTTAACTGTTGTGGGTGTAGTTTTCACATGTTATTATTTAATATTAAGTCTTTAAAAGAGAAATCACTGATTTGTCTTTTGGCACAAGGGAGATAATCCACACCAATATAATTGCATGCAAAACTATTCATGATGGAAATTTAATATTACTTTTAATTATATTGACAATAATGATTACAATTACCCTTTATAGCGTTTTCTTTCCATTGTACCTTTTAACACCAGCTTGCATGTTGCCAACATATGAATTCAGCTGTACCTTTTATGGAATCATTCCCTTGCCATGCATGTTATCTGGCTGTGCCTGCTATTAGACCTTGAACAACTGTAAATCCTGATTCTGCATTTCCTTTAACTTGTTTGAATATAAAAATTTAGAAATTGTTTTACATCTTTAAAAATGAGCTGTGGCAAATATTTCAAAGAAAAATTTATTTGAATTCAAATTGAATACATTTAATATGTTTATTAATCTGGATCTGTCATCATCATTGGAAACGTTAATATCTTGGGTTTTTTGTTTTCAGGTACAGAAACTGACAACCTCCTTACAGAAATTGCAGAGTTCTTCTAAAGATACTAGAGATGCTCTCACAGCTGAGGTAAACATAGTCAAATTCCTCCCGGTCTATACAGCTGTAAACATTTTGAACCCACTCCAAAGGTTTACGCAGAATACATTCATGTGTTACATTCAGCAAAATTCCTTACAACTTGTTTGCTTAGTTTTGTTTTAGTTTAATATTAAACAAATTATAAAGTGATGAAATTTATATAGCTGAGGTGAAACATTTTGATTCAGGTGAATTTACTTTAGATTTACCAGAGTTTTGGTTTTCAACAAATGAATATTTGAATTAAATAACTTGATAGAATTTTAGTTTGCAAGAAACTTTATTTACATGAATGGTTGCTGGTGTATAAACTACAGATGTGCAGCTCCTTATTATTGCTATGTGTCTAGTTTAACTGCTTTTAATTTAAAATATAACCAGATATTTGGTTTAGTAACTTTAATTTTATTTGAATTTTGATGTATTTTTAAAAATAAGTAAGATTAATATAGTTCAGTTTTTTGAATGTTTTTTTTTTGAGTTTTAATGATTTAATATTTTATTTGGAATTAGAATGCTTATAATCTATTTTGATAGAAAAAAGATTTTAACCAATTGACAATTTTTTCTTAGTATGGTTCTCATCAGTATGGTGTAAGTGGTCAATTCTCCTCTTTCGCTTGGCTTACAGTTACTTCTATCAAACAATGATATGCAATAACTTGCTTTCTTGACATTTTCATCTCATCTGAAATAGTTTGCTTTAGTAAATTGAAAGTGTTTAGAAATTGGCTAGTCAACTTTATGCACATTTACATTTTTACACTTTAATAACAGTTGGATTAAATAATAAAAAAAGATAACCATGAAATTCATTGGAATGTGAAAAACAATAGCAATTAAAAGAAATGGGAAAATAATCATTTGTCAACTTTAAAAAGGTCAAATCCTCATTTGAATGTCCCAAATAAGCTAAATTCACATATATTTTTTTCACATGGAAAAAGTCAATCTGTTTTCATTTAAAATCAATAAGGATTTCTAGCTGTTTCAGATGAGATTTTTCATAAGATTCTAAGAATATATAAATATATCTGAACAATAGCTATAAAGGAATATAGCATTATGTATAATGCTGTAGTTATTTTTAGGAATTGGCTTTCAGGGATTCTGGTTTCTATTAATAGATATAAGTTCCTATTTATGTAATATTAGATTTAACTAGACTTAGATGAAATAGAATATCCTGACAATTAGTAGGGAGTTGTTCTTTCCTTAATGGCTGTTTATACCTTTACATGCTGAACTTGTTACAATACTATGTAATGTTTTCATCACAATATTATTAAGTACATTTGTACTTGGTAAACAAAATTCAAAAGTATTTGGAACTATGTATCATAAATATCTGGTATTTTTCTGCTAACAGGAACTATTTTGTTTTTGCTATAGATGTATAAACAGTCTTTAAAACATACATACCAGTACCTCATGTATATCTAGTATGCTTTCTCCCTTATATAAATAACCCCTTATCAGCATATAGTAACAACCTATAGCGTTTTATTACAAATCTGCTTCAAATTAGTAAGATGAAGTCAAGATGTCTTTTTTGTTAGTTTTTTTTATGTTGTCACAACATCTTTTATTCCAAAATAATCCTAAAGTTTGTAAAGTTGACCATACAACTTTTGTTCAAAACTTAATATGATATACCAATATTTATGAAGTATTTTATAAGACCTGATTTCTGACCAATTATTTGACTTTAAAAGTTCACAGTAATATTATCCTGTCTGTATACATGTATATGCACACTCTATATTTCAAATTGGAAACTATTTACAGAGGTCGACTTAACAAAATTTAAAAGTATGGCCAATAGGGACAGTTTGAGCGTAAATTTACTGGCCCAACTCAATTAAAATTTGCCCTAATAATATTATCTAAGTGAAAATATAGTCAAATGTAATGGCCAATGGGGCTAGTAGTCTTTATGTTCAACTGGCCCTATCAAAATTCTACTGGCCTTGGGCCAGCGGGCCATTGCTTAAGTCGACCCCTGATTTACAGAATAAGAATTGTAATAATTAAAACTTGGAAATTTATTTTCGATTATTCCGCTAACACATAAAATGAGCAAAATTTTTGTCTGCCGGAAAAGTCTGTAAAAATGAACAATACTGATGTGAAGGGTGCTCTTATTGTTTTATGCAGAAATTAAAACCCAGTGCGGAATATTGATGCTTTGAAATCCCTAAAATATCCATGTTTATAGGTCTTCTGCTTTCCCTTTTTTTCAGCAATGACTGAACATTTAAATTTAGATGTGTTACTCACCTTCTTTTTATTTTATATTTATTTTGTAAATAGTTCTTTTAAATAGTCCTAGTCCTTCACTTTGTCATTTCAATCACATTTGCATGCATCAATCAGCTGTTGCATTTAAAATGATCTTAAAAAAGTTTGTGAATTCCCTGTAACTACATCAACAGGTTGCTGATAGACATGACAGCCTTGTCAAAATGAGAAATGAGAATCGTGATTTGGAAGAGAAGTTGCGCGAGGCTCTCGGATCTGCACATCACAGGGGTGATGTTGTCAAACAAATGAGAGATGAAGTAAAACAGTATCAAGTCAGAGTAAGTATAGTGACAGATATTAAACTACTTTTATTTAAAAATTAGAATTGATGAACTGTCAATCTGTAGATACAGACATAATTTATTGAAATTGATGTCCATGGTCTAGATTTCTAAAAATTCTTCATTCATAACTGTGAAAGTAATACACATAAATTGAAAAAAACATATACATTTAGTGGCAAATAAAAAATAAGAATAAAAAAGCAATACATCAATAATTAAACCCCAAAACTATAAGACAGGTACAAAGACAAACCTGAAAAGACACTAACAGAGAAGAACTAAAGCTGTAGACAAAATGAACTCCTTTCCAAAATTAGGAGTGATGTATCTTTTGGGAAATTAAGATTATTTTTTATGCCCCACCTAGGGGCATTATGTTTTTTGGTCTGTGCGTCCGCCTGTCCGTCTGTCCGATCGTCTGTCTGTCTTGCTTCAGGTTTAAGTTTTTGGTTTTGGAATATAGATAAGCAAGTCAAATCTGCAAAATATATTGAAATGAATTGACTACTGTAAGGGGAAAAAATGTTCAGGAGAAGGAAATGTGTGACCAATTTATTAATTTACTACTACCGTAGAAAGGCTTGTATAGTTCGCAGTTGTACATAGTCCGCACCCCCTTCTCCCCACGAAATTTTAGGTAAAAAAACTTTTTGTAACTGTTAGAAAAGGTCTAATGAAACTCCGGTAATTTCAAATCCTGTGCGGTCCTTTTGCAGAATTTTCTTGGAAGAACCTGTTTTCCATCATCAAACAGAAGCTGAAACTGCTTGTAAATGATTCTAGAACGCTTCGTGATTGTTAAAATAAGTTTAATTCACTTAAAAAACAATTTAGAAACTTGTGTATGTTTAAACAGGAAGTTTAAAAAGCATGTGTAAAAGAAGAAATTAACCGGTGGGAGTCGAAATCCGTACATAACAGATATCACTATAATACGACTTTGAAAGTAAAACAGTTCCATCCTTTTGTAAAACAGTCTTTAATATATCTATCACATTAATGTTTGAAGGGTCTTAAGCTAATACAAACCATATTAGTCAGTATGAAACACCAAAACGGAACGAACAATAACCGATTACGTTTTGTAGTTTACAAATTCTAAGCTGATTTACGGTTGTCTTTTTCACTATGTTTGTATCGTTTCAATCAAGCAGATACCAGTTTATTTCAACCAATGCATTGAAAAGAAACACGAAATTTGTAATGAAAGGTTTAGTTTTTATATTTTTCAGTATTAATTTGATATTGAATAGAAATAACTTATTAATATGGATGAGTTAAAGTTATTCGTTTAAAAAATGATAAGAGCGCCCTCTACAATAGAAATAACAAAGATGGCAGAACGTAAACAAACCACCTCGCCCGCGAAATTGAAATTTTTCTCTTATTTCTTGCTTATTGTACTCTATAGTCCGCACCCCTTCTGGAAGGTCCAATTTTGGAGAATAAAACAGCGGACTATACAAGCCTTTCTACGGTACTAGTATATAATTTAACAGAAAAATCTTATTATTTAACAGTTACAAGAAAGCCAGAGGAAGATGGAATCGATGAACCAAGACCTGCAACAATCACAGAGTCGATACACTGCACAGGCTAGAGAGGTATGCACAGAGATTTTTAACTGCTCAAATTAAAACAAGAACAATAATCATGGCTGATACACTTCTCAATTTAAAGCCTGAAGAGATAACTATAGTTGATACAGTTCTCATTCATATGTTATATAGATAATGAAAGTTGAAACACTGCTAATATAAAAATCAGATGTGGTATGATTGCCAGTGAGAATACTCTCCACGAGTGACCAAATGACACAGAAATTAACACCTATAGGTCACCATATGGCCTTTAACAATGGGCAAAGCCCATACTGCATAGTCAGCTATAAAAGGCCCTAAAATGTCAAATGTAAAACAATTCAAACGAGAAAACTAACACCCTAATTTATGGACGAAATATTAAACAAAAAACAAATATGTTACACAGCAACAATCGACAACCACTGAATCACAGGCTCCTGACTTGGGACAGGCACATACAGAATGTGGCTAGATTAGGATGTTTTTAGCTTATTTTTCAATTGCAATATGTCATGCATATTTTGGCAATGTCAACTGCTGCAAAGATACTTATGTTTTGTGGAGTACTGGAAATAACTGTTCATGGATTTACAAAAAATTTAATGATTGTATTTCTGTTATAGATTGATCGTCTCCAAACAGAGTCACAAGAAAAAGACCTGACAAAAAGCCAAGGTGAAACTGTATTGAAGTCTGAGCTTGCTGATAGAGAAGAAGATATCCATAGACTAAAGGCTGAAATATGTGTGCTTCATGAAAAGTTATCTCAAAGTTCTGGTCAGGTTTGTAGTTTATTTTGTGCTTGCTGATATCCAAAAGTTCCAAGGCTACATTTTATGTTATTCTATATTCTAGTCTTATATAGAGAAATCATTTGTTGCACCTAAGATTGAATTCTTCTATGCAAGTTGGTCAGTGTAGTAAAGTTAAGACTTTATATATCTAACTAAGTTATTTGAGAAGGAAGATTTACAATTGTAAAATGAGCAAGTGAAGTGTAAATTACATAGAATTATACCAGTGTGGTTCTGAAATCAGTATGGAAATGTATTGCCGAAAAATTAAACAAATCTGCAAATGCCATGAAGGGATTGTAGTAGATTGCTATATGCAAAATATCTCGTCTGGGTTTTTACCCATTTATTCTTAAATGACTGTCTAGTTAAAGACCTATCTTTTGTATTTCCAGCTGATGTCTAGAGAAGAACAGATACAAAGACTGAGTTTGAACAGGGAAGATATTCATAGAGAACTAGAACATAAAGATGCTTTAATTCAGAGGCTGGAGTCTGACTTCTCTATTGCCAAAGAAGAGAGAAGAAAATCAGATGATATAGTAAGTCAAAATAAAAGATAACTTAGGAAGATTTTAATGAATGTGCATTTCTTTCAGGATTTGAATAAAATTGATCTTACTGTAGGTTATTTTCAGTATTTTATTTATTACCGATATACAGATGGGGAGTCCAATGAAAATTACATTTTATATTCTTTTCATTTAATAAAATACTGTAAACCAACTTACCTTCGCAAGCAATTTATTTTTGTGACTTGCGCAAGTAGAAAAGAACTTAAATATAAACCATGGTGAACTATGACAAACTTGCATCTTCCCTTACACAAATACAACAAATTGGTTAGAAAATATATTATGTCGTAACGTTGGTTAGAATTGCTAAACAGAAAAAAAGAGGTATATGCGAAAATAATTTGCTTACGGTAATGAATTTTTAATGAAGTCCTGTAGAAAAGATATATTTCAAGCAAGGTATCTGTTACTTGCTGTCATCACTGAACTATCAGCATCTATTAGTTTGTTATGGAGTTTCAGTTTTAAATTGCTATCTTGGTGAAAGAGAGATAACTGATTTAGAATATTTTTCAGCTATCAAGAAGGGAGATAACTATCCAGCAGCAAGAACACGATCTAGAAACAGTTAAACAACAATACAGAGAAGCTGTGGAAGAGAATGGCAGGTTGGAGGCCAGGATTCAGGCATTTGCTATAAATGCTCAAAGCGAACAAGATGTTCTTAGCTCAGAGGTATATAGAATGATTTATTATACCCCCGCTTTAAAAAAGTGGGGGTATACTGTTTTACCTCTGTCTGTCCATCCATCCGTCCCATGAATATTTTTCGTTGCATCTTTCTCAGGAACTACATCATAAAGATTTATGAATTTTGGTTTCAGGGTTTATATAAGTCAGCTATACCGTGTGATGCATTTTCAGATTCATCACTCAACAACTTCCTGTTTACCATTAAGTATTTGGGCGGGGATATCATCAGTGAGAAATTGCTCGCAGTTTCACTTGTTTGTTCTTTCTGGAAGTCAGTAAATATATTTCAATCAAATCCATCGTCAACTTCCAATTTTTAGCTCACCTGACCTGAAAGGTCAAGTGAGCTTTTCTCATCACTTTGCGTCCGTCGTCCGTCGTCCGTCGTCCGTAAACTTTTACAAAAATCTTCTCCTCTGAAACTACTGGGCCAAATTTAACCAAACTTGGCCACAATCATCATTGGGGTATCTAGTTTTAAAAATGTGTGGCGTGACCTGGTCAACCAACCAAGATGGCCGCCACGGCTAAAAATAGAACATAGGGGTAAAATGCAGTTTTTAGCTTATAACTCAAAAACCAAAGCATTAAGAGCAAATCTGACATGGGTAAAATTGTTCATCAGGTCAAGATCTATCTCCCCTGAAATTTTCAGATGAATCGGACAACCCGTTATTGGGTTGCTGCCCCTGAATTGGTAATTTTAAGGAAATTTTGCTGTTTTTGGTTATTATCTTGAATATTATTATAGATAGAGATAAACTGTAAACAGCAATAATGTTCAGCAAAGTAAGATTTACAAATAAGTCAATATAACCGAAATGGTCAGTTGACCCCTTTAGGAGTAATTGCCCTTTATAGTCAATTTTTAACCATTTTTCGTAAATCTTAGTTATCTTTTACAAAAATCTTCTCCTCTGAAACAACTGGGCCAAACTAAACCAAACTTGGCCACAATCATCATTGGGGTATCTAGTTTAAAAAATGTGTGGCGTGACCCGGCCAACCAACCAAGATGGCGGCCACAGCTAAAAATAAAACATAGGGGTAAAATGCAGTTTTTGGCTTATAACTCAAAAACCAAAGCATTTAGAGCAAATCTGACATGAAGTAAAATTGTTTATCAGGTCAAGATCTATCTGCCCTGAAATTTTCAGATGAATCGAACAACCTGTTGTTGGGTTGCTGCCCCTGAATTGGTAATTTTAAGGAAATTTTGCTGTTTTTGGTTATTATCTTGAATATTATTATAGATAGAGATAAACTGTAAACAGCAATAATGTTCAGCAACGTAAGATTAACAAATAAGTCAACATGACTGAAATGGTCAGTTGACCCCTTTAGGAGTTATTGCCCTTTATAGTCAATTTTTAACAATTTTTTGTAAATCTCAGTAATCTTTTACAAAAATCTTCTCCTCTGAAACTACGTGGCCAAATTAAACCAAACTTGACCACAATCATCTTTGGTTATCTAGTTTTAAAAATGTGTGGCGTGACCTGGTCAACCAACCAAGATGGCCGCCACGGCTAAAAATAGAACATAGGGGTAAAATTCAGTTTTTGGCTTTTAACTCAAAAACCAAAGCATTTAAAGCAAATCTGACATGAAGTAAAATTGTTTATCAGGTCAAGATCTATCTGCCCTGAAATTTTCAGATGAATCGGACAACCCGTTGTTGGGTTGCTGCCTTTGAATTGGTAATTTTAAGGTAATTTTGCTGTTTTTGGTTATTATCTTGAATATTATTATAGATAGAGATAAACTGTAAAAAACAATAAATGTCGGCAAAGTAAGATCTACAAATAAGTCAACATGACCGAAATTGTCAGTTGACCCCTTTAGGAGTTATTGCCCTTTATAGTCAATTTTTAACCATTTTTTCGTAAATCTTAGTAATCTTTTACAAAAATCTTCTCCTCTGAAACTACTGGGCCAAGTTAATTATAGATAGAGATAATTGTAAGCAGGAAAAATGTTCAGTAAATTAAGATGTACAAACACATCACCATCACCAAAACACAATTTTGTCATGAATCCATCTGCGTCCTTTATTTAATATTCACATAGACCAAGGTGAGCGACACAGGCTCTTTAGAGCCTCTAGTTTTTTTAAGTTTTCAACAAAGGGCATCTGATAGGTTGATGTTAATTGATAATTTTACTGCACTACTTCAAAAAATAAAATCATATATATTTTTTAAATGTTTTTACTCAATGAATACTCTCTATTTGGTTTTTGCTTTCTAGGAAGAAGTGGGGTTTCAATAGGAATGTTGAATGCATGCATACAAAATAGTTTGAAAATATGTATGGTGGTTATAATGTTTTATGTAATATAAATTCAAAAATGTTTCTTGTTACATGGTTATATTGTCAGACTTTTAATATTCACAAACATGTTATAAGTACTTGTAAAATACAAACCATGCAGTAATGATAACTTGTACTCTGTTTTAGGTAAAGAGAAGAGAGGATGCAATCAAAAGGTTAAAGATGGAGCATGTTTCACTTCAAGAGTCGAACAGTAAATTTGCTGAGAAGGTAATTCAACAGTTGAAAATATTCAGTATTTGGTAGCATATTTTGATGTTTATATTAAAAAAACTCTTTGATAAACAAAAATGAAATAAAATTACTTATGGGAAAAATATTTCTTGATATAAAACATAAATTTGTATATTTGTTGATGTTTTGAATATAAATATTTTATTAGGTGAACCAGTTAGAAAGAGAATTGGACCAGCTTAAGCAAAGGTTCAGAACAACACAGGCTGAGGTAAGATTAACAAGTTTTTTACTTAGCATGTATAAGTTAATGCAGTTTACTTTTTAAATTATTAGTTTGCAAAATTACCATGTATAATGTATGTCAGTCAATTAAAGGCACTTGTTTAAGACCATGACCTCCCATAAAATAAAATTTTCCATTTTACTTATAATTCCTATAAAATTCTAAGGAAAATGCAACCACCCATATTTAATTAATTTGAGTGCCTCCCATCCCCCACCCGATAAATTTTTGAACTGCCCTAAATAATTTAAATGCAATTGCCTTGCTTTGAGTATGAATTAATTTAGTTTCTGTACTTAGATTGCAAAAACTAATACCTGTTCTAAGTGTTCCTATGTACATGACAATAAGTTCACTTTTAAATTCTTTTCATTCAAAATGCCATTTGATGTTTTAGGTTGACACCAAATCAGGCATGATCAGTAATTTGGAACGTCAACTGGACGAGGCCAAGAAAAGAACTTCTCATCAGTTCGATGAAATTCAGAAACTTGAAGATCAAGTACGGGAACTGAATGTAGAGCTTGCCTCTGTACAGTCACAGGCTGACAAGCTTCACCAGAACGTAAGTTATACTTTAGTAATGTGAGAATGAAAGTACTATTAAGAATTTTTATTTTAAAAGTTGTTTTAAGAATTTGATTCTGTAAAGAAGAAAATATCTGATGAAAATGGAAATGGGTCTTTTGCTTATGTGTTACTGTCAGTGAATATGTTGAATTGCTTATGTGTTCCTGTCAGTGAATATGTTTGATTGCTTATGTGTTCCTGTCGGTGAATATGTTGGATTGCTTATGTGTTCCTGTCAGTGAATATGTTGGATTGCTTATGTGTTCCTGTCAGTGATTATTTTGGATTGCTCATGTGTTCCTGTCAGTGAATATGTTGGATTGCTTATGTGTATTCCTAGAGTTCTGACGGTGGAGGTGTTGGATAGCATTTCATGTAATTATACATGATGAAGTTTGTGACTATACACATGTAGTATGTTCTTAATTCCTATTCTGTATCAGGACTAGTCTTGATATAAGTGTTTTCCCGTCTTGCTCCTGAACAGTAGAAATATATGTTCAAATGTAGTATCAAAAAGTAATCAAATTAATGCAGTTTCTTTTAGCAGTGATTTTTTAACAATCTGCCGGCACAAAAAATATGACCCTTTAGGATGTTATTGGTATCGGTGTACCTTTGAAGTTGAGTACTACTAAAATGGCCTTTGTTGAACTTGAAGGAAGTATAAGCTGTTCCTGATTAAGGTAGCTGGCCTTGAAATTATTTAATTTAAAAACTGTTATAGTTGTATCGGTACAAACGGAAATAGTTATAAATCTAAATTACAAGCCCTGAAAATGCATGAATAATGAATAGTTGTTAGTTGTAATGCTGCAAAGTTTAGTAACTGTTCATGAAATAAAGAATTAAAGTTATAACCATACATGTACAAACAGGTACCTGTCAGGGTAACTGGCTTAGAAATAGAGGTAAGATGTTGGTCCAGTTTCTAGCTTTCTATGTACAGATTTTATACTGTATCTTGTTATTCTTATATTGTACTCCGCTATTTTCATATTTTTGATAAATTTGTAATATCTTATCCGACCATGCACACTTTAATGAAATAGCACCAACTTGATTAGTTATTAAAAATTTTACTGAAATGAGTAGATGACAAATAATTCTTTTAGAAAAAATAATGATAATAGAAAAATACTTAAAAATATCTGAATTCGTTTCTGTTAAAAGGTTTTTCTGTTTAATATGTACTTCCTGGATCTAACAATTCCTCGCTTCATATAAATTAATATTTGCCATCCTATGACGTACAAAGATTGCTTTTTATTTTGAAAGTTTAAAAAAAATATATATATTATTGTATAGCAATACTTTTGTTTGCTTAAAAGTATATCAAAATTCAGCCTGCAGTATACCTTTTCAGTAGTTGATTATAATGTAATTTAAAAATACTCTCATGTAATTTCACATTTTTTGCTATACAATAATAGTTTGTGATGTTTATTTATTCTATTTCTTAATTAAAGGAATGGAAAGGTATTGTCAGTATCCATAATTGATGCAATTTTGTTAAAGCAAATTTTAATTGTTGTTAAATGTTATTTTGTGATTGTTTGAAAAATCTTTTGTGGCCTTTATATACTGAATATTAATGTCACATGTAAGTTCATCTGAATAGATGAAAATTAATGGAGAAGATAACATTTTAGTCAGTGAAAGTTGATGGCTTTAAAGAAAAAAAAATAAATTTATAAGGAATTTAGGTTGAACCAGAAGCTAAAGTGCTAGTGAATGACATTTTTTTATGCCTCACCTAGGGGCATTATGTTTTTCTGTCCATCCGTCCATCTGTCCCGCTTCAGGTTAAAGTTTTTGGTCAAGGTAGTTTTTGATGAAGTTGAAGTCCAATCAACTTGAAACTTAGTTAATTTGTACACATGTTCCCTATGATATGATCTTTCTAATTTTAATGCCAAATTAGAGTTTGACCCCAATTTCACGGTCCACTGAACATAGAAAATGATAGTGAGAGTGGGGCATCCGTGCTTACTATTTGCTTTAACAAAAACACATTCTTGTTATAGAAATCAAATGTCACAAAGAGTTGGTATGAGTCTTTAATTAATCCAAGAAAATTACTGCTAGAATTCAGTCAAATTATAACTACATGAGATTAAGATGGTTTAAAGGTTTGTTTACTTTATATAATTAACTTGTATATATTTATGCATTTTTAGAATACAACAAAAGATGAGTTAATTCAGCAACTTAAAGGAGATATTGATGGTCTTCAGAAACAGAGGAAAGATATGGGAGGCAAGGTAAGTTAGACAATTCTGATGATAACTTATTCGATCTTATTCTAGAAAAGCAGTGGAAACTTGTGAAATCTATGAAAGAGATTGACTTTTGTTGCAAAGTAAAGAGAAGGGATTCAATTTTAAGTAAAATCTTAAGAAGTAGTAGGACATGTTTTTGCTCACCGTGAAATTGAAACCATGTTGTCACCACCTTTTATCTAGTTTATTTAGCCAATTTTCCGAACTCTTGTAGTAAACAAAACAGTGCAGTTGGGTAAAAATTCTTTATACCATATCCATATCTCAGTTTATTAATTAAGTCTCCCAAACGAAGTTTGGGAAGACTTATTGTTTTTGCTCAGTTCTTATTATTATTATTATTCTTCTTCTTCTTCTTCTTCTTCTTCTTCTTCTTCTTCTTCTTCCGCCGCTTTTAAATTTGAACTTGTCCGCACCTGTTCTCCAAAACCACTTGTCGGATTAACTTAGGGTTTCATAATATGTTAGACTAACATGTCTAGTGGTGCAATCAGGGTTTTGTTTTTGCAATGGGGTTTATAAAGGGGTACTTTGAGGGGCAAAAAGGAAAGAGGGTTTTACTATAGAACCCTATGGGATTTTATTTTTTAAAATTTTCAAATGATTATAAATTGAAAACCGTTCGTGATAGACACAAACTTTTTAATTGAAAATGTTCTAAATGATAAAGCCCATTAAATGAAATACAGGGTTAGTCCCCAGGGGTCACCCCCACCCCCTGCCATTTAAGAAAGTTCTAATACCTTGTAAGTGGTCAAGATCCCCACCCCTAAACCATATATATTCTGGTTTGTCATGCTAAGATGGTTTGAATAATATACAGGGTTAGTCCCCAGGGGTCATCCCCACCCCCTGTCATTTGAGAAAGTTCTAATATCTTGTCAATGGTCGAGATCCCCACCCCTAAACCATATATATTCTGGTTTGTCATGATAAAGCACATCAAATGTAATACAGGGTTAGTCCCCAGGGGTCACCCCCACCCCCTGCCATTTAAGAAAGTTCTAATATCTTCTAAGTTGTCAAGATCCCCACCCCTAAACCATATATATTCTGGTTTGTCATGCTGAGATGGTTTGAATGATATACAGGGTAAGTCCCCAGGGGTCATCCCGACCCCCTGCCATTTGAGAAAGTTCTAATATCTTGTAAATGGTCGAGATCCCCACCCCTAAACCATATATATTCTGGTTTGTCATGATAAAGCACATCAAATGTTATACAGGGTTAGTCCCCAGCGGTCACCCCCACCCCTTGCCATTTGAGAAAGTTCTAATATCTTGTAAATGGTCGAGATCCCCACCCCTAAACCATATATATTCTGGTTTGTCATGACAAAGCACATCAAATGAAATACAGGGTTAGTCTCCAGGGGTCACCCCCACCCCCTGCCATTTAAGAAAGTTCTAATATCTTGTAAATGGTCGAGATCCCCACCCCTAAACCATACATATTCTGGTTTGTCTTGATAAAGCACATCAAATGTTATACAGGGTAAGTCCCCAGGGGTCACCCCCACCCCCTGCCATTTAAGAAAGTTCTAATATCTGCTAAGTGGTCAAGATCCCCACCCCTAAACCATATATATTCTGGTTTGTCATGCTGAGATGGTTTGAATGATATACAGGGTAGGTCCCCAGGGGTCATCCCGACCCCCTGCCATTTGAGAAAGTTCTAATATCTTGTAAATGGTCGAGATCCCCACCCCTAAACCATATATATTCTGGTTTGTCATGATAAAGCACATCAAATGTTATACAGCGTTAGTCCCCAGCGGTCACCCCCACCCCTTGCCATTTGAGAAAGTTCTAATATCTTGTAAATGGTCGAGATCCCCACCCCTAAACCATATATATTCTGGTTTGTCATGATAAAGCACATCAAATGAAATACAGGGTTAGTCTCCAGGGGTCACCCCCACCCCCTGCCATTTAAGAAAGTTCTAATATCTTCTAAGTGGTCAAGATCCCCACCCCCTAAACCATATATGTTCTGGTTTGTCATGCGAAGATGGTTTGAATGATAGACAGGGTTAGTCCCATGGGGTCATCCCGACCCCCTGCCATTTGAGAAAGTTCTAATATCTTGTAAATGGTTGAGATCCCCACCCCTAAACCATATATATTCCTATTTGTCATGTCTCGAACATTTGAATGACGTATACGGTCAGTCCCCAGGGGTTCCCCCCACCCCCAATGTTCTAATATCTTGTAAATGGTTGAGATCGCCACCCCTAAACCATATATATTCCTGTTCGTCATGTAATGAACATTTGAATGACGTATAGGGCCAGTCCCCAGGGGTTCCTCCCCACCCCCAATATTCTAGTATCTTGTAAATGGTTGAGATCCCCACCCCTAAACCATATATATTCTGGTTTGTCATGCCAAGATGATTTGAATGATATACAAGGTTAGTCCCCAGGCATCACTAATGCATATAACTTTACTGGACCAAACCAATTTTCACTGGACGTTGCCCAATGTCAGGCGACCCTGGGAATTACGAATTATGGGAGCTTCGTTTGGGAGACTTCGTAACAGCATCCTGTTACAATCATTTCTTGTTATATACAGCCAGATATTAATGTTGCATAATGATGTGCATGTGTTTAGCAATACGTGTTAATAAAACCATTTTATTTTTAAAATACACAAGTTGCAGAAAGTAGTGCAAGGCATATGAGTTTACTGCCTCATTGGTTATGTCCTACATCTTTTATTTATCATACTCTTGCAACATCAATAAGTTACTTACTAGATATAAGCTGTGTCCCATCAGGAGTGGCCTTACAAATGAGGTTGTATTAGTGTTTGATTTGTTATTTCCTGTTCGGGACATATTTGAAAGTCTTTCTTTTATTACAGATGATTGTGAGAGATGAAACCATCCAAAAGTTAAATTCTGAAATTGGAAAGTTGAAAGCAAAACATCAAGATAAATTAACAGAAATCCAGAAAACAAGTGAAACCGTAAAGAAACTTCAAGATGCTTTGACCAGGACTCATGTTGATTTAGATAAAATAAAGAAGCAGTCTGACGAAGAAGTAAGTACAGTTATCTTACTGGTTTGAACATTAGATATGTGCAGATGAAATTGTAACAACAGTATCGAGAATCTATAAAACTGTATACTTGTATCTATTGCTTACTTACATTCTTATATTATTCCTAATATAAAGTATACATACAATGACTTACTATAATTAATTGATATGTAGACTGCAATATAAAAGAAAGTGCATATGTGCACTCCTTTGTATAAATTAAAATCAATGAGCATGAAATAGGATTAAATAGTATTTAAAGTGTTAATATTAGATTGAAGAACTTAAATAAGTGTATATTAAATTTCAATTATCTTAACATAGTTAAAACCATAAGCTTAAGTTATATAAATCACAGTTAACATGTCTTGATTTATTGACATGGATGAAGTAGACATCATGGATTTTGGTAATTTTCAGGTGAGAAGGAGAGATGGAACTATCAAACAGTTACAAGAAGATTTGATGGAGTCCCAGGCACAATATAGCTCCTGTTACAATGAGGTTAGTATTTTCTTTCATTTCTAACTGATGGATTAGGCACACACAGGTTTTACAAATACATGTATATTGAAATAAGGGGATGTGGTATGATTGCCAATGAGAACAATTATTGACCAGGGTTCAAATGACTGGGATGTTAGCAATTGTAGGTCACTGTACAGCCATGCACATGTGCTTTTTTACTTTCAGTGTGTATTATCTTATTCAATTACATGTATATGGACCTGAAATTCTTGCTATGTTTTATCCAAACTTTTATTGAACCTTTTCCCAGTGTTGTCACATAGAAAGACAATTTAATTGCTAATCCCACCCTGAGCAAAGAAATCATTGTATCATCACACAGTATACCATTTTGCATTCATCTAATATTTGTGGTAACTTCCTATGTAGACAGTTGAGATTTACTGGGGAAATTCAAGCAATTTCTAAGCAAGATTGTTTATAATTTCAGATGGTGAAGGCAGAAGATGACATACAGAATCTGAAGGCTGAGAATTCTCAGTTAAATAATAATAATCAACAGAGTGGTCAGGAGTGTGGTCATCTCACAGAACAGGTCAATCAGATGGAGTTAGAACTTACTATATCACAGGAAAAACACAGGACATGTCAGAAAGAGGTAAACTAACTCGTCAAAGAAACCGCAGGAGGATAATTGTGATGGGAGTTGTTAAAAATTCAGAAAATGATAAAAGTGAAGAATTTTCATTTATTGGGATATGTTGAAATTACCATGTTTTTCCACACTCCTTAAGTGGTTTGATTGGATGTAGTGAAATTTACCATAGGACAGTATACCTTGTCCAGATTTAAATTTGGCAATGGAGAATTTTAGTTTGAAAAAAATAATGAAAAACAGTGGGTTTAACCTGTATGCATAAGCACACATCATCTTGGATTTTACTGATTTTCAAAATGAAAATTAAGTAATGAGGATGTGATTAAAAGAATTTAGGTTTGAATAAATGGATTTTCCAGTCAGAGGTCATTTAAGTTTACAGCCATTTCATTCAATCCCTATTTTTATATCCCACTGAGGGGCATTATGTTTTTTGGTCTGCGTCCGTTCGCCCATCCGCCTGTCCCGCTTCAGGTTAAAGTTTTTGGTTAAATTTTTTATGAAGTTGAAGTCCTATCAACTTGAAACTTGGTACACATGTTCCCTATGATATGATCTTTCTAATTTTAATGCCGAAAAATTAGAGTTTTGACCGCAATTTCACGGTCCAATGAACATAAAAAATGATAGTGTGAGTGGGGCATCTGTGTACTATGGACACATTCTTGTTTCCCTGTTATTTAAGTAAAATTGTTGTTGCGAAGCTCTCTTAATTTCATAATTAAAGTTACACAATAGTTACATGTTTTTCAGGTTGCCAGCAGAGATCAAGTGATCCTGAAGTTACAGTCAGACTTGGACACATCCCAAGAAAAATATACTGGTTGTATGGAAGAGGTAAGCCATTAAATTTCTTTTTGAAAATCTCAGATTGGTGCATTTAATAATTTATTAAAGAAATTAAGATGGGTTGGTAGAGCACTTTCCATTTAAAGAGATGATGAATTCATCTGAAAAATATATTTTAGGGCTAAACATCAGTTTAACATTTTAAGAAGGAGACAATAATGACCGGCAATATTAATTTGATTTATGATGCAGTAGTAAAAGTTGTATAACTCTCTAATCTAAGACATTTACTGTTAATTCAGATATTTTGCCAGCATTAATTGTATGCCCTGGAATCACAATAATTGATCTTACTTTTTGTTCTTTGTTCAACATATGCAATAATAAATGCATCAAAAAATTTCTGAACTTAGTTATCATTATGATGACTAGTACTGTTAATTTGTCGAAATGTAGAGCTTGATACATGTTGTTTTTTCCAATAGTTGAACATTAGAGAAGATGAAGTAATCAGATTGAATAACAAAATCAAAGAATACCAACAAGAAATGAGGAATCTAAATGCCAGAATTGATGAAGATGAACAGAGGGTAAAGCTTTATAATTTTGATATATTCTGAAATCATTGATGTTTTAAAGCAAACGGAAAGCTCAGTTGGTGTTTTGCAATGAGGAGCCACTTGGGAAGAAATGTTATTGTCTAGTTTTGTTTAAATATTTGAATTAATTGTCACATGGCAACATATTTTGAATACTTGTGTAGATTATGATAAAGGGAATCAGTTTCCAATGCTAAACTTCATAAGAAATGATATTGATTTTAAATATATAAATTGTGGAAACATAATTTATAGTCTATTCTAGGCTTTGTGGAAACATAATTATAGTCTATTCTAAAAAAGTAATCTATTTCTGAACCACAAAAATGAGATGCCAGAATGCAAATATTGTAGAACACATATATGAAAAATTAGAATGTTTGTTCCTGGCTTAAAGAAAATTTACTGATAAACAGAACTAAACAGTATAAATAAAATATTACAGCTATCAAGTGATGGTAAAACAATCCAGAATCTACAACATGATCAAGAAATCCAGCTCTCTGAGGTAGGAATTATCTTCAGTTATTATATATTTCAGTTCAAATAGATATAGATAAGATTGAACCAGTATTTAAGGACAAACATTCTTCTAAACATTTGCAGCGGAAAAGGGCAATTTAACAAATACAAGTAATTCATTTTTTGATTTCATGAATGTATGAATAGACAGAAAAGAACAGATTGGTAGTATGTATTTTTTGTTAAATATTTAAATACTTTATTGATTTATTGATGATTTTAGTTTCAAAGACCCGTACAGAAGATGATTAAACACATCCCCTCCTTAATGATTTTTTCTCTTCAAGTATTTATTGCCAAAAATTTAATTGTTTTTGACATTTTCTTTTTTTTTTCACATGGTTTTATTTTCAAGAAAAATCACAGCTAATTATGGCAACAAGACCTTGCAACTATCTGAGTCTTAAGAAAGTTTTTGGTCTTTTTCTTTCTTAGAATAGTGAAACAAGCATATAAATGACAAAGACTGAACAGATTTTTCTGTTTGATGTAGGGACCATTTCAAAAGACACAAAGGACCAGAACTTATCTCAGTCATATTGTCATCTTTCCCTATACCAAAGATGATAGCTTTTGTTAAACTATTTACAGTATACGCCTTATTATTATTTTGGGGACTTATTTATATATTATATATCCATGTTATGTTTTGAAATAAAAAAATTTTGGAGGATATTTATTTTTTCTTTGAATTTACGACGAAAAACATTTAAAAAAAATCAAATTTATACATTGAGACACCCTCATCCTGTTTCTTAACCAGGATAAGTTAACATTATAGATTGATTAATTGTTGTCTACTTGATGTTTATTGGCATATATGTCATGCTTATTCAGGATGAAAACAACTAAACAACAATATACCAGTTCGGTATGTCTTGAAAGTTTGACCTCTGTGAAATAGGGTTGGAAATTTGGACTCACTGAAAAAAGGGTATGGTGGGAAGGGTTTAAAATATTGCCTTGCAAGAGGTCACATATATAAATCTCGAAGAGTTATTGTAAGATTTCTTTTACATACAAAGAGTGTGGTACTCTCAACATGAGACTTTAAGATCTTTGATTCCCATTCCAACTGGACAAACTTTAAAGACACATATCAACATCTTATAATATCAATAACCATAAAATTTTGTGAAGATGATTTAAAAGGGCAAATTCATATTAATCAACATACCAGTTTAACGTATAAGTAAACACCAGAAATGTTTGTAACAGAGTTGTTTAGATGTTTTAAGTAGTTCAAAATGACTTTGATGTTTTCTGGTACTTTGTGAAATTGACAAACAGGTAACTCTTTAACAGCTCTCTTATCTGCATGAGGCAGGGAATGAGAATGTTAGCTTAGAGTTGTCTCCCTGGAAATCCTGGTAATACACCAAGGCTTTTTATAATTTCTGTTTTGCATGAGGTTTTCTGTTTTATTTTTGGTTTGGTTGGTGAAATTTTGATTTGATTTTAGGGATATTGCTGAAAGGATATCTGTTTCAAAATTTTAATTTGATTTTTAGAGATATTTTAGAGAGATATCTTTTTAAAAAAAAATTAAATAGAGGACATAATACATCATAGCATGAAAAGAGGTTTATTTTGAAGTTCAAAAGCATGGAATTCTAATTTCAGAGTATAACTTCACTTGCTTAAGGGCATACGATACAGTAGCAGGGGCAGATAATAACGTTTTCAAAACTTTTCGTGTTGTTTTCGCGACGTTGTTAATCAGAACGTTGTAATTTCGCGATGTTTCTAATAAGAACGATTACATTTGGCGACGTCGCTTTAGATGTAGTCACATTTGCGGAAAATCCACTGACGTCATAATCCCGATTGCGCGAAATTGAAAAAAATACCTGCAATGAAAATCGGCCAAATCACGAGAATTGTTATATTTATTCATTAATAAGGAAGTCAACAATATTAACTTCGAATGGGAAAAAAATCAAATCCACATTCTTAACTTTGTATGTCTGTTATTTCATATAGGAAATGAATAAGAGATAAGAAAAACATAAGACGTCGATGAGAGAAAAACCCAACTACACAAAAAAAAAACCAAAACAATAAGTAATTTATATAGTAACTTCACCATTTGGCTCACAAAAAAAATGTAATAAATAATGACAACGCATCTTACTGTTCCTGACTTTGAAAAGGTACAATAAAGAGTTTAACGACATTTTTAGGATTTAACCCGTGGAATATATATGTGTATGAAGAAGAACTGTCAGTTAAAATGACACAGTTATAAGCCCCGTATTATAGCCCAAAAACAAAAACGCACCCGTTGATGTGCTAAGCATATCCTCTATGTACATATTGAGAGAGAAAAATCGGCACACAGGAATTAGGTATTTGACAGACCAGAGTTGCAACTCATTGATGTTAAGTTACTGAACAATACGAAGTCTTTTTGTAAAGAAGTTTCTCAGATAAGAAACAAAATATTTGTTGGACCGGACAAACAATGTGGTTGCACTCACTCCTAGATTGAAGGTAAAATACAGACAAGTAATTCAATGATTATATGTACCGTAATAAAAAAAAATACCCTGAAGACAAGCTTTGGTAACTTATCTATTGATACAGAATCATTAAATTTCATGCTCTTATATCGACTGCTGTATGAAATGTTATACTAGTACTACACTGTAATGGACTAAGCTGACCCGATTTAATGTGGGTATGATTTTGTGTTCATGTAATGCCTATAGAGTAGGTCGTTAGTTTTCTTGTTTGAATTATTTCACATTTTCATGTCGGGGCTTTTTAAAGCTGACTATACGGTGTGGCTTTTTTTTTCTTTTTTTTTTGTGTTGAAGGCCGTAGGGTTACCTTTAATAGCGTTTATCTTCGTCATTTGAACTATGGTTGATAGTTGTCTCTTTTGCAATCTTACCAAATGTCCTTATTTTTATATCATCCCCCTTACTTTATAATTGTTGCACATTTTGTAATGTCGGGGCCTTTTGAACAATTAAAACTATGTTCAAGCTGTGTTGTCTACATGAATTGTATGACTAATGTCGGACATGCAGAGATGCAAATTAATTTTTTTATTATATATATCTGTTTTGTTTCCGAACATGTCTTTTCTAAAAGTAATTTACTAGAATCCTTTTTCTATCCAAGTTTCGTAACAATTCATAAAGGTTTGGCAAATATGATGCTATTTACGAGGAGCCAGCTTTATTAATTTTCATGATTAATATCATTGGTTTAAAAAAAAACACCTTGGCTCTACCACTGAAATTGACAACGTAGTAGTGAACGGCGGGAAAGATTTCACGACGTTGTTGCGAATAAAACTTATTCCAACGTAGTTTGGCGCCTTATTGGCAAACGTCCCGTTTGCCAATAAAAATTAAGGTTTATTGCTTTTATTGAAAAAACAAGCACATGGACCCCCAGTTTTTTCTTTTGCAATCAATCAAGTTCTGTTTCAAGAACGCTCCGCCAAAATTTTAAGAAAAAATCAACGATAGAATTTTTTCTGCACTTCTGTGTAGACGCAAAAATATTTTCATCTTCTTTATTAAGTCTCCCAAACGAAGTTTGGGAAGACTTATTGTTTTTGCTCAGTTCTTATTATTATTATTATTATTCTTCTTCTTCTTCTTCTTCTTCTTCTTCTTCTTCTTCTTCTTCTTCTTCTTCTTCTTCTTCTTCTTCTTCTTCTTCTTCTTCTTCTTCTTCCGCCGCTTTTAAATTTGAACTTGTCCGCACCCGTTCTCCAAAACCGCTTGTCGGATTAACTTAGGGTTTCGCAATATGTTAGACTAACATGTCTAGTGGTGCAATCAGGGTTTTGTTTTTGCAATGGGGTTTATAAAGGGGTACTTTGAGGGGCAAAAAGAAAAGAGGGTTTTACTATAGAACCCTATGGGATTTTATTTTTTAAAATTTTCAAATGATTATAAATTGAAAACCGTTCGTAATAGACACAAACTTTTTAATTGAAAATGTTCTAAATGATGAAGCCCATTAAATGAAATACAGGGTTAGTCCCCAGGGGTCACCCCCACCCCCTGCCATTTAAGAAAGTTCTAATACCTTGTAAGTGGTCAAGATCCCCACCCCTAAACCATATATATTTTGGTTTGTCATGCTAAGATGGTTTGAATGATATACAGGGTTAGTCCCCAGGGGTCATCCCCACCCCCTGTCATTTGAGAAAGTTCATATATCTTGTAAATGGTCGAGATCCCCACCCCTAAACCATATATATTCTGGTTTGTCATGATAAAGTACATCAAATGTAATACAGGGTTAGTCCCCAGGGGTCACCCCCACCCCCTGCCATTTAAGAAAGTTCTAATATCTTCTAAGTTGTCAAGATCCCCACCCCTAAACCATATATATTCTGGTTTGTCATGCTAAGATGGTTTGAATGATATACAGGGTTAGTCCCCAGGGGTCATCCCAACCCCCTGCCATTTTAGAAAGTTCTAATATCTTGTAAATGGTCGAGATCCCCACCCCTAAACCATATATATTCTGGTTTGTCATGATAAAGCACATCAAATGTTATATAGGGTAAGTCCCCAGGGGTCACCCCCACCCCCTGCCATTTAAGAAAGTTCTAATATCTTCTGAGTGGTCAAGATCCCCACCCCTAAACCATATATATTCTGGTTTGTCATGCTGAGATGGTTTGAATGATATACAGGGTAAGTCCCCAGGGGTCATCCCGACCCCCTGCCATTTGAGAAAGTTCTAATATCTTGTAAATGGTCGAGATCCCCACCCCTAAACCATATATATTCTGGTTTGTCATGATAAAGCACATCAAATGTTATACAGGGTTAGTCCCCAGCGGTCACCCCCACCCCTTGCCATTTGAGAAAGTTCTAATATCTTGTAAATGGTCGAGATCCCCACCCCTAAACCATATATATTCTGGTTTGTCATGATAAAGCACATCAAATGAAATACAGGGTTAGTCTCCAGGGGTCACCCCCACCCCCTGCCATTTAAGAAAGTTCTAATATCTTCTAAGTGGTCAAGATCCCCACCCCTAAACCATATATATTCTGGTTTGTCATGCGAAGATGGTTTGAATGATAGACAGGGTTAGTCCCCAGGGGTCATCCCGACCCCCTGCCATTTGAGAAAGTTCTAATATCTTTTAAATGGTTGAGATCCCTACCCCTAAACCATATATATTCCTATTTGTCATGATAAAGTACATCAAATGTAATACAGGGTTAGTCCCCAGGGGTCACCCCCACCCCCTGCCATTTAAGAAAGTTCTAATATCTTCTAAGTTGTCAAGATCCCCACCCCTAAACCATATATATTCTGGTTTGTCATGCTAAGATGGTTTGAATGATATACAGGGTTAGTCCCCAGGGGTCATCCCGACCCCCTGCCATTTTAGAAAGTTCTAATATCTTGTAAATGGTCGAGATCCCCACCCCTAAACCATATATATTCTGGTTTGTCATGATAAAGCACATCAGATGTTATACAGGGTAAGTCCCCAGGGGTCACCCCCTCCCCCTGCCATTTAAGAAAGTTCTAATATCTTCTAAGTGGTCAAGATCCCCACCCCTAAACCATATATATTCTGGTTTGTCATGCTGAGATGGTTTGAATGATATACAGGGTAAGTCCCCAGGGGTCATCCCGACCCCCTGCCATTTGAGAAAGTTCTAATATCTTGTAAATGGTCGAGATCCCCACCCCTAAACCATATATTTTCTGGTTTGTCATGATAAAGCACATCAAATGTTATACAGGGTTAGTCCCCAGCGGTCACCCCCACCCCTTGCCATTTGAGAAAGTTCTAATATCTTGTAAATGGTCGAGATCCCCACCCCTAAACCATATATATTCTGGTTTGTCATGCCAAGATGATTTGAATGATATACAAGGTTAGTCCCCAGGCATCACTAATGCATATAACTTTACTGGACCAAACCAATTTTCACTGGATGTTGCCCAATGTCAGGCGACCCTGGGAATTACGAATTATGGGAGCTTCGTTTGGGAGACTTCGTAACAGCATCCTGTTACAATCATTTCTTGTTTCACTTGTATTAAAAGAATTTAGGATATAATTATTTATTTCAACCGTTAACTTGTTACAGCATGCTGATGCCATGGATCAAGGGAACATTTTACAAAAAACCCGGTTAAATTATGACTGTTCGTTCAAAAGTATTGGTACTTTCCTTAAAAGTCCTGATTTTTGAAATTTCAGGGTTTTTCCTTCAAATATGCAAATTTCGAACCAAATTATCTCAAAAAGTAAGTCATGAAGGTATATTTTTCTTTGCATATTTCAAAAGTACACATCGAAATTGACCTACCAAAATTTCAAGAAAAAATCAACGAGGGATCTCTACTGTATCGTATGCCCTTAATTCAGTTTTTTTACTAATTTCAGTTTAGAATGATTGTGTTTTGCATTTTTGAAAAAATATCATGTCATTGAGTTTAGAACAGTGCAGTTGAAAAATAAATAATCTTGATTGCTGATTGTGAGGAAAGAAATAAATGTTTAATTCAGTTTATACAGATTTCTGTAATTGTATTGCAATGAATTTAAAAGTCCTCAAGCTTTTGGTGTGCAATGTATTTGCTTTTCATCAGTTTTCTCATAATGTACATTGCAAATAAAAATATACTTGATAGAAAGTCATAGATATTCTTAAAATTTCTCAATTTTCTGAACTTTTATATCTCATAATGTCCATTTATAACACTGAAGTTGTCTTTGATCATTAAAATGTTGCCACTTTTATTTAGTCCACCCATAAATGTAATCAAAATTTGATAAAATTTAGAAATAACGATTCTGAAAATAGGTATTTTCCTATAAAGTATAAGTTGAACTTTATTTAAATGTAAATGTTAATAGTTAAAAATGTATATTTACTATTTGGGTATAAATATATTCCTAAAATTTAATTACAAAATTGGACTGTTTCAGGTTAAAAATTATATGAGAACTATTGAGCAACTGAAAACAGACTTGCAAATGGCAAGAAACAGTCATGGCCAGGATGTCAATAGAATGCAACAAGATTTGGACATGTCTCGAGATGAGGTCAATATCACAAAGAGTGAGTTGAAGGAAACACAAGTCCAGGTTCTGGAACAGAAGGCCAGTATTGCAGCTCTTAATGATGAGCTAGAGAGATTACAAAGGATACAGTCAGATACTGCTCAGGAGGTGGGTACCTGTAGCTTAAAGCTGTGTTGACTTAAGATAAAGGAGTAGGGCCACGAAGGGTTAAAAACGGCCCTGTCCCAGAAATTGACGAAATTACTGCAGAAGGATCACTAACTAGTGTAGTTCATAAAACGATAACCAATAGACTTGTAACTGTGTTTGTATAATTTTCCAGGGCGTCAGAAAAGACCAAGGTACAATGGTATTTTAGCCGTTTGCGCGTAACCTTAAAATTGTTTTCATTAACGTTCTAGTAACTTTATAATCATTTTACCACAAGAATTCTTTTACAAAATATTTCTTGAATCTCGTCCATATATCTTGTTTTTTTTTAACTCTATTAACAGAAACTTACTCATATTAAGGTTTAAGCTGCACATAAGCGCTTCAATTAAATTTTGTATAAGTGGCCCGAATACTCGTTTTCTGTATTGATATAATTTCACAAAAGAGAAGTTGCAGAGACTATGTAAACAAAGATAATTCTATAGCATAGATTAAATTAAAAGTCATAAAGGATTTTAAAACATAAGCAATGAATGTCTTCTATTGGGTAGAAGGAATTTAGATTGAAAGCTGTAAAATATCTTGGCGAGCGAAGTACAGTCGTAAAAAAGTATGAGGATAGTTGATCACACCACATCATCTTATTTGTATATGGAAAGAAAACCGTGATTCACTTAAACACAGAAATTTTTTTTTCTAGTAAAGAAGTAAAAGATGAAAACACACATATCATTATATGTACTTCAATAATCATAGAACACATTATAATTGTACAAAAGTCATTAGACACCAGAACCACACGTGCACTCATAAACATCATTCTCATTCCGGAGGATTACATGCTTACTCTCAAATCAACATTCAGATACATGTAGCATCTATACTATTAAACGAGAAGACCTCATTTTGTGTGTCGCTTCTCTTCCTTCCACAATAAATTAATCATCATGCCTTTGTTTCCAATAGGTACCATGCATAGTCGCATTTGTCATCCTCGCTTATGATTATTCCGTTAGGGTTATTTTGGGAGAAAAACGACAATAAAGGCGTCCGGATATTGTTTCCGACATCGGTTGGACTTTTAAGTAATAGACTAGACTTCCGTTTAAAATTACACATAGTTTTCATGAATCTTCAAGTTCATAGGTGCTTGGGGGACAGGACATATCTTTTTTCGCTTTATCTGTATACTATGAACATACATATACTATAAATAAAGAGTACATTGTATTTGCTATTTACTATCAATTCCAAGTTTACCATCATTCATCAACGGCGGTCATATATTACATGCTTAACTAATTTTACTTTCTTTTTGGCTACTTATTATCAGAGACATATATATGTTTCTGTTATTATATGTTTATTTGATCCAACTTAAAAAAGGGGGAGGGCTAAAATAAATTGCTCTGCCACCAAGTACCTTTGACTTTTGATACATTTCCTTAAATTATCCAGTCATAAAATCTTTTACACAAATTCACCCTACAACAGTTTTCATACTTTCAACCAAGCTCTAAATGCCCGCGATTTCTAGTTCTAGTTAGACTGATTTTAGAAGTATTTTTTCAACTACATGTTTTGATATGATTTCATTTCTACAAATGGATGCTCAATAGTTTTTATCTTTATTCCTTTTTACAAATTCTTATTTTCGCTTGGACTCATAAATGTTTTTAAACGATTATATGTATCTCAAATATTTTGACATTTATGAGGGGGGTAGGACCTTTATCGGGACTTCGGGATAGGGTGTTTTTAAGCTCGGGATTTCGGGATTGATCCTTTCGGGATCCGGGAATTCTTTTTTCAAATTTCGGGATGTCGGGATTTAAATTTCTTTAAATTCTGGACCTCGGGATTTCATGTTTTTAAGCCCGGGATTTCGGGATCAGGACCCCTCCGACCCTCCTCATTTATCTTATTCAACTATATGACGAATAATAATTTGATTCTTTTATGTTGCCAATGCACATTTTTGTAGTATTTTTCACAAGTAAATATCAAAAATCACTCTTTACAAAGAACTGGCAAAATAACAAATTCACTATATTGCCGGCGCCGGCAAAATAGTCATTGCTATCGAAATATTCTATTTTGCTTGCTTTAATGAAGATATTTTAATCAAAGACGACAAAATAGCATATTTTCTATTTTGCCTGCGGATGCAAAATAGCCACTGCCTAGTTTAAAAAACTCAAAAATTTGACTGAATACTCATTCTCAGTTGTCCATTGTGGACGATTTCATTTAGTGATTTAGCTATATTCAATTAAATCTATACGAATTTTGCAAAGTTTTAAAAGTACAAATACTTTTATTATTTTATGATTCGTGTTCTCGTTAAAGGGGCATTAGCTACGAGATATAGAAAAAAAAAGTAGATTTATTTTTGTTCAATCATTAATGAAAGTAAAATAATGAAATAATAATTCGCTTTTAGCAGCCAGTTTGGTTCAGTTTTGTCAAAATAAGCAAAGAAACATCGCTAATGAATTATTCACTTGCAAGTGGATAATTCGACCTTGTTAAATCCGTATTCATGTGAAGTTCAATTGAACCCCTTAGCTAGAGATGGGTTACGCATGAACTAGGCGTGTTCAAGGATTAAAAGAAAAAGTATGTCAACATTGGAAGTGAAATAAGGGTAAACCATTTGGTTGACTGATTCGATCTACAAAAACTCATTCTTATACAGGTAAAAATGATTATTAACATATTACTTTAACCTGTAATATCAAATCAAACAGACCTAGAAAAATCCAATTGCACGAGTTTGCTATCTATTTTTATATCTTTGTTTATGTTTATATCGGGTAAGATGACCGTCGGCAGTCTTCAGATGGTCACCTCGATGGTTAATTAGATGGCGTCTAGACTAAAATACACACAAAATGCTGATACATAATATCGAGTCTATGCATCGTAAATTGTTTATTTTATACTTTTTTTTCATTTGGATATACGTTTTAGTATGTTATAAGTCGAATATTAGAATTTGAGTCAAATCGGTGAACATGAATTTGACGGCTAATGCCCCTTTAAGTTTTAAACTGAAATTATTTTTAAAGGTTTTCACAATTGTCAATTTATTCTTAATTAGCTTTTATCTTGTAATCTTACCTAGTCTTGCTCGTGGTTAAAGTGTCCCGATATTCCACATACAACTATCATTCTTATCTCGTAAAAAGTTCGAGTGTACTTTATTATTTTTATTATCATTTGGTCAAATTTAACAGATTCATGCCTTAATCCGTATGAAAAAAAGCAGATGTGTGATATTATTGCAAAGAAGACAACTTTCAACCAGATACCGAATGACGTGCATGGATTCATTTTAAAACTAATAGAAATCCATGAATATCAGTTTTTTTATTTGGCGTTGATTGTTACGATATAAGTGTATGTAAGCTGCGTCCATCCAAGTAATGGATTATCTATAACTATAATTAATATACAAGATCAATTATTTTCGTCTATGTATAAAAAGGAGATATGGTATGATTGCCAATGAGACAACTCTCCACAATGTTTGTTTTCTTTAAAATGAAATGAATTGTGAACTATTTCTCGTGGATATGTTATATCATGGAAGTAAAAATATAATACTTCCATGGTTATATTAACCTGTAAAAATGTGTTAAGAGTTTTCAAAAAGTTTGCTTAGTTGCAAAAAGTACGATATAAACAAATAGGTTTCAAAAAGAAGAGCAAGAGGAATACTGAGATAAACGTCAATGTCACAGGTACCTAACAATGATAACATTAATATTCTATTCTTCAACTACACTCTGCTCACTGCCACTTTCATCCATGGCATGTGGGATAAATGCTTCAAGAGAAGCTCCTCAATTCTGGACTCCATGTGTGATGTCCAGATTATGTCTTGTATACCCTAGATATCAAAGTCTAGAGGTAATGTGCGCAAATTAACATGTTCTCGTCCGGAATATGCATTTGACTTGCCGCCGGACGTTAAACAGTCATCCATCATCATGAGACAAACAACTCATGTAGTAAAATGGTGTGTGTATTTGATATTCAACATTCTTTTTTTTTCTTTTTTCCCAAAAAGTGAAGTAAATATCTTCTCAAAAGATTTTAAAAACTTTAATCAATTTATTTAATTATGTTAAAAGTCATTATCGTACTGTAACTTTAGAGGAGATCTGATTGATAGTTGTTTGACGAACGTCCAGTGGCAAATACTTCATGCATATTTATGACGGAGAGCAATTTAGAGAATCTATTTCAAACAGGAAACAAGAAACTGCATGTGTTATCATTGAACATAAGAGAAAATTCTCCAAAAGGAGGGGGGTGGGGGCAATAAAGAATCATTAGACCAATAAAATCATACAACACCATGAACATATAGAGGCGACAAAAAAAACAGCAATACAAAAAGATAAAAACAAGTAACTACAAATTGAACACGAACTTCGGGCCACCACAAGAAACGAAAAAATCAGAAATATAAAGATATATCATAGATAATTTATTCATAGTAAGCAGCCATTTTTTGTTGGTCGCTTGTGACATAGTCTCACTCAAATTTAAAAGAGACCACCAAAAAGGGACAAAATAAACAATTGCTCCTTGTATGCATGCTGACCAATTATGCACGCTATCCCGCGTGAATATCAGATATGTATTTGAAGTCACCCAAGCTATATGATTGTGTCGGATAGTTTTGTTTCATCTTTATTTCAGTTTTCATTGAAAACAAATATTTCTTCTGGTTGAATGTCACGGACAGTATACACCATGCCCTCTCATGGCGTCGTAATTTTTATTTTAATTAAAGAAATATTGAAAAGCTTATTTAACCACTGTGCAATATGATATCAAAATTCTCAAGTGGCTTCTTCTTATGTCCTACGATTTTCTATGTATGTTTTTGTTCATAGTTCTGTAATTTATTTACACCATCCATAGTAATTATTTAAAATGTTAACTTGGCATGCCATACATGATAGAAAATGCGGACGTGAAAGAAAGCACTTCATCAAAGCGTCAACATGAGATTACATTCCGCGGAGGTTACATTTCGACAATTTCGTCTTTAAAATACAAAATACATGTATCTAAAATGAAATTTGTATTAAATTTTTATGTTGACACCCATATCGATCTGCTGGATGAGTAGAATTTTACGGAAAAAAAACTACGACTCTAATTTAAACTGTCATATTTTTGTTTGCATAGCACAGACCGGGATAATTATTACAAAATAACGTGGAAATGAACTTTAAAATAATTTTCAAATTCATAATTTTTATTTCGAACAATTTGTCTTGTTTTCTAATAAAAACAGTTATGAGGACGTATCTATCCGTGTTTAAAAACCTCGCCGGATCGGCGGTTAACGAAGCTTCGCTAAAAACAAAGACTTGTTATTCCATTTTCTTCTTTTTTTTGTTATGAAAAAGAAAATAATAAATTATAGAATTTATTCTATTTAAAGCAATTGTACAAAATCTTGGTACAGTTATTTCGTCACAGAATCTATCGTACCTCGGAAATGGCGGCGTTGAATCAGGATTTGCTTGTTAGCAAAAGTTAAATTTTCGATGTGGCCACAGGCCTCGACCACGCTAAATAATGTTGCAAACTGAGTCAAAGTGTCAAACAATCAAAATAAGAGTAAAATTACTTTGGTCGAGGCCTGTGGCCAATGCGAAATTTAACCAGGAAGTGTGAAATTCTTAAAGAATTTGGACATTTTGAGCGTTCCGGTTTGATTCCGGGTATTACGTCACATTAATGACGTCACAAAAATATGATTTTATACTATAAAAACAAATAACGATATACGTAGATATGTTTTAGCTATAAAGGATCCACCTTATTACTCTTTTATTTTTTGTCACCTCACAGGGCCAATATCGGCACTTCGTGGCCATACTCCTTTTAATTCACCAGGGGAAAGATGAAAACAAGCCTATTTTATATTCTTCAAAAATTTTGATCAGAAAGATTTGTATCAACACTGCCTTTAAAACACACAAACACACACACAAATTTATTTATTGAACAGTCCCTTACTTGACACTCAGTTACTAATATTGAGTAATATTATAGATTTATATTAAAACCATGATGCCAAAATATAAAGAAACTTAAATTTAGATACATAAACTTTATATTAAGGTAAAAAAAAATCATTAAGGATTACTTCATTTGATATTCACACAATTTTTTCCCCAGGTTGACCGCCAGGCAGCAACAATTCAGGAATTGGATACATCATTATCTGATGCTAAACAGCATGTTATTGTCTTAGAGGACCAAGTGGATTCTTCTAAGAATGAAAATGAAAAGTTAGATTTGAATTTGAACAGTTTAAAACAAAAATACAATCAGAGCATGAACGAACTTGCCCACTTAGATAATACTGTTAAAACATTGCAAGAAAAACTAGCGGAAAGTCGTAACAAAGAACTAGATAAGGATCAGAGAATTGACAGTCTGAAAACAGACATGGAGAATTTAGATAGAATGTATACCGATACTAAACACGAGGTGAAGAAATGTGAGGATGTGATCGAACAATTAACACAGGAATTCAGTACATCACAAGAGGACTTGTCCGTAGCTCAGGCTAGGATCCGAGAGAATGAGGACAATATTAGGAATCTCAAAGACAGAGTTCAAGATCTGACTGCAGAGGTAAGGATTTATATTTATAGCATGAGTATAGGAATAAGGAGGTGTGTTATGATTGCCAGTGAGATGAATAATCACCAGAGATCAAATGATGTAGACGTTAACAACTCTAGGTCTTGGTGCTGCCTTCAACATTAAGCAAAACCCATACCTTATAGTAACTAAAGGCCCCAACATGACAAAATGTACAAAAAAATAAACAAGATTAACCAACAGCCTAATTTATGATAAAACAAACAAAAAAAATCGATGCAATCTATGACAGACAATTTTATACAGGTTGACATGATGATAAAATTGAAGACCTATTATAGTTGATCTATGTATACATAAATTACTAAGATGTTAAAAGTATATTTGTAAACACATTGACACCTTTTTCCATGTTAACAGAATCTAAGTAAGATACTTTTCAAGTATCTCTGCTAAATAAAAGTATAATTATATTAACAGTTGTATAAAGTATATTATTAAGATATGATTATATTTACAGTTGTATAAAGGTATATAGTATTCAGAAACAAGATTTAATAGCATCATTTGACTAATTGTTTTGTTTTTACAGGCATTAAAGAATGAAGAAAGAGCAAAGAAATTAGAGAATGAACTTTTCACCTACCAAGGAGAACATAGTCATACAGATGTTGAGGTAAAGTGTCAGATCTGTCAACTGTCATATATATTTTGAAATAAATCACAAAGAAAGAAGAAATTCTTAACTACAAATGTACATATCTTTATTTTTTGTAGGAAGACTGTTTTACATAAAATAAGAATGTCATTAAAAATATCTCATTTGGCATGTTTGAAAAAAAATGAACTAAAGTTGCCAAATATTCTGTTCTATTCTAGTCTAGAATAATAATATTTTATCTTATCTTGAATCTGCTTCTTTATTATGGCAAGATTGGAAAAAAAATGTGTGTGATGAAATTTTAGAATTATTTTAATATATTTTTCAATTAAAGGTTAGTGATAAGCTTAATGAGAAATGCACAATATCCAGATTAAGTTGGAATTTGTTCTTCCAAAAAGAAAAAGGAAAAAAGTACAAAATGATACTCAATCTTTTTATCTTAAGACTGACTCTTATTTTAAGATGTATGCTCATATATTTCAGTATCTGGAGAAAGAAGACAGAATTGCCCATTTAGAATTAGAACTTGAAGAAACAAGATCTGAACTTGGTGCTAAGCTCCGTCAAATTTCGGACCATCAAGATCAAATCAATGACCTCAGAGTGGAGCTTGCTTCAGTTCGAGAACAGAAAAATAGTGCCATGAAAGAGGTAAGTTGTGTAATCAATTTTGTAAATACCCATATTACTAATGGACAATTGAATCATACAAGGCAAATTGCAAAATGAGAATTTACTTTAAAAAGGCTTATTTTTACTACCTCACAATTTTTTGTTAGCTAATTTCTAATGTTGCACAAGTTTCTCTATGTTTTTTTTTCCGTTTACCTGTTATGTCTGTTTTGTGTTGCCATTAGATTTTAATTTCTACACAGTTCATATGACATCTCCCACTGTTACTCACACCTGTGAGTCTTATTATGACTCCTTATATTGTTGCCAAAATTAATTGTCAAATCTGCATATTTTGAGGGTTTAAGATCCTATTTTAAAGAATATATAGATTCTCCTTTTTGACAAAATAGGGTTGTTGGAACAAATGGAATGTCTTTAAAATTATTTGCACATGATTTTAGCAGGACATAGTGTATAAGCCTTTGTTAGTTCTTGTTTAGTTGTATCTAACAAAATGTCTTTATTTCAGATTGACAGATTAGAACAAAGTATTCAGCAACTTCAGTTGAATCTTGCCAGCTCTCATCAACGTCATAAACATGATACTAATAACATGTCAGAACAGTTATCTTCTCTTGAATCTGCCCTTCACCAGACCCAGGCTAGAGGTCAGGCCTTAGAACAGGAACTTAACCGTCGAGAAGATCAACTGAAGCAGAACGAGGCCGATATTAAATCATGTAGAGATGATATCGTAAACAAGATGGAGGAGGTAAGCAAACTTTAGATTATTTTTGTCGAGCCTTCGACTTTTGTCGAAAAAGCGAGACATAGCGATCCTACATTCCGTCGGCGTCGGTGTCGTCGGCGTCGGTGTCGTCGTCGTCGTCGGCGGCGTCCACAAATATTCACTCTGTGGTTAAAGTTTTTGAAATTTTAATAACTTTCTTAAACTATCCTGGATGTCTACCAAACTTTGACAGAAGCTTGTTTATGATCATAAGATAATATTCAAAAGTAAATTTTGTAAAAAAAAAATTCCATTTTTTCCGTATTTTACTTATAAATGGACTTAGTTTTTCTGCCAGGAAACATTACATTCACTCTGTGGTTAAAGTTTTTGAAATTTTAATAACTTTCTTAAACTATCCTGGATTTTTACCAAACTTGGAGAGAAGCTTGTTTATGATCATAAGATAGTATCCAGAAGTAAATTTTGTAAAAAAAAATTCCATTTTTTCCGTATTTTACTTATAAATGGACTTAGTTTTTCTGCCAGTTAACATTACATTCACTCTGTGGTTAAAGTTTTTAAAATTTTAACAACTTTCTTAAACTATTCTGGATTTGTACCAAACTTGGACAGAAGCTTGTTTATGATTAAAAGCTAGTATCTAGAAGGAAATTTTGTTAAAATTTTGTTCCATTTTTTCCATATTTTACTTATAAATGGATTTAGTTTTTCTTCCAGTTAACATTACATACAGTCTGCAGTTTAAGTTTTTAAAACATTTATTAGATTCATAAACTATCCTGGATTTTTACCAAACTTGGACAGAAGCTACTTACAATCAAAAGATAGTATAGAGAGGAATATTTCTATTAATTTTTTTCCTCATTTTTGTTGAGCCTGTGATTAACAGCAAAAGTAGGCGAGACACTGGGTTCCGCGGAACCCTTACGAATTTTTTAATAGATTTTATCTTGAGGCTAATTCAAGGCTATAAGTTTATTTTCAGTTTAAGGTACTTTGTGGTCACATCAAGTTGAAAGCAGATTTATTGGCAAGGAGGTTAGGGATTATTTTGGTAAAAAATTGTAGCATCACAGTATTTTCTATTGATAATAGTTTTTATGTCCATTGCCAAGAATGTGATTGCTATAAGTTGGTTTTAAATGAGTTTGTTGATCCATGTTCATTAATATATGGTTATTAACAACATTAATCAATATATTTGTATACATGTATGGACCCAATATCCCATTTTTTCATATGTTTTTTTCATACAAGTTAAATAAGTTGACTGTTTATTGAGCAAATCAGAGTAATTGTCCCACAGTTGCAATGAGATTTAAAGTCTGAGACGTATTATTAATTTGAAACATAGAATACTTTATAAATATGCTTATATACTGTTGCAAAATTAGATTCTTAATGGAGATACAAATTGTCCTTTTCAACTTGCAATATTCTCAGTTACATTTTGTTTAATTGAACTTACTAAATTTTTACACATTTTTATTGTGTTCGTGTTACTAACTACTCATATGAAAGAAATTTCTAAAAGTTAAAGAAGTAATTTTCTGTTCAGATTTACTTGTGAGAAATCTCAATCTTTTCCACAAGATTTTCTACTTCTTCTGAGAGATTTTTCTTTAGCTATTACAATCATTTATTCATTGAATTAGAATTGTCTTGTCTTCCATTTTGTATATACTAGTTAAGATCTCTTTCAGCAACTCTTTAAGTGGTCCTTAGGTGGTCTGTTGCAAGGCTGAATTTCTGTCCCTATCCTATATACCCTCATTCTCCACAGGCATTCCAAATTTCCTGTCAATCATCCTGATCATTCCCTTATTGTAGGACCTATCTTTTGTATTTATTGTTTTAGATTTGTTCTCGTCCTGAACATGCATGATAATATCCACTGGGCATTAAGTAAACAACAACAAAAATGATAGAAAAAATATCAATATATTTGAATTTAAATTTGTGTCTGAAAGATCAGATCTGGTAATAGGATGCTATTTAAATGTAAAAAGAAAATGATTTTTTTTTAAAAATCAACATTGTTTGATAAGAAGGGAGGTAAGTCTGTTATGTCTGTGGTCATTTAAGGGAAATAACTCTAATGTATTTTACTATTGATTTGAATGCAAGTATAAACATGCCATGAACCATGATAAAAGTTTTCCCTCTTCCTGGAACTTGTAGTAACATGCTACCTAATTGTCAATGGCTATTTAAAATGACCTGCTGGTTTACTATAGATAACTCGAAATAATAATATTTAAAATCACTGTGTGGAATAGTTCAAGTGAAATTCTATCATTTGTGTATTTAAACTTAGAATATTGAAAATTAAAACTAAAATGGATATTGTCCTTATTTCCATATAACAAATAGAATAAATAACGTATTTATTATAATTATTCATATTAATATAATAGTTTATATAAGTTATATAATAGTTAGAATTATTAAATGTTGGTTAAAAGTTGTATTAAATATTGTTATTTAAGTTTGTCAGTTTTTCTGTCCTTGTACCTTATATGATGTATATTGGAGGCTAAATTTTCCTTGTTCAAATATTTTACCTGTAACAGAGTTTAATCCAATTTACCCAGTGTATATGAACATTAAGTTTTCAGAATATACCCTGCAGTATTGTACAATTTTTATTCTATATTCTTCATGCCATAATTAGGTTCAGTTCAACAGTGAGCTATTAAATTCTACCCATAGATCAGTAGAGTGAATCCCTAGGTGGCAGATAAAGGATATCCTCATCCAAATTAGTTGGGTTATAATACAGAAAGTCAGGGCCCAAAACATAAGAAGCCTTAAAGAAGATAACACATAAGCGCCCCTTTTTTAGATTGGAAAAAAAGAGAAGGGCAAATGTTACTGCTGTTAAAAGTAAAACTGTCCTTCATGTCCTGTCCAACCTCCTTGAAATCTTTTTTCATTTTGTGTTCATTTTATATCACCTATTCAATGTATATCACATAGATATTGCCATTTTGTGCTGCTGGGGTGTAAAGGGCCAATACTAAATCAATTATTAATTTCATATTTCTGAGTGTTAATTTTATTGGTCTAAAGCAGCAGTTTACACCTGAGGGTGGAAATGAAGTTTTGACACTTCGAACTAACTGACCAGTCTTTATAAATTGCAAAGAAACAACATTTCTGTATTCAATAAATTTCATCTTTCTTGATACCCTTGGTTCAATTTGACAAGCTGGGAAAACTTCCCCATTTTAAATGAACCATTAACGAAAATTATTTGACATGTGACACAAAAACAATATGAGATATATATCACTATAATTAAAAATGTAAAATAAACAAAATACATGGGAAATTTTAATTTTATAATGGTTTAATTATGAGAATTAATAAGTTTATAACACCATAAGTAATGAGATTAGTACGACATCACAATGTCCCAATAGTCATTACATTTTATTTAATTCAGTATGAGCCAAACTGCCATGTAGGTGTCTAAAATTTAAATGTTACAAGAATTTATTGACTTCCCATATCAAGGTGTCTGATTTATACGAAATGTTTGCCATCGTTAAAACCTCAAATCTTCAAACATTGCAGTATATTGTATACAGTTGGTATTAAAGTTTAAGTGTTTGATTTTAGCAACTTGGGAGTTGTTTGATCTTTAAGAGAAATTGCATATTTTATAGGTCCTGAAATTCGAATTTTATAAGGCTTAAGTATGATTTATATATTTGTTCAAGTTTAAACCTGGACTGTTTTTCAATAGAATATGACAAACTTAAAATCTTGCCTATAATCTACAACCCCCCCCTGCAAAAAATAAAATAAAAATAAAAACTTAATATTTAAAGTTTGGAAGACTGTCATATGAATGTTAAAGGCAGTCATAAAATAAGATATACAGTAAATGTAATTGTATTTTGAAAAACTTTAAACTGTATTTGAGTACATTTTGAAAGACATTTTATAATTCATTATGAACCAGTTACAATAAATTTTCATTTATATGACTTATAGCTTTTAGCTAAATTGTTAAAGATTGACTTAATAACTTAGAAAAATGAGTTCTGTTCTCAAAGCCATTATCAATTTTGATTTTAAATAACATTAAATTACTGTAACTCTGATTTTTAGAAATTTAATTGTATGTGCCTATTTCACTGAATATGAAAAGTTGACCGTGAATATTAGCATTAATAACGATGATTTGAAATTAATGTAACAGAACGGTAACATTTAAATGGAAATTAAAATTCCAGGTCTTTTCTCACTTACGATAATCTTTGTTTGGACGTGTTTGTTAAACTACAGAACCATCTTTAAGTTTGTGAATAGCTCTTTTATAGTTGCCGTAAAATTACAACCTTCCTTTTGGAAGGTCGTCAATAACTTGTATAGAAAATGTTATTCATGTATTATGATAAGTAAAAATTCATCGGGGGTCTTTAAAGATTGTATTGGTGTATATCAGATTTGCCCTTTGCCGTTCTTTTATTCATGTGAGTGCTCTGATATGTGACATACAGATCAGATACCATTGATTTCTGTTGTAACTGTTGCATCTTTTGTTACTGGGATTAGTACGATTGCATCGCTATCTACAATAGATTCTATTTAGTGTTGACTTGTAAGAAGAATTGATAGTCTATGGTTCTCATGATAGGTAAAAAGAATACTACAGCATCAAGTATTGTACTTCTTTAGGAGGATTTTATGTTTATTCATCGGTGAAGAGGAATTGCAAATTATCAATATTGATGGCATTTTAAGCCGTAAAGTTTTAAGTGAATCGGCTTGACAAACTCTTATTCTATGGGATGGTAGATTATGAAATTGAAAATGTCAGAATTTAATGTGCTGGATTAAAGTAGAGCTCAAACTATTCCTGTGATAACCTTTTTGTCATCGAATTTTTTAATATTGATTTATCTGTCCGTGCCTGATGTTTGAAGTCAGTACTGCAGGAATCCAGGTTAATTCTACAATAATATTTGCAAGGACAGAGATATGATATTTAAAGCTTTTTGTAAATAGTATCGATAGGCTAAAATCGACATTACATTCTGAAAAAAAAATCAATTGATTAAAATCATTTTTGTATACTCGCTGTGAAAGGAAATTAAATGTTCAAATTTGAATTGGAAGTGAAACTGTTTTCATAACCTTTTATAGAAGTTATAGGAAATACACCCAGTTCCTAGCAGTCTTTTTAATTGTTATTTAAGGAATTAATATAACAGTACCTGTAAACAGAAGTTAAATCACAATTACTTTAACAGTTTACAATTTGAACACTAAGTACGTGTTGACATTTTTTATTAACAAGCTATAGGTGTTAGTGTTACCTGACTTGATCAGGTAAAAAAAAAATTAGATGACAGTTGTCATGCATCAGTGACCTCGCTGGATTAATATTGAAGTTCCATACTGGGCGATTTAACATTTTATTTGTGTGCAGGAGTACATGTATTAATTTCATCATTGGAAAGTAATTTAAAAAAAAAAAAAAAAAGCAAATGTGTCTATTTTTTACTAGCAAATGCATATGAACAAATTTTCTAATATGTGGGCTAGAAATGTGCTAATTAAAACACAATTTGGTATGAGTTGAATTAGCAGTATGAAAGTTCATAAATGAAATTATAGATGCAAAATGACGATTTGCTAAAATAGAATTTTGCTTTAAAAATATGGTGAACACTTGAAAAGAGTACTTTGAGTGTATAAAGTAGAGAAAATGGCTTACCCTTACCCAACAGCTTTAGATAGGATGGACAGAAGGTATGGTATTCTGTCTGATAGTGTCCATCATGATTCTAGTGGATTAAACTTTGGCATGGAAATGACTATAAGAGAATATGAAAATGCACTTTTACAGATTGAGAAACATGAGGCTAACATTAAAGATCTGAGGCTAGAGAATAATCATCTACAGTCTTCAAAACAGAGAGCTGAAAATCAGGTAAGACGTTTTATAATTGATGATGTTTTATTTGAAAAGAAAGTGTTTTTACTACTTTTTGAATTTGCTAACCAATTTCTGGCTTAACACCTGCTGTAACATGGGATTATGCATGTGTAACTATACTTTATAATTCTGTCTTACTTTTATTCCCAGACAATTTCGTGAGAGAAATCGCCACTGTTAATTGAGTTTCTAATTGATTTCTCTTTTATTCATTAATATACTACTGATATAAGATATCGGTACTATTGGTCCTGATATTCCTAGGCTTGATCATGCATACTATAATCATCCTTGGTACCATACATATGACACTATTGTGATCATCAAAATTTATAGCATTACTTGAGAATATAGACTTCAAATTTCTATTTCCTAATTTATTCATTTATTCAGTTACAGGTAGTTACCTAATTTCTTGGTCCATTTTAAGATTTTCTGTACCATATAGTTTCTTGGGGTGCGTTTGAAATGCAAAGTCACTGTACATTAATCAGTACTTCAAATATTAACATATAAAGAACAACTGAATCAAAAACACAATATCTTTGTATATGTAATTTTAATGTGAAGTAAATTTTCACTCCTTAAAATAAATATTGGCCATAAATGCCATGTTCAAATTAAAAATTTCTTAAGATATTTCAAGTCAATAGAAAAGCATATCAGTTTGTATTAAGGATTAAAAAAGATAAGAGACATGCTGAAGAAAGGGGTTATAAAGCATGTGTTTTGTCAAGTGATCAAAGTTGTTATAATCATGATAGATAGTACCTTTATTATGAGTGATATAATGTATAAATAGGCTTACATAGAATTGACGGCAATGTTATAAACTGTGATAAATACACTTTCACCTGGGGACAAATATGTTCATTGTTGTCAAAAATTTATTTCATTTAATTTTATTCATTTTGTTAAACGTTTATGAATAAAATTAATCTTGTTAAATGTTGAGAAACACAATTGCTGTATTATATATGTATTGGAATCCTAGTAAAATAAATGATGTTTTTTTTTTTAGTTTTGTAAATTTGGTCTAGTTTTTATTGAGAACTTTCATAATAAGATGATTTTAATACTTTAATATGTTTGGTAAACTGTTCTTAACTGTCATCATGAAGCTTTAACAAGTTCTAGACTAGATAAATTAGAAAATTTCTGTCTTTTTTTTTCACAGAACAAAAAAATTTATTTGAAAAGGGGTGATTGTTGGGATTTTTCAGAAATTTTTATTAGGCTGTATATAAATACAATTTAAAATGAAATTATAATAAAAAGGTAATTAATTGTTTCTGGTAAAAAAAAGAAAATTAATCAAAGTTTGTACTATTTGTAGGTATCAGAACTACAACAAGAGGTGGACCATGTAAAGAATGACCTCTCAGAAGCTAGAGCTCAGTACAAAGATTGTGCACAAGAGGTAAATACAATGATGGTTCTTCTATCATATTGTCTGAGATGTATTACAAGTTGTAATAGGATTAAAAAGACAACAGTTATCCAGTTTTACTTTACATATTTTTTGAACTTTGCAGTTTAAATCACAGAAGTTTTATTTCAGACACTTTAAACTGGTATTTAATTCTAAAATAGGAAACAGTTTTTTGTAAAGTATAATTGAAAGATAAGTTTTTTTCTGTGTTAAGAATAGATTTTTTAGATATCTGTTGAAAAACTTCAATCTTCAGAGAGATAAAATCACGTTAAAAAAATTCATATCTTGTTATCACATGTTTTATGTTAACAAATTGATCAGAAAATGATAACATACTTTGAAATTGATCTGAAAATGATAGCATGCTTTGAAATTGACAGAAAATTACTGAAATTAATCGTTATTTAAAATAGAACTAGAATTGATTATTTTTAATTACAACACATTTAGAACACCAATAGATTTAAAGGGTTGTTCAAACAAATTTGTTTCATGAATAATTGATGTAAAAACGACATCAAGGGCAGACAAGAAACCTAAATCTGTATGTATCTTCTTGGGTCAGATAGTTATCATCAATGTATTGGGAAAAAAAAAGACCCACACAAAGTGTTAAAATGTAATATCAAAACTAAGAATGTAAGAAAGTATGAACTTTTAGTGTTGATTGAAAAAAAAAAATCATAGTAAAATTTCATTGTAAAAATCACAATACATTGGTAAATTAAATCAACATAGGGTTAAGTTTATAGGAGTGGGAGAGAATTTGAGTACATAAGGTACCGTACTTTGACTTAAGTCGCAAGTATTCTGTTTTAATCAATACCAAATCAATGAAAAGTTTAGCTCAATATAAATATGATATTGCTCCTTAAGCTTGACCACAGAAAGTCAAGCAAACAACAATCTTCAACTATAATCTCAATTGAATAATGCTACACAAAGACAACAACATCGTAGATTACTGCAAGGAAATTCTTTATTATGATCTACATGTAGACCATAATAAAGAGTTTCCTTGCAGTAATCTACGATGTTGTTGTCTTTGTGTAGCATTATTTTCCTGAGGTTTTAAGACAACAGCAGCATACTTCCGGGTATCCATCCTGATTACTCTCTACCAGCTTGTACCGCTAGAAGGTGTTGGTTCACTCGATGCATCTTTAATCTCAATTGTTTAATCCTTATTTTGTAATTCATATTTTAGTTTTTGTACACTAAGCTATATAGTGTGCTTCAGTAATGCCAGGCTCCATGAAATTTTATTATTCATGTTTTTAACCATATGATGATCATATTTTTAACTGATTAAGTATATATTGATATATTCAGTTGGCACATCATGAGGAGAAGTTGATGTTGATGGAACAATCGCTTCAGACTACTCAAGACCAACTAAGTCAACGTGTGACCGAGGTCGTCCGTCATGAACAGGTCAACAGGAAGTTACAGATGGAAGTTAAGACGTTACGGGAACGTAGTACAAGTTTCGAAGAGGAAATCATTGAACAGAAAACCATTATTGATAAATTACGTAAAGACATGGTGAAGGTCAAAGAGGAGCATCATGCTACTGTCCAAGAGGGAATGGCATATAAACAACAGGCTCATAAGTTAGAGGTGGAATTGGAGGGATCCAGGGAACAAGAGAAAATGTTATCAGAACAGGTATGTTTACTCTTTAGTTTTTTAAACATTTTTAATTGAATAGGGTGCAATTATATTCAATAGTATATTGAAGAAGGATAAGGGTTGAATACTGTGGATTCATGTATTTTTCATGTCCTTGGTAATGGAACCTGTATACCTAAGGAGTGCAAATGCACTGAGAGAAAACAAAAGTTCAAAGTATTGACATCAAGGGAATGCAGTTATGGATTCTAAACAGTACAAAACTTGAATTGTAAATTAAATATGAAATCTATGTATAAAGAGATTATGCATTTTACTATATTTCATATATTGTATTTCTTTATTGGTTTAAAACAGAAGGCAATATAAAAATGGATTTAGACATTACTAAGTATTCTCACATCAGAATTAAGAGGTGCTGAATTTTTTGCATACATGTACATTAGAAAAACATTTGACTGGTTGGAAAAATTGCCCCTACATTGTAATTTGGGTACAACTGTATGATGCATATGATATTGACCGAAAATAAATGTTCTACTTTTATTATCCTTCGTAGGTTGAACAGCAAGATCAGATTTTAACACAGTTACAACAGGAATTGAGAGCTGAACGAGAACGTCACCAAGAAACTGCCAGGCAATATAATCAGGCCAAGAAAATCAATTCTGATCTACAGGAGGATATCGATAACTATAACAAATCAGTACAGGACCTCACTAATCATGTAAGTCAGATTTCAAAATATAAAATTATTTTTTGTGCAGCAACCATTCAGAACATGAATTATGGAATTGTTACAGCATAAAACACTTAGGTGTTAACCATTGTCCATGAATTTGTCAATTTTAGATTAAAGAACTGTATTTAAGCAAACATTTCTGGAGGACATTCATGTTAATCTGAGAACTTGTACTAAACATGCATGTGATATTTGGAACTGAAAATTAAGCGATCAATATTCAATGTTAATCTAAGTCTGGCTGTTTCATTTGAGGACACCTTTAGGGATTCAGATTAGATATTCCAGTTTCAATGAAAGCTGGTTAACACAGGAATGGTTCATACTGTAAGATTTGCATTTTATTTTCATTACGCAGTGAATATTACCATAGTGATGAGCTAATACTGTTTGTATTCCTGATTATTATCTCATAAATACAATATATGTTTATATGATGATTTGGCTTATACTTGATTTTCCCTGGTTAAAGACACAGGCCATTTTAAGAAGGAAAGTTAAAAATAAAAATACAAAAAGAGTTAAAAAATTTCTTTTTAAAAGATGTGACCATTTCACAAAAATGAAATAACAGACTTCCATTGTATATATGAATGAATATTTTATATTTTGAATTACAGATTAAAGAAAAAGATGATTTAATCAGCAAGCTTCGAGGGGAAATTGAGTCATTACAGCAGAGACAAAGGGCATTAAAGGAGGAGTTGGCAGAGAGGGAAGGACAGCTGAGGGTAGCTAAGATGAACTTGCAGACAGCTCAGAAACAAAGTCATCACCATGCACAAGAGGTTGGGGTCAAAATCTAGAAGACAGTGAATTTAAAAATTTGTTTATATACTTAATTGATTGATTGATGGGTGCTTAACATCAAGCAGTAAATATGCATATTCAGGATAATAACATGCTTAGGACATTGTTTTAAAAAAACAAGGATTTAAATTTGAAAGAAAGCTTAATTGCATCATAATGATACATTAGTTACAAAGAAAAACAATCCCTGACCTTTTAGGTTGCAGCTGATTAAGGGATACCAATTATCATTGGTCTTTGCTGTTGTATTTATTGCTTTGCCAATCAATTTCAAGGTGTATCAGCAGCTGTATTTGAAAAAGGTTGATGATAATGGAGTTAAAAAATAACAAACAAACAAACAAGTATTTGAAAAGTTTTAACTGATTCCCTGAATAGAATTTTTCTGTAGCAATAAAAAATCAGTGAGTGGTTGAGTAACAGCAATATTGTATGAATGTGGTACACATGGTGAAACTTTGTTATACACATGTATTGTCTTATACCTATCTGCTCTAATACTTGATAATTTTCCATTAAGGTGGTACCCAACACCTTGACTAATATTAATTTGGCTCGTTTAATTTTCATAAAATTTTGACAAAAAGTTTACTTTGACCCTTTGACAAAAATATAAAAATTTCAAAAAATTTGAACCAACCACTTTATCAGAAAAATTTCATTGGTTATATAGCAGTTTGACAAACACTAATTTTGATCATTGAGAAGCTTAATATTTCCTTAACAATACAACGTAATTAAAACGTTTAGCTGATTTTTACAGAGTTATCTCCCTGTAGTGTTAGGTACCACCTTAAAGTGATTCTTATTTATGAATTACAGATTGAGAGATACGAAGAAACATTGGCACAGATTCAGGCGGAATATGAGAAAACACAAGAACAGTATAGGAGGGCACATGCTGATGTAAGTTATCATAGTTAAAAAACATACATTTCTTAACTTCCTTTAAGGAGATTCTTTGTACAAGAGTATACTTTTGTCTGTCTATCTTCCTTATTTTAACATTTTGTATGATTACGGAAGGATTGCTTTGACCAAATCTAATGATTTTGTATGATCTTGAGATGAAAAAATAATAAACGCTCTCCAATTTTGTAGGTTTTCGATTTTTGTTCCAGATTATTTCATAGAAAAAATGTTGCTTTTAAAATTTTGTGCAGAGGTTTTCTTTCACTGAATGTCATTTCTTTTTTAAATGCTGTTAGGACTGATATAGTTGAGCTCACTTTTGATTTAAGCTATTTTGAATTTTGCCTTCCAAGAGTTATGGAACTTTTATAAAAATAAGTTATTTGCTTTATGCCTTTCATGTAAAATACTTAAAAGATTTACATGATGTAAGGATTGATGATAAAATAAGATTCTTTTAAGAAAGAAGGGTTGTTTACGTTTTGTTTCAGATTAGTGTATTATCGCTCTCAGAACACAGCAGGTGAATTTTGTTAAACAATGCTTCTTGTCTACAAAATTCCAAAAATAAAGATTTTCAATTAAAATGTCTAGCAGTAAGAATTATGTAATCTAATACTATTTAGTATAAAATGAAGAAATGCTTGTTGACTATTTCTGTGCTTTTAATTTTCACAGTTAATGGACCAGGAACAGAGAACACATGACCTCAAAGTTCAATTAACCACAGTTCAAGGTCATCACAAGGAATCTATGGATCAGTTGTCAGAGAATTCCAGACAGTTGGCAACACTCAAAACTGATCTTCACAAATCTCAGCAACAAAATATGGCAATCACAGAAGAGGTATTATTGATAACCAGTTTAAGATAATTCTGTAAAAATGATTAATCATTATGTTAATGAACTTTAGGCATACATATCAATCCTGCTTAATGATATATTGGTTTCCAATGATTTTTTTACATGTATAATATTTAGGTGCTTATAACTGTCATCTTTCAAACTCTGCATAAGAACAAAATGAAATTTTCAGCATAGAAAGGAAATGAGTTTATTGATTATTGATTCTGTTAGCATTGAATCCTTTTCTAAAATCCAAGCTATGATGTAATATAACAGTAATTTCCTCTGCATCAATAAATTTAAATCTTACAATTTATGGACTTTCTCGTTACAGCTCCGTGAATATGAAGAAAAGATGAGATCAATGACAAATGAGCTGAGAAAACTTCAGGAAATTAACCGAGCATCTGAAGATGAGGTAACTTTAATCAATAATTAGAGCTTCTTAAATTCTTATGTCACTGATTTGGAGAAACCAAGCCTGTTTTCAAATAAAGGTCATAAGATTTATAACCAGTTGTAGATTAAGTTAGTTAAGGATTTAAGACTGCACGTAAGTCATAGATCTTTACAAAAAAAAATGCAAAGAGAAATGTCCTTTTTGATAAATTATCCTGTAAATTGTAAAAGTCATATGCTACATTTTATTTTGTGTTTCCCTTTAATAAATGCAACTTTATTAACAGAATTATAAAGCACAAATCTTAGAAAACTGCAGTAATTTCATTGTAACATTGGTGTTAATTTGCAGTGTGAAATAAAGCTTGAATCCATATATATGCAGAAAGAGTTGAATTGCTTGTATTCTTAAATTCTAATCATCTATTTCTACACAGCTTCAGAACATGGATATGAAACTTTCGGAAACTCAACAGGAGCTGTTGAATAGTCAAGATAAACATAGGCAGAGTCTACAGGAGTTCTCTGCCAAGGAGGAGGAGTTAGTGGTGTATAAAGTGGAACTTAGTAATATACAGGAGAAATATAAAGCTAAGTTAGATGAGGTTAGTTATAAATCTTATAAAAAAAATAATCTTTGAATTGTTTAATGCAGATGTGTTTTGAAATCCAGTATGGGTTTTCTAACACTAACAAAAACAATTTTTTTCCATTACTTTTATAATTTCTTGTGCAAATTTAAGTATTCATTAGAAAAATAAAATTAACCAATTTACCTCAGATTTGATGAGAATATCATAAGTTGTTTTCAGTCTTTTTTCAGTGATCTGACCAGTGCTATACAAATTTTGTATTACAGAGTGAAAATATGAGGAACCAACTAGAGTTAATGAACCACAACTACAGGAGTGCAAATGATGAAATCCAAGGCCTGCGAGTTGCCCTTGAAGAATCAAGGTCAAATGGAGACAGACTTCACAAGGAAAGTGAACTAGTTGTTCAGAATGTGAATACCTGGGTTCAGGAACAAAAGTAAGTATTCCTGTATAAGGGGGAAGTATCAAAACAATCTGACTTGTCACTGAGAGTTTTCCTTGTCATGTGCAACTTGGCATGTGCCACTGGTGGAGCAAGAACTGCTTACCCTTTCAGAGCACCTGGATTCACATGTGGTATTTGGTGGGATTTGTGTTGCTAAATGTGTAATTTTATTGATGTTTATTTTTTTTTTGGTCATTGTTTTGTCTGTCTTTCATCAATTTATGGTTTTTGGTTGCCCCTTGGTACCTTCTTACATTTATTTGTGCTGTCAGTTTATGTAAATTAAAGAAAATAAAAGAAATGTGTGCGAATTCAATGAGGGAATAAAATGATACATAGGGAACAACCATTAGGGGAAAGGTAATGATAAACAACATCCAAAAGGGGAATGACCTACTGGTCCTCTGCAATGGACATGTGTCCAGGCTATGTATAAACTATAAGATATGATGATGAAGCAATTCAAGTGTTATATAACAAATTGGACTTCTTGACTATAAAATAATTGTGAAATTTGATGGCAAAAATTACTTTTAAGTATGAAAAAGACTTTCAAACAGTACATTAGAATTTATTTATGTATTTATTATTGTTAGTTTTAATCAATACTGGTTATTATGATAGTTATATTCATTTTTTACTAGACTTGCCAATGAGAAACTCGGAAAGAAGATCAGAGAACAGAGTAAAGCCATTATGACTCTCACTGCTGAAAAAGAGTAAGTGTTTTAAATATTCACAAGTTTATTCAGAGGTTTATGTGTTTAAGAATGTATATCCAGAACTGTTAAAATTGGTGTGTCCTTTTATTTTATATCTTAGGATTTTCCTAGGCATTTATGTTGAAGTCTTGGTGCTGTTTTTAGGAAAAAAAATTACCCAATTAGTATAAATACATTTTACTTCAGCATTTCGTTGCCATGGTATTATAACTTCTCAATGTTTTCTGATTTTTATTCATCAGAATTTGTAAAGTTTTTGTTGGCTAGGGAGAGAGCAGATTTCCAGTCATATACAGTTAAGTTACTATGCAAAAATAAAGAACTGCCATTTTATAATTGATTTGATTTTCAGACAACTATTAGAACAAGTAACAAAATTACAGAAATTCAGCAATAAAGCAAAGATTGAATTAGAAGAGAGAAGAGATGAATCTGACAAGTTTAAGGTAATTAAACATTTATGGTAGAAATACATACCTAAAAAAATACCCCTTCTAACACATTTCAGCATACAACATAAAAATAAGGAGATGTGGTATGATTGCCAATGAGACAACTATCCACCTAAGTTCAAATAAAGTGGATGTAAGTAATTGTAGGCAACCTTACAGCCTTCAACAATGAGAAAAACCCATACTGTATAGTCGGCTATAAAAGGCCCTGACATGAAAAATTTGAAACCTTTCTATTGAGAAAATTGATTTAAAACAAAACAATAAACAAAAAACAAATATAACAGACCTGAACAAACGACAACCACTGAACTAAATCTTTGTTTTAATCAACAATACAGTTGCTTGAGACAAGAATCAATAGTTGAATAAAGTTTGATTTAACCTTCAAAAATGTTTCCAAGAACTGGAGTTCTATGAACAGTCATTATTTTGTCATGTGTAAAAGTAAATCTTGGTCTTCCTTATCGTATGTCTAGTTCTTGAGATCTGTCAAATACCTCTTTCAATCACCAAAGTTCATTTGTCAAAATATGAATATAAGAAAACAACTATTGAGGAATATTATTTGAATATTAAATGATTTGTTCATATTTATATTTGATCAGGCTTTACAGAACCATTCAGCTCACCAACAAGTAGTATTAAATCAACTTAGAAATCGTCTAGAAGATAATGCGTAAGTTTCTTCTTTATTCTACCGTAAAGTTTTGAGAAAAATAATTTGATTACATTGGGGAAGTAAAAAGAAAAATGATGTTGATTTATTTTTGTGTCATCTTATTTGTTACTAAAAAAAAAGAAAGAAAAAAAGAGGCTGAAGTGTACAATACAGGAAAACCAAACATTAAAGGCTACATGAGTCAAAGAATTATTTAAGCAACTGCTCACAATTTAACTTCATCATTTACAGTAACCTGTTACCTTAATAGGATTTTCATTTGACATTCCTTTGAAACCATTGTGAAAATGAGATGAATGCATTTGCTTTAAACTTTACCAGGATATGAAAGCATTGTTGGCTACTTTCCAACTGTTGATTGTTTTCCCAAGGCAAACAAAGGTCCTCCATAAGATGATAGTGATCTTATTAAAACATCAATAACCCTCATTTGTTATTGTAATAATATGAGAAAATAAATAGAAGGATATTGAATAATTATAGTTCACTGAAATGTTTACGCTAACAACAAGCATAAAAAGAGATTTCAGATTTTTACAATATTTTATATTTTATAACATTGCAAATATGAAAAAATTGATGATATATATTTATTTTATTTACCTCTTGTTACTTAGGAGCGACCAGGACCATGAACTACAAGCTAAAGTGGCAACAATAGAAGATTTACATAGTCGACTGAAGATTAATGTGGACAATATACAACAACTTAACCAACAGGTACTAAATTGCCAATCGCATAGTACCTTTATCATAGTTACTTACTTATTATCATGTGTTTAATTTATTTAGTTGAATTTCCAGTAAGAATGATTGATTATGTTAATCAACAAATTTTTAAACAAATGTATAGTGTTACAGTCAAGGGGAAACAACTCCCAATTTCTTTTGTGCTGACTTTTAATAGAAATCACAGATTTATATATTTTTTTTAAACTTTTCGGTGAAACTATGGTTTCAAATTCTTCAGGAATTATTAACTTTCAAATTTTATTTTGTGTCATGAGCAAACCAAGTTTTGAGAGATCCAGGAATGTCTGAATTTTATTTGTATTTTGCTGTTAGTTTTTGTCTCCAGTTGTTTTTGCTTTCTCCTTTCAGATGTAAACACACTGTTTATAACTAACAAATTTATCTTTATTGACAATAGATAAAACTTGTGTTAAAATCATCATAATAGAAAAAAACGCTGACAAAATTTTAACAAAATAAACAAATACATTTGTCCATGCACTGAATATGATTCTTAAATTAGAAAAACACAACTCTTTTTATGACATGCTCAAGAGTAAAAGTACACGACCTAGAAGTTTTGAAAAGATTCCAAAATATTAGAATGATGAGATATTTGAAATGTTTATCTGAAATATATATTATTAAATTACTGTTTTTTAAGTAACATGTCTTACGTTTATTTCAGATGAGTTCATTACAAAAGGAAAATCAGCGACTAAGGAATGATTTAGACAGAGAAATACATGCTAGACAAACTTTAGAACTTCAAATAGAAAGTAAAGAACAAACAATTAACAGTTTAAAATCTCAGATGGAGGCTCGAAGGCATTTACATATAGAAAATAGTTCACCATTAAAGGAAAAACCAGTATGTAAAACTTAAGATTTTGTAAACTAAATTTTGTTTTTATTTTTTATTTTGCACTTTTATTGTTCTCTCTTCATTCCGAGCTCTACATGTTAAAAGCAAGTTTTTTTAACCGTTATTTAAAGATCAAATAATTTCAGCTGATTTCAACATCTAGCTGTGTTTTTTTTTCCTGGACATACAAATTGTATCAAAGAGTTAACTAGGAGTTTTTTTCTGATAGCTTGAATTATTCTTGATGTACCTATTCTGTTCCAAATTTCTAAAATTTTATGTATATTATACACAAATAATAGAACAGGCCTGCAAGACTTGCCCATAGGCGGTCACCATCGTGTCCATGTGTTAGCCCAGCAGGTCCCAGAGTCCCATTAGTAAGCTTGAGTGTTTAGGGTGAAAGTCAACTAACAGTAATAAAAGGGTTAATACAATTAATGTACTGGGATTTCTGGTTTCAGATTTTGTAAAGTTCATATGTATATGTTGGGATTTCAGTATTTCATACTACATATTTTCATTCATTTGTGAAATCATATTTAAAACTTTATTATTCATTCAAAAACATTATTAAGTCCACAAATATTTATTTCCTGCAAATTAAAATGGCTTATTAAACAGATTAATGAATATTTGTGGAATTACAGTCATTCTTCAGTGTTGATCTTTTCTTGTTTATTTTTTTGGTAGATTAATAATTGATTTGCAACGTAACACACGTCGTTTGCTTCATTTAATTTGTTTTAGAGTGCTAGTTATAACTTTATATCCTTTGTGTGAATCATAGGCTATCTGAACCCCTTATGGCAGTAGGATATGGATCTTAATTATGTTTGCCAAGAGCTTTCTTTAAAAATCTTGATACATGGGAAAATTTTAAAAATGTATGATGTTATACACAAGTTACAATAGGAAAGCAATGTGTTAAACATCATCAATAAGAAAACTTGGAGCATTTCATTCAATTTTAAAACAGATCCCTTTAATTTGATGTCATTTTAGAAATGTTAATTTGTGTATATTTATTAGTGAGTGCTGTGAAAGAGTATCTACTGTGTCTGTATGCTAATGCTTAATACACCGTATTAGATTTTAACTTGGAAAACAACTTTAAACGTAGAAAATGTGAGATCAAGCGTTGTATTATGAAATCGTTCCATTAAGACAGATATGTTGATTAAAAGTACACATTTCAGATGGGGTCCACTGATGTAGATATTGATAAGGTAACAAGGGACACAACTCTTGTATTACCCAGACATTACGTAACTTTAGTCTTTAGAATAGTTTCCTTTCTTTATTTTCTTTTATCACAGAATAGATGCTTTTATGTGTAGCTTTTTATTCTTAAACTTCAACTTAAATACAATTATACATAATAAAAACGAGAAATGTTTATACTGTGTTATATTTAAAGCCAATTTTTGAAGAAATTAACATTTTCATTGCTAACGATGCTCTAATCTTTTTCAAACAAACTTTAATACTACTACATTTTAAGGTACATTAACACTTAATTCTTTTAACATTGCTTTTTACAGCTAAGTTTCTAGACTTGTCTTTAACTTCTTTATTATCAACAAATTCATTCATTCTACTTCATTCTCTGTTATTGGGAGAGGTGTGTACATATTTGTCAACTTTCAAATGTTTATAGATATATTAATATAAATGAGTCTTGGAAATCTATGAATTCAGTTGTATAATTGGAATGTATTATAAATGAGTCTTTGAAGTCTATGAATCCAGGAAAATTGTGTAATTCAACTTCTTTCATATTTTCCAACTTTTGCCATTATATGGTAAAACATGATATTTTTTAGCATTTGCTTAACTCGAAATTTAAATTAATTCATAGAAATTAAATTTTTGTTAAAAAAAAAATTCACATATTAAAAAAAAAATTCAATTCCCAAATGTGGATTTTAAATTACTTTTATCTACAGATCAAGTTATCAAATCTTTATTGTCAAATTAAACAACATTGTCAAATTTGTGGATTTCCTCTACTGTAACATAAGAAATATCAGTATACACTAGCTTCATATCATTCTTTTAGCTCTAGAATTACATATCTTTGAATTAAAGTTGTTAGATCATTTATTAATAGTATTTTTAAATTTACATAACATTTTGTTATTTTGTAGTTTTTGCATGAAGGACATAGTATTGTGTAGATATTGCCAATCAGTTACTAAACAATACAAACCAAATATTTGTCTATAAACTATGAATTTTCCAAAAATAAGAACAACAAATCAGAAACAGAAACAAATTGTTTAGATGTGAAATATTTGTTATTTGTTAATTTCTTTTGCTAATTTGTTAAATTTGATTTCAGCAAAAGGCCTACAGTAAAGGTTTAGAAGATGCTGGAATATCCGACGCTACAGCTTTAGATAAAAATTACTGGATACAAAGAGTTGGAGAGGTAATAACATAATATAGAAATGCATGAGCTGAAAATTAATTTCACATTCCATGGTCAGAGCTTTTTAAAAAGCACGATTTGTGGAAATTTTATCTGAAGTATATGTATTTTTTTAGTGTATAAAATTATTCACTTTGTATGACAACAGTTCTTTAAAATCGTTAATAATAATAAAAAAATCTTGTAACAGGTAAAATACTTATTTGATTAAATTTTAAGCAGAAAAAAGCAGTGAAAATAACAATCTTTATTTGTATTTGAAACTGAAATAAAAATCACATTTTCACAACTTTAACAAAAAGTACAGAAAACATTTTTTGTTGTTGTTAAGAATCAATAGGTAAATGATTTTAATTTGTTTACTGACAGAAAATTTCCTTTTTGAAACAGAGATATCCTGGCAGTTTTGAATAGGTTTGTTTTTTTCTTTATTAAGGGAGATAATTGTTTTAATTTGCTATTGTCAAAACTGCTTTTTGTATGACGAGTTCTGGAACTAATATATATGCAGCTGTATCGCATGCTTATATTTGGTATTACATAAAGGTAGAACAAGTTGATTGGCTGACTTACTAGTTTGGTTTTTATAATATATGTATTTTACGCAATTTAACAACTTTGTCAGTTATTTATTCATTGTGTTTTGAAATTGAATTTTGTTTTTTATTAATTATCTTAATAGACTTTATTTTGGTAAGCATGTGAAATAACTACAGCATATTTGTTATAACTGATATTAAGTGTGTGTTGACAGATGGTTTTTGTGTTAGACCTGCATGTGACTAACTAAAACAATTTTACATAAAATGACTTTTCTTATGCTTGTGGTCAAACTGAGATTTTATCAAAGAAATAAGACTGTCAAAGCTCCAATCTTTTAACTCTTTTGTTTGCATTTACTGTTAAAATTTAATAGGCTCAAAATTTTAACCAATAGGAAGAAATGTTTGTTTGTAATATGAAAATTTGTTTTGAATAAATAATCATTTTCATTATGTGCAATTCAATGAATTTCAAATGTATTCTATGAATGTAAGTATCATATTTTTTTTTTATATTTTCAGTTATCTATACAGTTACAACAGAGTAGTGAATATTGGGCAGACAAAGTCCGTGACTTATCTGGACAATTAGAGAAAAGCCGTATCATCTCTAGTCCCATCCGACCACGATAGTCCATCCACTTCATTGCCATTCCGTCCACATTGCATTCATGGAACTTTTTTTTTATTGTTTAAATGGATAAACATAGTTTTAGTCAATTTATATATATGCTTTATACAAAAAGTGCTGAAAGCCGTCCAAAATTTATTATTTATTTTTAGAAAGAGAGATTTTAGCATTTATATGTAATTTACCCTCTCTGTTGTGATTTAAATCTTTATGGAGAAAAAAATAATGTACTAGGAACACGTTTGCCTTGTTCTTTAAATATGGTAAATAAGTTAGAATAATAGCTTGTGAATATTATGTTATATTTGTTTCAATCATGACAGTTTATCAAAACAAGGAAGTAGATTATCACTTTAAAATAGTTGGGTTACGGAATCAAATGTACAACAGAAATATATCAGTTCTTAAATTGGGGTTTTCCCTTCTACTGATATATGTAACATTTATCAATGATATCCAGAAATTGTTATCATCTATAATTAGGCAGCAAATCTTTAATTTCTCATATGTCTTAAATTTAAAATTTCAAACCTTATTCGAAATCTGAAGTTAATTTGTTTACTAATGAAGTAAAATTTATCATATAAGCTGTCCTTTTTACCGTGAAAGAGGAAAATAAAATAAAAATAAATTGAATAATATAAATCAGCATTGTAAGTTAGGATTTCCTTATTCCCTTGCCCAAACAGTATTCTTAATAGCATTTTTTTTTTGGTCACAGAATTCCAGTTTTATATTTCTCACAATTTTATTTATTTATATTTTATTATTTAAGCTATTTTTTTTTTTTTTTTGCAAATATTTATTATTATATTAATAATTGATAATTTTAAATATCAGTTTTTTTGATTTATTGATTTTTTTAGTATAGTTACAAAATATTTTAAGAAATGGACTCACAAAAATAATGTCCACATATAGTTTTATTCATATTTAAAAAGTGAGAAACAATAGGATCATTTTAAAATCAATTTAATGATTTATTGATTTTTAGTATATTTAGAATCTGTATAAGAAATTTATACACAAATTAATGTCCACATAAACTTGTATTATTTTTCAAAAGTGAGAAACAGTAGATAATCATTTGAATGTTGTATTATTTAAGAATAGAAGGTTGTTAGGTGCTACAAATATTATGGATCACCAGTATTTACATCTTATTCGTTTGTTTGATATTTTTTATTGATAGAAAGGTCATAGAAGATAGTGTTATTTCTACAGAACTGAAAATAACGGCAAGAAATTTGACCTTATGGTTAATAAAAAAATATTTTTCTTTACTTTCTCAAACAATAATTAAAAATTTATTCCCAATTGTGTTAACATATACAATGTCCATTATCAGACCATGTTTGTTTGAGATCTACCATGACTTGTTAAAAAAAAAGAAATATGTAAAAGTTTAAAAATTGAAGTAAGATTTGTGTCCCTTGGAATTAGTTCTGTAGAAATTTCACTATTTTGATAAAGACTGATTATCAAAACCATTAAAGCTATTATCTGTGATTTTGTATGAGGTAGTAGTGTCTACCCATACACGTAAAATAGATTATTAGGATGTCTGGTAGACGTATGAGATTTGTAGTGTGTGACATTGTGTCTCATTATATATTTGTTTTATATTGGTAATTAAATTCTGGCTAGATCCAGCTAATCTTAAAAAGCTTTTTCTTTTTTATCATCTGACTTGCAAGAATTAGATTTTCCTGTCCATCTTTCTCTAGAAAGAATGACATGTCTTCCTGCGAACTGTTACCTTGTGAAATAGCACTTTAAAAATCTTGCTCAGCATGGCTAGTTCTTGTTCGGACACACACTCCATTATCTTGTATATTATAAGAGCATAAAACTGAAGAATGGGAGGTACTTTACTGTCTCCCCGCCATAGCAGAGGGGGCATTGAATTTTACCCTTGTCTGTCAGACGTACGTCCCAAATTTGGTTTCCATTCTCTAACTTTAGTTTTCCTCAACCAAATGTTATGAACATTATACAGAATGCTTATTACCACAAAACATGAATTTTGGTGGCGTCACTTTTACTGTTCTAGAGTTATGCCCTTTAAAAATGGAAAAATTGCTGAATTTTTCGTTTCCGTTCTCCAACTTAAGTTTACCTCAACCAAATGTTATGAAACTTATACACAACACTTATTATCACAAAACTCAGATTAAGTACAAATTTGGGTAGCATCACTTTTACCATTCTTCAGTTATGTCCCTTTATAACTATATGATATGCAAGCGGGGACCATGGACACATTCCCCATTTATTAGTCCCCTATCCGAAGTCTAAGGGGACTTTAGGTCTGTCTGTCTGTCTGTCTGTTTCCACACTTTTTTTCGTGGTCCTTGAAGGTATTGATTTAATATTTGGTGTATTGTTTTATCATGACAAGTTACAGGTCAAGTTTAAGTTTTGTTCCAGTCTGATGATTTTGTACAGAGTTATGGTCCTTGGACTTGGAAAATTCACTCAAATATTCAGTTTTCCGCATTTTTTTCGTCATGCTTGAAGATATTGATTTGATAATAGGTACATTGTTTTATCAGGACAAGTTACAGATCAAGTTCGAATTTTGTTCAAGTCTGATGATTTTGTGCATAGTTTTGGTCCTTGGACTTAGAAAATTCACTCAAATAATCAGTTTTCCACAATTTTTTTTCATCATGCTTGAAGATTTTGATTTGATAATTGGTACATAGTTTTATCATGACAAGTTACAGACCAAGTTCTAATTTTGTTTCAGTCTGATGATTTTGTGCAGAGTTATGGTCCTTGGACTTAGAAAATTCACTTAAATAATTAGTTTTCAACACTTTTTTCATCATGCTTGAAGATATTGACTTGATATTTGTTATATAGTTTACACCATGACAAGTTATAGATCAAGTTAGAACTTTGTTCCAATACAATGAATTTTTAACCGGTAGGGGCTTATGTATTGCCATGCAATACTCTCAGAATGCTTGTTTATCCATGTTTCAGGTGTCAGATTGTTTTTAAAAGTCAAATCTCAATTCGTATCATTAGGATGGATGAATAAGTAATGTTCTCTTTACAACTATTTTGTTCATATTCAAAATGAAATCCATTCTTGTTTGAATTGTGTCACATTTTGTCATGTCTGGCCATTTATAGGTTGATTCTATGGTATAGGGTTTGCTCAGGCCTAGCAGTGACTAATATTTTATTATATCCATGTCATTTTAAATCTTGTGGATAGCTGTCTAATTAACAATCATACTACATCTACTTATTTTACACACTGAGCAGTGCTTGTTCTTTTTCTTTAATGTGTGTGCCTATTTGAATAGAAACAATATCAATTTTAAAGTCTGGACCAATGATCAAACCAAAGTCATCCTGCACTTGATGAGCACAAAACCTACAGACCACATTAATGAGACAGCTAACCATCAACACTTTAACACATCAAAAATAAGTGTTTGTACCATATGTCAAGGGATTTGTTTAATCTATGATTTTTTTAAAGTCAACTATATTTGCTGTAGGGAATGATTGTAAGGTGTACATGTCTGTCTGGCAGGGTTCATCTGACCGTGACCTCATTTCCGTGGTTCATTGGTCAAATATTTAGTTTTCCAAGTTACGTCTGTTTCTCAGATACTATAAGCAATAAGTCAACTATATTTGGTTTATGTAATGATTGTAAGGTGTAAATATTTGTCTGGCAGGGTTCGTCTGACCTTGACCTCATTTTCATGGTACATTGGTCAATATTAGTTTATTGGTTTGGTCTGTTTCTTGTATACTATAAGCAATAGGTCAACTCTATTTGGGGGGGGGCCTCCGTGGCCGAGTGGTCTAAGTAGTTACTACTGCAATCACTAGCCAGTCAACACTGAGGTTGTGAGTTCGAACCCCACTCGTGAGGGTGCACTCGACTCCAATCTTAATTGACTAGGATTGTCAGTTTTCCTATCGAAGGTCGGTGGTTTTCTCTGGGCACTCCGGCTTCCTCCACCAATAAAAACTGGCCGCCACGAAATAGCCCAAAAGCAGTGCTTAAAAGTGGCGTTAAAACACCAAAAAATCAAAAATCAAATCAACTCTATTTGGTGTATGCAATGACTGTAAGGGTATATGTCTGTCTGGCTTGGGTTATCTGACCTTGATCTCATTTTAATGGATCATTGATGTGATACTTATAGTAAAACTTTATCTTTAGGACTATCAACATTAAATAAATCATGAATAGTAAAGCAGGCTGAACATTTCAGTATGTGCACTCTTGTTTATTCAGAGATTAAAATACACTAAAGAAGGAGATATAAGGCTTCTTTGTTGGCCCCTTGAATCTGAAAATAAAAAGTATTTTAAATTTACCAGATTATTTCCTTCAGATGTTCACAAGACACAAGTCTGTCAGACATCAAAATTTATTTTTTGAAATTTGTCTTTTATATTGACATTAGGGCTTTAAACTTCTTACATTTTCACAAAGGAGTGTTTTTTTCTCTCTATATATTGGCATAAAATGTTTTGGGCAACACTTGTGTGTCTGGATAGACCAATTCTTTCTTGATGTACCTTTTAAAACTTCACTGATTATCAATGGATATTATCAGCTGATTAATAAATGTACAGTTCAATATTATGTTGACATTTTTGTATCAATATGAATAAAATGTGCCTTCCACAAAAAGAAGAATACATATCAAAGAGACTGCCACCCAAAGTAACATAAATATCAAAGAGACGGCCACCACAATTAGAATATATATTTAAGAGACTGCCACCAAAAGTAGAATAAATATCAACGAGATGGCCACCAGAAGTAGAATAAATATCAAAGAGACTGACACCCAAAGAAGAATAAATATCAGAGCAAAAGCCATCCAAAATAGAATGAATATCAAAGAGACTGCCATCCAAAGTAGAATGAATATCAAAAATACAGCTACCCAAAGTAGAATAAGTATCAAAAAGACAGCCACAAAAAGAAGAATAAATAGCAATGAGACAGCCACCAAAAGTAGAATAAATATCAAAGCGAAACCCACCCAAAGTAGAATAAATATCAAAGAGACTGCCACCCAAAGTAGAATAAATATCAAAAAGACAGCCACCTAAAGTAGAATAAATATCAAAGAGACAGCCATCCAAAGTAGAATAAATATCAAAGAGACTGCCACCCAAAGTAGAATAAATATCAAAAAGACAGCTACCTAAAGTAGAATAAATATCAAAGAGACAGCCATCCAAAGTAGAATAAATATCAAAGAGACAGCCATCCAAATAAGAATTAATATCAAAGAGGCAGCCACTCAAAGTAGAACAAATATCAAAGAGACTGCCACCTAAAGTAGAATTAATATCAAAGAGACAGCCATCCAAAGTAGAATAAATATCAAGGAGACTGCCACCCAAATAAGAATTTATATCAAAGAGGCAGCCACCCAAAGTAGAATAAATATCAAAGCGAAAGCCACCCAAAGTAGAATAAATACCAAAGCCAAAACCACCCAAAGCAGAATAAATATCAAAGGGACTGCCACCCAAAGTAGAATAAATTTCAGAGAAGAATAAATATTAAAGAGACTGCTACCAAAAGTAGAATAAATATCAAAGAGACAGCCACCCAAAGTAGAATGAATATCAAAGAGACTGCCACCTGAAGTAGTATAAATATCAAGGAGACTACCACCCAAAGTAGTATAAATATCAAGGAGACTGCCACACAAAGTAGAATAAGTATCAAAGAGACTGCCACTGAACAATATAATTAATCACACAGGAGATTAAATAGCAAAGAGACAGCAAGCCGTGGCCTCACCTTTGTCTTGTTTGTGACAAATGTCAGAGAAAGTTCAATTTTCCAACCATGAAACCAACAGCATTAACAGATGCAAATAACGTGTTTCTAAATATATTCCCACTTTCTGTATGGTTAACTATGATGTGTTTAGATAATTTGTTTCGTTTGAATTGTTTCACATTTTGTAAAGTCGTGCGTTTAAAAACTGACTTTAGGTTACGGGTTTTGCTCATTGTTGACAGCCATATTTATTCGACAAGAAGAGGAGCGCATGCAGTTGGTTCCCTCGAGAATATCGATGTTTGTTGAAAAAACACGCCCAACGAACGTAACAAAAATGTTGTCAGTTAAGAAATCAGGCATCTTGATAATATCAGTTTTATATTTTTTTTGTGGAACAAAATACGATTTATCCTTCCATCAAACAAGATATTTGTATCTACCTGCCCATTCTTTTTTATGAAACAAAGCAGGACCAATTGTTTCAACTTATCCTTTAGTTTGGAATGGGGAATAATTGTATGTAGGGTGGAAAAGTCAAATGTTTAAATACTATTGCAAGAGGAAAGAGACTTAGATTGTATGTACTCTAACATATCTTTAAAAAAATTCACACTGCTCCTAGAGTTGATAGTTTCACAATAACTCTAAAACCCGGCTTTGATTGCTGACAAAATTGATGGTAATACTTTAGAAATAGGTTTCGTCTGAGACTACTATATGTCTCAGGTTTCGTGGAGCACTTGGAAGACCCAGCATTATAACGTTGTTTGTAACGACACTTATGTAATTCAGTTATCCAATACAGTGAAGGAAGATCCAGTTCTTCATCTTTGGTTGAAATTCCAATGAAAAATAGAACGAACCTAACGGTTATTCAGGATTTCCTCCTTGGTAAGTGTTGTGGGGTATATGTTGAGTTTTTAAGTGAATTGTCATACCTAATTCCGTTATAAAGCAATTTATGTAATGTGATAAACACACAGAAACGATGATTTTTCGGCCGGGACAACAACATATTTGTAATGGAGCCTGGAGGTAGGTGCTTAGCAACAATTGGATCTTTGAAGATCGATGTAGCATGTGTATTCATAGACCCATTCAGGTTGTAAAATTCTAATGTGTATCAACGACCTCACAGCCTTTACCCTTCATCTTGGACATTTTTAAATTAATCGTTTTTGCCAAATTCTAGGCTTATACATATTTTGACTTATGTACAAAAATATTTATATCACAGTAGTTATATATATCGCAACTGTATCGGTTAATCTGTAACGATAGAGTTATCGACCCTCAATGTGACTGATACAGTTGCATATGAAGTTCAGTAAACGTCCAGTTGCCATTAAGGAGGGGAATGGTTAAAGGGGGGTGTCTTCATGCCTTTTTTCTCTATTAAAAAAAAAATGCTTGTTATTTTCTATTCTGTATATTCAAGTTAGTACGCTAAAAGCTATTCTTTTTTTTTTTGCCTATTTTTTTCTATTTTTCATATTTTCCTTTATTCTGCACGTTTTACCCATTATATTCTATTCTGTAAACCCCATCCAGACTCTCATTAAGGGTACAGCTAGTATAACAATTCGGTTTGTTACGTAAGGCAAATATTCGCATTCACATAGGAAGGAACCTTTTAAACCAATTTTGCATTTTTTCAGATTGACTATTCGTTTTCCTCTGTTGCTACATGTGCTACGCATGCTTATTTTTCCCCCGTGATTTTTTTATTTGCAATTTTGTACACGATTGTTTCTTTCATACATTTTGTATTACAGAATATTCATTTTTCATTATGTCTCATGCAAAGGTATTTATTTTTATCTCTTACCAGGCCAGGCCGATATTCATTTTCAAAAATCACCCCACCGGGCCGGTATGTCCAACCCCCACTCCTGTAAATCAAACGGTCATTCCCGAATAGTCGTGTCGTCCTGCAGAGAACGTCCAAAGCACAAGTAAATGATTTTTGTCACTGGATTTCCTACTTTTGCCCATACATGCCATACTTGTTTTCAAACCAGAACGCCTTCAGGATTTGTTTTTGTGTTTAATTAATTTTTGAAATTGGTTTGGGGGAGGGGTGTTTGTTGTTTTGTTGTTGTTTTTATTAAACAATTAACTGGTTTTAAGTTGCTCAAATAGTTTTACTCGACTAACTTCTTCGGTTAATTTAAAGCATATTTTTAATAATTGATTGTGTTTATGTTACATTTTTCAATTACTCCCCTTGATTGTCAAATAACCCGGAAGAGAAATAACAACTTAAGATTGTTGATCAACCTTGAAAAGTTCAAAAGCAGGTAAATCTGAAAATTGCCTACATGGCTACAATATTTGAATGTATATCACTGTTGTTATTTCATTTCCATACTGTGTTAACTTATTTCATTCAATTACTCATAAAATGATATCAGTTTATGATCATTTATAAATACAAATTAAGTTATAATATTAAATAAAAACGAACTGAATACCAAGCTGAATACATAGCTATACATATTATTCATATGACAGGTTACACTGTTTGTCTCCACAGAAGGATCCAGGGGGTTGATTATATAGGGAATCACTGAAGCATGACTGTAGCGGGCCCCCTCTTGTTATGGCAGTCAGTGCCCCCTTATACTAAGCATTATTACTAAGACTGTCTTCCTCTTTCATATCAGAGTGTCTAAATATAAGAAATAGTGAACTAATATGAATCACCAATATGTAACTTTTCATTCTATAATGATATGTTATCATGTAACTTTTCATTCTACCATGTCAATTAATATAATTATATGTATGCAATAGGTCTTAACCATTTATTGTTAATGAGTTTGTGCCAATAAAATATTTGTATTTGTATTTGTATAAAAATTTCTGGATTCGCCACTGGTCTCTAATAGAGTAAACTGTAGTTCGACAAAAGTTATAACAAAACATTGTATATGGAGACTAACTTCTATTCCGCTGACAGTGACGTCAATGCTACGACTTGTAAATTAACACATTGACTATATTTCAGTGTCAAATTGGATAATTCTAATTGAATTATAGATTGACACGTTATAAATTTATAGTGCAGTGTGCACAAAAATACAGCCGACCTTAGGAAAAAAGTATGGAAGATTCAGTTCGATAAAGTATGTACTGTTTATCAATTTGGGGGTGGGGGCAGGGGTGTCCATTGGTTCCCATTTCTCTACCCCTAACTCTCACTGTCACCCTTACTACCAATCCCCCTACTTCCACTTCCTACTGCCCCTTACTCCCGGAAGAAAATCGATCAAAATATTTTTCAGCATATCCCCAATTTTACTCTCCCTCTTCCACCTGTGCCCCTGACTCCCGCTTCCCGCCCCTCATTGTCATGTCCCTTTACCCCTGTCTGCCCCCTCATCAATGTGTTAAAGAAAATATTTTCAGTTAGTTATACATGTCATTGAAACTTGTCATTGAAACATGATAATTTGGTCGTGCCTTCAAACAGGTAAGATCTGAAGGTGAAAATTGTTTGGGATTAAATTACGTTTGTCAGGTCTGCAGCCTCAATCACAGTAAAAATGTACCATTATAAACCGGAAAGTTATGTACTTTAAAGGCCCTATTAGTTAACGCTTTTAACAGTTTTTTGGGCGGTATTAATTTAGTACTTTACAGTAAACAAACCATTAAGTCTGGTAGCCGGAAATGTATTGAATTGAGCTACTAAATTTGTTGCAGATTTAGCTTATCTGACCAGTTTAGTTATTTGAGCTGATACCATCCCTTGGCATCTGTTTTTGTTATCGATTACTGGTCGGCCGTTCATGCAGTATTGTCGTCCTTTATTGATCGCCAATTGTTGCCGTCCTTTATTGATCGCCAATTGTTGTCGTCCATTATTGTTCGCCAATTGTTGCCGTCCTTTATTGATCGCCAATCGTTGCTGTCCTTTATTGTTCGCCAATTGTTGCCGTCCTTTATTGATCGCCAACTGTTGCCGTCCTTTATTGTTCGCCCGTTGTTGTTGACTGTCGTTTTTCGTCAGTCGTTATCGTAAACGTTTTTAAAATCTTCTGCCATGAAACCACTAGACTAATACGTACCAAACTTTGTTACAACCACCCGTAGGATGACTAGTTAAAAAAAAAAACATTGATCATGTCCGCCGATCCGCTGACATAGCCACCGTTACTAAAAAGTTTTCAAAATATAACGTAGGGGTCAATTGCATTTGCTTTTTCAATTACATGTATTCTACAGTTTTGCAATGGGAACGAATGAAATGTTTAATTGGTCCACTAGTAGTGCCGTTTCAGAATAGACGTATTTACACTTGTATGCAAATTTGTCCGCCATTACGTAAAATCACACAGATTCCCGTAAACTTTGACATCATAATTCATAACATTTGACGTCACAATTAAAAAGTGATTGTTGTCTGACGTCAAAGGGTGATTCGGAGTAGATCTAAGGTCATTCGGAGGCAAAATATAGCTAAATACCAAAAGTGTAAAAACGTTTATATGTACCGATATCCCTGCCGACCTAGCGAGATTGGCGCCCTTACCATAAGTAGAACATTCTATAAAATGATATAGATGTACATCTTTTTTATATAAAAATCAATAGCTAATTCAATTTGAAATATGTTTTGGTGAAATTGTCTAAATTGCTCATTGTTGAAAGCCGTACGGTGACATATAGCTGTTAACTTCTATGTCATTTGGTCTCTGTTGGAGAGTTGTCTCATTGGCAATTATACCACATCTTCCTATTTTTATAATCAATGAAATTCTCTTTCCGAATAACTAGCAGATGAGCCTGCCAGAACTTAGTATTAATGTCTCTGTATATCTTTAGACATTCAATGAATAAAGGAAAGTCCACAGGTGCTTGGGTACAGGATTTGGATAATGTTTTGTTCATTGTTTGCGCTGCATTTCAATTTTTTATTTTTATACCACATACTGAGCACTTATAAGATTATCTGACCTCTTTTTGAGGGCGAATTTATCCACTCTGAAAATATCCCCTATTTTACTATTTAGAGTACAAAAAACATGGATAGTAAAATGAGGGATATTTTCAGATTGGATACATTCACCCAACGAAAGTTAAAAAAAATTTAGTAGTGTTCAGTATGTGGTATAACAATAGAAAATTTAATAATTAGTGCAAACAATGAATTTTTGTTTATCAAAATCCTTTACCCAAGAGCCTGTTTGAAATTTAGAAAAAAATCTTCTCTGAAATGATTGGACCACCATACATCAAACTTGGTCGCAACCACCGATAAAGCATTGTGTCGATAACATCTTTTAACACATAAACATGACCGCATCTATTCGAATAGTGTCGATAACATCTATTGACACATTAACTGGCAGCATCTACTCTAATAGAAATAGGGTGCCTAGTTAAAAAAATATATCGCTTTTGTACACAGATCTGCTAACATGGTCACTGTTGCAAAAATACGACATAGGGGTCAAATGCATATAATTGTCAATTAAACTGAAGTTATTTAATTCGAAAAGAAGGAAATGTTGGTGAAATGTACTTATGTGTGCCTGTTCCAAGTCGGGAGCCTGTAGTTCAGTAGTCGTCGTTCGTTCATGTCTGTCATACTTGTTTCTCGTTAATTGTTTTGTTATAAATTGGGCCTTTAGTTTTCTCAATTGAATTGCTTCATAGTTTATGTCGGGGCCTTTTATAACCGACTATATGGTATGGGTTTTTCTCATTGTTTGAAGGCCGTACAGTTGTCTATATTTGCTTACATCCACTTCATTTGAATTTTGGTGGATAGTTGTTTCAATGGCAATCATACCACACACATCTCGTTATTTTTGTATCAAAATAATGCCCTTCCAGAAAAACAACCAATACCCTTATATACCAACCAAGAATGACGCCATGGTTAACACTATATGTAATTAAGTGATTAAATAAAAAAATATGATCAGATTAAAACCAAACTACCCATCTATTGATGATCCGGGACAACCATAAAACAAAACTGCTTATTATTGCTGATTCATCCTGTCACTTTAGTTAATTTATATTCAGGTGAACGATTCAGGCACTAGGATTTTTATCTTTATTCTGGTGGTGAACGTCCGAAGAACTTGATGCATAAGATTTTTGTCGACATTAAAGTTGAAGAACAGTTCTGATTTAAGGATGTTCGCTACTCTGTTTCAAAATAACAAGCTTTTTAAAAGACTGTTATAAATTGATAGTATATAAATAAAGGAACTAAAGAGGCAGAAAAAAATGAAGGGTCCGTGTGCTTGTTTTTGAGATATAAGCCATTGAAAATTTGGCGGGAAATAACTCTCTCTAGACTTTTCATACATTTAACATTGGCACCCTTTTTCTTTAAAAAAATTATGAAAAAATAACAAGGATTTTAGAGCATTTTCAAATATGGCTGTTTAAACTATATGTAATAAAATTATGAAAAGAAAAATAGGTGTTAGCGGGCAAAATTTTTATTGGAACTAACATGGATAAAACTAGAGGATTCCGAATATCTGACAAAAAGTCAAAAACAAGAGTACCGAACATCCTTAAAGGATATATACATGTCATATGATATCCAAACGTTCTTGTTACTTTAGATAAAGATTATCACGATATTAGTTCACGGAAGGGACGAATGAGTTAACGAATAAAGGAATCTTTATTTCTTCTGTATATATAAAGATTGTCGATACATTTAGAAACAAATGCTTGTCTACACAATAAACAAAATCTCATTCATTATAAGATAAACATAATAAATCATTACTAGAGATTTAAAAAAATAATAATAAAAAACGAATTATATTGCAGAATAAAATTAAATGTGGGTTAAACGTCAATGAGACAACAAAACAAAAAATACCAACTTTAAATTCATTTAGAGATAAACATGATGTCTTCAACAAAAAACCCTTTATCTGGCTAAATTCATCTTGGTTTTCTTTACAGGTTTTTTTCAGGCATACAAATGGAAGATCACACTGATTTTGGACACTTTTCTCTGTCGTTGAATGCTTCACAAGTTCAGTCAGAAGCCACTTTATCACACACCATTGCTAAAGTAAAGTCTCTTCTAGATGATTACGTAGATGGATTCTCTGCAAACGCTATTCGGAATCTTGTTGGTGTCTTTTACTTTTATAACAAGGCCCCAGAAGAATCACTGAAGTATTTTCAAGATGTGCTACACAATGATACAGACAATCTTAATGCACTTGCTAATCAGGTCTTTGTGTATAAAAGATTGTTTCGAACAAGAAAAGCAGAAGAAACATACAGAAAATTGGAAGAGATTATTAGTTCTAAGAATGGTGTTGCTGCCGCAGTTCAAAAAGCAGAATGTGGCTTTGCATATCTCTTTGATTGCTACATTAACAATGTAAGACCCCGATGGGATAGATGTTCATCGACATTTGAAGAAGCATTGAACGAACTTGAATCTCTGAAAGATATTGAGAAGAGAATAAAGTTAGAAATTAAGTTTTGGACCATGCAGAGCTATCAGAAGAGATATGAAACGGATGTTAGGGACCAAATTAAGCACCAAGAAACATTTAATAAAGCCGTGAAGATTATCAATCAGATCACAGAGGAGTTGGGCACTGACGAAATGAAAGATTGTAGAAACACAAAGACTGTAATAAATGTTGCCGCAGTTTCACAAGCATATTTAGGGACATTCTTCTTCAAAAAACCAGACACGAAGTGGAATGAGAGAGGACTAACTGAAGTTGATGAAACTAAAATACCATCAGTTATAGAGGAGACTGGGAGAATAGAAGAATTCAAAGACCCCAGGATCTGCTTTAAAAAGGCTTTGGAAGTAAATCCAAACAATCGTGAAGTAAGAATTCGTTATGCTAACTATCTTAGAGACATACGAATGGAAAAAGAAGAAGCAACCGAAAACAACCGAAAGCGCCTCGATGAAGCACTCGAGCATGTGAATCATTCTCTGTCGTTAGACGATTCGGAATCCAATTGGTTTGGTAGGTTTACAAAGGCGAGTATATATTTCAGTAAATATCAACTTTTCAAGAGCAAAAATGATTTAGAAACCGCCATAAGTGATTGGGAAATCGCAGATTCATTTCACCATACTTCTAGAATTTATAGCCAGCTAGCAAATGCTTACCGATTGATGGCACTGAAAGATGGCAGTGACACAGAGCTTGATCTGGACAAAGATGAATATATAACCAAAGCATGTGTATACTTTTGGAAGTCAGTGCAAATGTTGGGAACACAAAAAAGACCCGAAATCCACAGGTGTTATGGAAGATTTCTTAGAGATCTTGGAGATAAAAGGGAAGCAATTGAATGTTTTAAGCGGGCTATGGAAATCGACACAGCACATAAACCTACAAAAAGCTTCGAACATTTATTTGAAACGTTTCTTCAAATGTACGAAGAAGACGTACGCAATCTTCCGAATGGTATCACTGAAAGTGATGAAGGAAGTGACCATAGAGTCGAATTAAGAGTTGACCGATTATTGTTCGAGATAGCTTTCTGGTTCCGATTTGCTATAAAGAAATACAAAGTGTTAGTTTTAAACGAAAAAGACGATCATTCAAAGGCTTTTAAAATACAAAAGCCAGACCAGAAATTCACAAGAAGTTATAGTGTCCAGACCGACATGGGAATCGTACCGGAAACTAGTGATATGAAAGCGAAGGAAGCGGCAAATCTTTTTGAAAAGCATACACGCAGATTTGGTGACGAATATAAAACAGCCATGGCACATCTTTGTGCTTATTTTGAATCAGTTACAGAAAGCTATTCAGACAGGATTTCAAAAATGATTCAACAAAGTGCTTCGTTTAAATCAACTGAAGACGTTGAATGGAACAAAATTATGGAATCTTGGACCAGACGTCGCAGTAAGTTGAGTCAACATAGCGGAATAGCATCATGTCCAGCTTGTGGAAATCTAACAAATAAACTTTCTTATTCAGAACCTCCCGAAAGAGCCAGAAACGAGATTTATACGTATGATTTCTACGTCGTGTATCCTGAAAACCAAAGAGAATGGGTTCTGTACTCATTGATTCAAAAACTTGAAGGTGTCTATGGTTTTAAAGGCGCCATTAATGACAGAGACACAATACCAGGTGGAAACATTTTCAAAAGCATTAGTCATTTCATAGAAAACTGCCATAGAGTTCTAGTGGTTTTAACTAGAGAGTTCTATCAGGACAGATGGTGCATGCACAGTCTAGACTTAGCCGAATCTCACTCTTACACCAATAAACGTGACAATTTCATAATTCCGATTCTCTTGGAATCAACGGATGTATCAGCGGACAGATTTAGCACTATTATCTGTTTAGATGGAGTGGAATATTTTGACTGGGACAAACTAGTTCGTTCAATTAATCAAAGATGAGTTGTTGACAATATTTTTTCAGAATTCTGAATGTCGATGCTCTGAAATCTGATGGTATGATTCTTTATTAGATAAATAAGAATCTCAAATATCTATAATACATTTTGTAAGATATATTTTATTATCAAGATCGCCCACAGTATTTCTAGATAAGATATGGTATATATTTTAACGGGAGTATACATGTAAGATAGAATTCCAAATATCTGTACTTCATTATGTAAGAAATATATTTTTATTTAAATTTCCTACTGTGTCTCTAAAGTTGAGATATGGTATATATTTGAACGGGAGTATACATATAAGATAGAGATTGAGAACAAAATTGAGAATCAAGTATTACAATATCAAGTCTGTGTATATTTCTAAATATAGGTAGGCCTTCTACGTGACGATTTCATTGAGGTACATGTTGTGCATTATATTTCAAAAGTTTAATTCTGATACATGTAATGAATACTCTGGTTTCTCATCTATCCAAAATCAAGTGAGCGGCCGAGAATTGAAAGAATTTTGCCAGTTTGTCATGAACGTTATATCAAAGGTTTATACAAATATACCTTGGACGAGTTCAAAACCAATGCCGATCATAGTTGGAAACCTTTGGTTTTGCGAAATCAGATCATGCTATGTCAACATGCTTGAAACAAACGCGTGCCGTCTTTGTTTGCTCTGAACAGCATCCAATTGAATTTATGTATACTTAACTAAGTATTCATTAGTTGCCTGTTTGGCTAATTTAGAATATCATTCACGACAAAACCTTATATTTCAAAGTAGTTATGCTACTCCCTGTGCCTGTGCGTCCAGTCTTGCAAGCACTGTCAAGCCATTATTCCTTGTAGAATTTTTATGGAATTTTGGTTTAAAGTTTACACCAGCAAGGTCGCGGACGAGTTCGATAATCAGCGCCAAACAACTATTTTTAAAGGCGAGTTATGCTCCTTAGAACTTCCATCAAAGCTAGGAGGGATTACAAGTTCTGTCAAATTAAATAGCTCCCCAAATTAAACAGATATACCATAAATGAATTTAAAAAAAAATATCCGGTGATAATTTGCCGGGTGCCTGTCCAAGAAATTCTGACAGTCTGACTTATAATTTGTTTGAGTGTTGTGTAACATGTATATTCCACAATTGTGATGTGTATGTAACATATGTAACTTGTATGTTTTCTTTGAATCATGAGTAGGATAGTTTTACATGTTAGTGTATTGCATGAATTTCGATAGCAGCTTAATGTGTCGCTTTATTACAACGTACACTAAGCTAGTTTGACTCGAGATTTTTTTCTTACAGAAAATTTCAATAAAAAAAATTTTTGGATGAAAATTCTGTAAAATTATATGTCGTAATGTCGAAACATTTTGTTCTCTAAATATCAATACAAGAAACGAAACAAAACATCCCCTCACACAAAATTTACATGTATCAATATTCTGACAGATGTTACAGTTTGATTTATATTGAACATAACAAAATACATTGAATTTCTTTTAAAAATTGTTTATCTGTTTCGTTATTCTGCTTGAAATTTTGTTCACACAAAAATTCAATATTGTAAATCATATTTTCATTATTATGTATTATGTATCTTTTTACTGTTGATCATTTCAAGTGAACATCTGTGGGCCGCTTTCTATCTTTATTACAATTAAAGTCGGTAATATATTTTTATAGGGAAACATTCAGAAGAAGCAAACAATTCATTAATTACTCTCTTATTTTGGATGATGTTACAGAACTTAATAAGAATTAAATTTGACATGTTTAAAATTGAATTAAAAAATTGAAAAGTAATTGTATTTATCTTTTTATTTACTGCAATATACTCTACGGTATATTCGTATACTAAATATAGATGAACAAATGTATTGAATGCACGTAAAATCGATGAAAAACAATAATACCCGTTAAAATAGTCATATACATTGTATACCAAAACCAATCCATGTTTTTTTGCTAAATATATTTCCGTTTCAGTAATAGGTTCCACCATCTTGTTTCCGATGCATTAATTCGTAGGGTCGAGCGTATTTTTAAGGGCATACGATACAGTTTTGATCCCACGGTGATTTTTTTACGAAAATTTGCATACAAGCTATTTTTCACCTAATCAATTCAAATATATAATAAAAAATATACCTTCATGTGCTACATTAAGAGATAAATGGGGTCGAACTTTTACACATTTACTAAAAATTTCGTTTTTTTGACATATCTCTCCTTTGGATAGACATACCTAACTTTTTTGTTTCAAAAGATAAACACAAGCGTATTTTTGTATAAGTATTTGCAAATCTTCTTTACATAAGTATGCTCTAAATTTGTATAACAATTCTTTGGAAATAATAAATTTTTATCAAAGTTTCGTGATTTTAGAAAAGAACGGCATATTTTGCTGTATAGGCCTATTTATCTAATTTTAACAAACTTCATCGGTGACTTTTTCATAAAAATTGGTACAAATAATCTTCATACGTAATCAAACCTAATGTCGTTTTTAAAAAAGGGGCCATGAACTCGTTTTCAAGTTAAATCAGTCTGAATGATAAAAATCAGTCGAAAAAAAGCATCTTTTCCCGATATATATGTCACAGTTTGACGTCGCGAAAAATAATATTTTACGTTAACAACGTCATTACCTCCCATGTAACTGTATCGTATGCCCACACTTTTTACCGCTTTTATAGTCCTGATCAGTCCTGCAACGTCATGCTTAATTCTACCAACTTTTAACGGTAAATTTCACAAATAACTCATCTGCACCAAAAAATAAAGTCGTATGTCTGTGACCCTGAAGTATATGGATTAAGAGGAATCTCGATTTAAGCCTAGATGATTTTTATCACTTATCCCTTTGCATGCTTTCGATTTCGAAAAATGTGCAATTTCCAAGAATTTCATAAAGTATTTTAGAAAATGAAACATTATAACCTCTGGGTCGATGCCATTGCTGGTAAAAAGCACTTTTGTGTTGACAAGAAATATCATAAATATGTCATTTTCTGTAAATTTACTCTTAAAAAAATTGTTGAATTATTCGAAACACTAAGGTTTTCTACCCCCAGGCATAGATTGCCATAGCCAACTTTGGCACAACTTTTCGTAATTTTCGATCTTTAATGCTCTTCAACTTTGTTTTTGATTTAGCCATGCAACTGTTTTTGTCGAGCCTGCGACTTTTGTCGCAGAAAGCTCGGCATAGGGATAGTGATCCGGCGGCGGCGGCGTTAGCTAACTTCTTAAAAACTTTATATTTTAGAAGGTGGAAGACCTGGATGCTTCATACTTTGTATATGGATGCCTCATGTTACGAAGTTTCCGTCAGTCACATGTCCAATGTCCTTGACCTCATTTTCATGGTTCAGTGACTACTTGAAAAAAAAAGTTAACATTTTTTGTAATGTTAAATTCTCTCTTATTATAAGTAGTAGGATAACTATATTTGGTATGTGCGTACCTTGCAAGGTCCTCATGCCCGTCAGACAGTTTTCACTTGACCTCGACCTCATTTCATGGATCAGTGAACAAAGTTAAGTTTTGGTGGTCAAGTCCATATCTCAGATACTATAAGCAATAGGTCAAGTATATTCGGTGTATGGAAGGACTGTAAGGTGTACATGTCCAACTGGCAGGTGTCATCTGACCTTGACCTCATTTTCATGGTTCAGTGGTCATAGTTAAGTTTTTGTGTTTTGGTCTGTTTTTCTTATACTGTATGCAATAGGTCTACTATATTTGGTGTATGGAATGATTGTAAGGTGTACATGTCTAGCTGGCAGGTGTCATTTGACCTTGACCTCATTTTCATGGTTCAGTGGTCAAAGTTAAGATTTTGAGTTTTGGTCTTTTTTTCTAATACTATATGCAATAGATCAACTATATTTGGTGTATGGAAATATTTTATGATCTATATGTCAGTCGCGCAGGTTTTATTTGACCTTGACCTCATTTTCACAGTTCATTGGTCAGTGTTAAGTTTTTGTGTTTTGGTCTGTTTTTCTTGAACTATAAGCATGATAAGCAATAGGTCAACTATATTTGTTGTATGGAAGAATTGTTAGCTGTACATGCCTGCCTGGCATGGTTCATCTGACCTTGACCTCATTTTCATGGTTCATTGGTCAATGTTTAGTTTTCTTGGTTAATGTTAAGTTTATGTGACAGTTGTAATAAAGCTTTTTATTTAGGACTATCAACATAATATCAGTGATTAGTTAAGAAGGCGAGACATTTCAGCATGTGCACTCTTGTTACTCAAATTATAAGCCTGAGTTTTTTTTATACTTTATTTCAGGTAGTTATGACATTTAAAAAAAAATATATGTTACATCGCCCATTCACTGCCCTTGATATAAAAAAATTTACATCGCCGCGGACCACAGATGCCAAGATATGATTGATACATTTATTGTTGATATTTAACGCACCTTTCAGCACTTTTTGCTACATCATGGTAGCCAGTTTTATTGGTGGAGGAAACCAAATGGCACTGAGAGGCCCACCGGCCTTCAGAAAGAAAACTGACAATCCTAGTCAATTAAGATTGGAGTAGTACGCATCTGCCACGTACGGGGTTCGAACTCACAGCATCATTGTTGACAGGCTTTTGATAAAGCAGATTAAACTACGTAGACCACTCGTCCACCGAGGAACCTGATGCCAAGATATGAAAAAAAGCTTGCGTTGGTCCAACGGTTCTATTGGAAAAACATATTAATGGAACAATATGTGCTGTGTTGTTAAATCAAAAAAATAACAAACATTTTAAGACAGGGATACATCAAAGCATACCCATCTTCATAATGACAATACTAATACTAATGATATTGATAACTTTTTTTGTTTTTTGAGTGGTGCATATGTAAACGACGATTGCGGGAGGCTTATTACAAACTTTTCTATTTATGAACAGACATACTTTTTATCCTACAAGAGGATAATATGAAAGCCTTTGTCTACAATTGGGGCACCGTTACATTGAAGGGCGGTAAAAAAATTATTAATAGTAATCTTATAATTATATTTTTTTTTATCAAATTCATGTTAACTCGAGAACATTCTTCATTTTGTACAAACGGCACAAAGCACTTCGGTATTATCTTTGTACGGAGGACATCGTAGGCTACCACATCTCGCCCGGATAGGATAAAACAAAGCACCTTTGTGGCTGTCTGATCGATCGTCCAAAGGTTCTGCCTCTCCGTCCATACAGATATAGTCCACCTGGTTAAAATTTATATGTTGACTCATCAAGAAACCGCTATACTCGGATGTCCATCCTTTGTAACAGGACTGTCTTCCTATTGGAATAATATAAGTAAAAATTTAAAAAATAATATTACAAAATTGCATAACTGTGTTAAATAAAAAGACTTTTTATTTATGTTAATGAGTATAATCAACAACATTTTAGACGAAATTGGTCATCGATATAATGATTTTAGAATTTCTCATAATTTTGATTTAATGATTTATTTAAGTTTCGATAATAATAACTACCTGGTATCATTAAAACGATAACTTTTCCTTTTTCCCTGCACACAGAGCATGGGACCTCCTTTTCATTCAAACTGGATGGTAAACCAGATGGTTTAGAGTAGGAATTAATCTCATACTCGGCACCATATAAACCGACATCATTATATGAGTATGGTTTACCATTTTCAGGATCACTGGGTAAACAGAGGTAGTTGGAACCTCCTTCTTTGTTAGTGTAAAAGTTACCTCCATCCTGACCTACTTTAATGAAAGTAACATAATTTATTAATCAGTTTAGCCAAAATGTTCATGTATGTGCTATAATGAAAATCAAAGCGACTCAACATGCTTTGATTTTTAAGTAATACCCTAATCAAAACAGAAAATTGCTAATTTGAATTCTCTTGGAGATTAACCAAATGTGACCTATTCAAGACTATTAAGCTAATCAAAATTAATGATTTATTGACAAAATTTAATAAATAAAACAAAGAACCTTATAATGAACGTGTAAGAAGAAAAATAAGACAGATACTTTATATGATGACCCGGTTGTTGACCTGGGGTCTGTTTATCGAAGCGCTCTTAGGACTAGGACGTGTCCTTAGATCATCTTAGACGTATCTTTGTGTTAAGGATGTTCGATACTCTGTTTCAAAATAACAAGCTTTTAAAAAGACTGTTATAAACTGATAGTATATAAATAAAGGAACTAAAAAAGCAGAAAAAAATTAAGGGTCCGTGTGGTTATTTTCGAGATATAAGCCATTGAAAATTTGGCGGGAAATAATTCTCTCTAGACTTTTCATACATTTAACATTGGCACCCTTTTTCTTTAAAAAATTATGAAAAAATAACAAGGATTTTATAGCATTTTCAAATATGGCTTTTTAAACTATATGTAATAAAATTATGAAAAGAAAAGTAGGGGTTAGCGAGGAAATTTTTTTTAATGGCAGTACATGGATAAAACCAGAGGATTCTGAATATCTGGCAAAAATTCAAAAACAAGAGGAGCGAACATCCTTAAGTGCGTTTATCAAACGTGTCGTAACTTAGGAAAAGTCGTAGGAATCGTCCTAACTTTTGGACACCTAAATAGGTGTCTTAAGATGGTCTAAGGATGGTCCTAACTTTAGGATATATTTTATGATGGTTAATTTGTAAATAAATATGATTACCACCTATATATGGATCCCCCTTTTTTCTAAATATTTTTCTATTTTCACTTATTTAATGTGTTCCTGTTCTTATCCAAAAGATATTACAAAAACAGTAGTATATATACATGTATGACACCATTCTATTCATATTTT